TCAGCCAGACGTCAGCTTATTCCGTCATGCATTTTTAAATATGATGAGATATCAGACTTTAAAAAGTCCGATAAAAAATCGTATTTTCTGCAGGTGGGCGATACTTCATCGATAGCGGTTTGCATCCATTTTCTAGGCGACAAGTTTAAAAGTAACTACCATGTCGTTGCATTTTTCAACGTAGAAACCGCTATTGATTTTTGTCCGTTTTCCAACTCAGTCACTTGGAATATTTTTGGTGCAAACAGTGCTGGATCTTGGAACTTTATGTATGTTATTAACGGGATTAACAAACGAATTGTTTTGACTTAAGACTGAACAAACAAAATCTTGTGATGACTAAAATGAATAGTCTTTTGTATAAATATAAAAAAAAACAAAGAAAAGAACTGGATTATCATGTCCTCCTCCGCATGGTTTTCAGCAGTGTGTTTTGGGAATTTGCTATTGTTTCAGAGTATATTCATCCGGTGTCTTTGTTTTGTTCAAACTGTTTTGAAAACGCGTTGAATAATTATTTGCAAATCGATCACTTTTTTGAGTCGAGAATTGGATAAGGTAGGTTTGGTTTTAGCAACTCAGTTGATAATGTACATTGGCAACTTAAGAGAATTTCTTAAGCTGGCGTTTCCAGCGTTAGCCCTTCGTCAGACCGAAAGTAGGCAGATTTTTTAAGAATTCCGAAAGAAAATTAGCTTTTCGCCCAGTTTATCATAATTTTAGAAAGAAAGCAGATATCCGCATGTAACTTGATGGAGTAAGTTTCATATCAAATGAATCCACATAGAAATCAAATTATCAAAATCCAAGTATTCTACTTGGATGGCAATACATTTGTTCTCCCGTATTTTAACTTTCACTGACATAACCTTTATTCTGTATCAGCCTTTAATTACACGTGGTAAGCCTTTAAACACAGAGGTAATATATATGCTAACAAACTGTCTGACTCACTAACTCACCGAGTAAGTCAACATTTACATTTGTGCTGATAGAACATGAATTCCCGTATTTGTAGCCTTATTTTTCCAAGTAAGTCAGTCTGCGCTATGTCTTCAAATTCTCCTCTAGGATATTTTTTTAACCCAATATATAGTTTTTAAAATACGAAGCAATTTTTCTCATCAAATACTAACAGTTAAGTTGTCGTGTGTGCCACAATCAAAAATGTTTCCGGATTGTTTCGTATATCACGATTTTGCAAACGAGGCTGATGGTAATGGTTGATAATTTGAACTTTGTCGATCGTACGCCAAACAGTGTTTCCTAAGTATGTAAAATTAAGATACTGAATTAAACAGTCACCTGTAAATTCATGACATTAATATCCTTAGGCGAGCATAACTACATCCATTTCGACGGTCCTGAAATGACAGGGGTTAGTCGTTTGTTTGGTCTCCCCAATTGCTGATGGGCATTGCTTCATCAAACTATCTGCTAAGTTAAGCTGTAAACAAATACAGCTTCACGACGAAGAATTTTCCAGGGACAAGTAAGCTAACTTTAGTTTTTTTTTATATGGAAGGTATGTCGGTAAATAATATCTGTCTTTGATATGCGAAACTTCACAAGTTGCGCTAAGTCGTAACATCCTTGTTTCCTCTGCTGTTATGAAGGTTTTTAAATTATCTTTAGTAAAGTTTTATTACTACGACATAAGAAAGTAAATTTCTGAATTCTCTATCTGCAACATCTGTGCGTTTCCAAAATAAAAGAAAAGCTTAGCTTTCAAACTAAAATATTTGGCCTGGAGCCATACGAGACATTTGCCTCATTCAAACGCCGTCTAGACTCGACTCTTGAAAAGGTCCATTCCTAAAATGGTCGTTTCTCGTGATATGGCTGCAAAAAGACTCCATTACTTTCTTTAGAGTTCGCATAATCTTTAGATCACCACCTGAAGAAATTTAAAAAAATATGTCTTATCCGCAATGAATGAAAATATTTCAGCTTACTATAAATGGTTAAAAAGCCGACGGAAGGAAGTTTTTTGTTTTTTCGTTTCTATTCCATATTTTTAAACTCGATGCCGTCAATCAAGGCATGCAGAAAGTTTCATTCTTTTGGCAGCCACCTTGGCATCCTTGCGTTTTAGAGCTTGAACCACACGATAAATATACTTTCAATTCTAATTTTGTCGTTCTGATTGTTTTTGTGGACAGTTTTGACTTTGATCTCTCCGCCCAGCAGACAAATATCTATCTAGTTATGAAAGGAAAGTTTTGATGAATGAAGGCTTTCGCACGCACCATCAAGATTTAAAGCCTTGAAGGCAAATAAATTGATCGCCTTCATAAAACTGTCTCTTAAGACGCTTTATTCAACTGCTATGATTTCTCCCATAAAACGTTTCAAAGATTCGATAGAATTTCATTTGTAAAGGACTACAAATATTAAAAAGTCGGTCTTTTCCGTAGCCTAAGGCGTTTCTCGGCGAATTCACTTTCCAATAAATATATTCCCGTCTGAGAGTAAGCAGAACAAGCTATTAACATTAAGTTAACAATTCATGTAGGGTGCGAAAATGAAAGCACGCGTATTATAGCAATATGATCCTGTGCGTCTTTCTTGCGAGAGAACGCATTATTTTTTTGCATCACAACAGAAAAAATTGGAAAAGTGCTGTTCGCCCTTTGCAGATTTTCGACGGAAAGTCTATGACTTCAGGCTGAGATCATTGCCTCGAACTTGAACAACTACGGGGCATGGTGAGTTTTTCTTGAATAGTTTTTTCGGATAGTTTGGATCAACAATTCTGTGTACGGGGAGAATGCGAGTTTATAAATTTCGAATTTTTCAGTTCGAGTCGGTTTCCGTATTTTAAACACAGTTAACGCGCAAAACAGTCCGCCACTTTACAGCTAGCTGCCAGTTATTGAATGAGCCTTCATCTTCGGCTTGACTTATTGGCCGGGTGCAGTTCGATGTCGGTTGTTAATTCGATTCTAAATGCTGGCACTCTCTTCCTTAATTAGTCCTTGGTGCCCGCTGTTTGAGTTTGTCACGCGATACTATCGTAAATAAAGACAGGTTTTGCGTGACGGTACCCTAAATAGTAACAAAAAAAAAACCTGAGTACTTTGAATATGTGACAGCATATTGATAGCTTTCGGGAAAAACTCTTAGAGCAGAGTTCTTTGTTTTTTTTTTTCGCTCCGAACGTTATTGTAAGTGATGATGACTTTTTGGTAGCCCAGGATCATTCAAGACAGATTTGGAGAATTTTATAGATAAGTCAGATAAAAATTCAATAGTTGTCAAAGTTTTAATCATTTTTTTTTCAAATACTTGTCTTTTAGCTCACCAATAATCAAGTTTGTTATGAAAAATTGATTTGTACAACATTCCCATTGCATCTTTTCGGAGTTCATTGCTTCTGCTGCCTTGTAAAGCTTGTGATGGGAATTTTCGTGCAGTCTAAACTTGCATGTTCCTTGTTATCTGCAGTCTTTGTTTGGTCATTTGAGACGTCTCACTTAATTGTTCCTTTTTCTGATAGTTAATTAATGGTTTAATGGCTTTAAACTCAATGGTAGACGAGCAATTAGTATCCATTTGAGATGCATATCCAAGTGACTTCGATATGGACTCAAGAAAACGCTTACTTGATGATAATCTGGAGCTGTTAATGTTTAAATGAAGTCTGTATAATTATTTTTGAAACTCATATTCATTTGCTATCATTAGTTTACCAGGATGCGTTTAAAGAGAATTTTGTGGCCATTTTCATCCATCCACTGAAAGAAATTATTCCTTTGTCCTATCCCTTGTTTGAACTGATGACTTCTTGACGTCACGAATCAAAATCTAAGGGAAAGCAAATAAACGTTGAAAAAAGTATTTACTATCGTTGGTGCCCTTTTTGAGTACTTTTCCTAATTTACATACAATTTTCTGTTCTTATTTTTGTAACGACTATTTCAAAGATGCTCACTGTCTCTCTCGCTGCACCCTAGGCGATATAGAAATCGTTTTTATCTTTCTTCGCCGGATAATTTTTAACGATTTCCACAGAAATTGACGTTGAAGATAAGAAACGTAATAAGAAATTTCTGTAAACAGACCTAAAGCGCTCTAAAAACGGTAGGTCTCACTTCTAAAATACATCATGATTACGAGCACATCACTTTTCTTTTACGCCGTCAATGCTTATTTACAATTCTTTATTGGAGTGAAACCCTAAAGTGAATATTTCAATCACTAAATTTCGAGGAACAATGAAGCCTTTTGTTTGTTATTAGTTAGAGATCTGACGCGTGATTTGCGAGTGAATGAAATTTACCGAGATATATCCTTTGATTTCTGGTCTTTTCAGATATTGCCTGCTGTCATTTCATTACAATGAAATCACCAGTTCAATCTAAATTCTTCAAATTTTAAGACTGATATTTACGTTGATGGCATGCAATATGATATATCTTCTAGTCAGTTATCTTTCAATAACCCAAACTCAGTTATTCACTGCGACCATTTTTCATCTACAGTGCCCAGAGGTCGGGTCGATAAACGCACCCTTGGAAAAATCTGAGTGCACCATTATCACCGGTCCTGGAATATTCCACGTTCTCAACTGACAGAAAGACATTTTTAAGGCAAGAATTAGTTTCTTTTGCCGCTTTTCAATTTTTTATGCAGTAAACAAAAAGTTAATAGTCTTTCATTTCTTTTATAAAGAAGTTCACTCGTTGGTTTCGTGACATTTCAGCGGGGAACCGAAATCATATTGGTAATAAATTCGAGTGGGCGGCATCAACTCCGTGGGTATTTTTTTTCTTCTGTGGAGATCAGCCAAAATACTATTTACTGTACAACATAGTTATCATCAAATATCAGTCGATTTAAATGAGATTTTCATTTTACCATATATGCCTTGCTCAGTTATCGTCCCCTGACATAAATATTCAATTCCATTGCAAAGATACATTGTCGGGGCAGATGTTCAAAAAGTAATTTACCGCTTTCCACATTTTAAATTTCCAGGAGTCCGTTGCTGAACGAAAATGTTAGGTCTCCGCAGCAGACTTAGTATCATGCTTGTTTCTCTGTGGATTGCGAGTGCCAGGACCAAAAAACGTGAGTATATAAATTACGGTATCTGTTCAAATAACTCTTGTATCTACTTTTAGTGCTAACTGATGATTTTTGTATTAGCACAGTGTTCTCACAATATTCATCATTCAGTTGGCTACTCTTTGTATGTGAAATCGTATGTCTTTCATTTCTCTCGAGGATTCAATTCGTTCAGAGCTTCCTTTTATTATTAAAGACTTGAAAAAGGGAAGCGATACTGCTTGCCCTTCCAAACGAAAAGAATTATAAATTCATGGGGCCTCTTTTAAATGAAAAATTCTACGCTTGACATGTAAATAGACCCTAAAAGGTTTTTTGGTCAAGGTCTTGTTGGAGCCTAGTTTCGCTTCCTTCCGACAGTGTGAAATCCTGTCATTCAAAAGAAATCGTTTTTCTTTGTAATTTCGAGTCTTTAAATCACTTATTTGAACGTGACAGCTGCACAAAGCTTCCTCAGTTTGCGGTATCAATTAGAGAGCGAGTCTTTTTTCTGAAGTAAGTATCTAATGCAGGGAAGTTTTTCTCTGAAATTTCAATAGTTCGATCTGAATCAAAATTGCTTCATTTGGATTTTACTTGAAGCGATGTTATCCAAAAAGCCGCCTGACACATTTTCTCTTGCATCATTAACGCGTTATTCAGTTTTATTTCCAAATATTTTTTGAGGTGAATTTAGCATACAAATGACAAATTTTGCCGAAGTGTGTTCTAATTTTAATTTACTTCTTTGATTAGTAGTTGGTCAGTACTAGGATTGCGGTTTGCCCATATTATTTTGTGATTTAAACATAATCTAACTTAAGATACATTGTACATATAACTGGGAGTAATCTTGTGGGTTGAGAATTTGGACACAAAACTGATCATCGTAACGTTTTAGGAAAAAGATGCTTGAAATACGTGGATCAAGATGTAGGACAGATCAGGAATCTCCTTACAATACTGTCTTCTTGGGTTATACTAATAAATTATCGGCTGATTCCAGATAATTGAAATTACATGACTAAGTTAGGTAGAGTCTAAACTAATTCACGATATTTTGATCAAACAATTTTCAAAATGTATCTTTCTCTTGGTATTTTTTTTTTTTTTTAATCAACATCATGTCAGACTTCGAAAGCTGAAAAGCCAACAAAAATTTAATGCTCTACTTTACCAAAACAGTGAGAAAAAGGACCAGCCTATTTTCCACCTATTTGGCAAATGGCTGTCGCTAGATAAATGTCTCGTAAATGAACGAATAAAAACAAAAGCTTGAGTCTCGTCCAAAGGCAACGAGCCTCAAAATTTAAGCTTAATAGGCAACATTTCATATATGTACTGCTCAGTATTTTGCATTTAAATTGGTACACACTGATGACAGTGGTGTCACATCCACCCACGTAAGACGTAACACCTCTCTGTACAGCTTAATAGCGGAGCTCTAGTGCACAAAGCGCGCAAGTGGAGCTCCATATATGAATATACAAAAAAAAAAATCAAGCCGTCAAAATTATTAGAACTGTAGCTCACCATATTTCAACTCTGTCTGTCTGGAAAAATGAATAACCTATATGTGAATCCTTACTACTGGTTAGTGCGACAGTGGTAATCAGTTGGCCAATATGCAAAACGACGTCGCCAATTAACTAAAAAATGACAGTTTGTTGATTTCAACCTAAAATGCACAAATTTATTTGCTCATCAGAACCGTGTGCATTTGTGACGGAAAACAACAAGTGTTGCAAGCTTCCCTTTGAATTCAACAACCGTAATTACACTGAATGTACTGCAGACGTGACCGCGAAGAAATGGAGAGACCAGTGGCGGAATCCTTGGTGTTTTCCAGAAGGTGGTGATCGTAGTACCAAACATCCTTGCTATAGAAGCGGTTGGTTGAGCCTTTACTCTGATAATTTTTCCCGGCGAATGAATATGTTTAAAAAACAATTGTTTGCTGATAAATTTTACACAGAAAAAAAACACTTTTTTCCCAGATATCTTGAAGTGAGAGATTAAAACAGACAAATCGACTTCATCAGTTGTAAATTTTTTATAAGGAGTCCTTTGTCGGGGAAAATGTTCTTTAGGTGTCTGTGTTTGGATGAAAATGCCACATTGATTTTCATACTGCGATTTCTTAATCTGTCAACTTACCCATGTCAAGGAACAATTAGGACAGTTCAAACGTGTTTTTTTTATTTCAGGTCCCAGTTGTGGTGGGGTTCGAACACAAGTTGCCGGAGTTTTTTCGTCTGCTAACTTTCCTAATAACTACACCAACAATACCACCTGCACTTGGAGGATATCTGTGGAGTTAGCCAATCACATCACGTTAAACTTCACTGATTTTGATTTAGAAAACAGTAGCGGATGTGAGAATGCGTATGTACATGTGTATGATGGACTCAACACTACCGACCCGTCCCTCGGAAAATTTTGTGGTAGCGAGATACCTCCAGGAGTCAGGTCCAGTGGGAGTAAGATGTTAGTGATATTTCACGGATTTAACGGAGCTAGATACAAAGGTTTTCGTGCATATTATGATTCAGGTGGGTACCAAACACAAGTCGCTTTATATTCAAAATTAAAAAGGATGATAACAAACCAATTCCTATGTCATGCATTTTCTCGCTTGAAAATCTTTTGTGGTGTGTGCAGATCGTTTTCAAATCCACGTCACAAACGCCATATTAGCTAATAAACCAATGATGGCGGCCATGTTGTTACAGTTGGTCAATCGCGTGGCTTCTAAATTATATTCTTATGTAAACACTTTATTTTGATATAATAAATACGCATGGCCACTCGCGACATGGTTGATAAAGTTATTCTATTTCTTTATCGAAGCACTAAAGCAACATATGAGGACATGTCGTTTTATTCCCTGGTGAACAAGTAGCGTGACTCCTATAATGACTCATGAAGTACAACTCTGGAGATGAGGCCTTCATTGGGGTGTCAGTCTCTAAGGAAAATTTTCTCTGACCTACTTCTCTTCTATCAGGAAACTGTGATGTGCGCTCGTACGGCGGAAATGGTGGTGGAGCATGTTGTGTTTTTCCCTTCACCTATAAAGGAAAAGTTTACAATAAATGTACCGAAGACGACGCGGAATTAGGTCTCGCGTGGTGTTCTGTGACTAGCGATTATGAACGGGACAGAAAGAGAGGACATTGCGTTTCAGAAAATGGTGAATGAAGTTCATTTTCACTGTGCATATAATTAACACATGATTAAATCTACTTTTTCCTTCGACCATTGCATTTGAATTCAAGACGTCTTTTCGTAAGATTATGTCTTATGCCTTTTTATCTGTGTCATTACTTAGTTTCCTGTGGTCCAAACAAATTTGAGTGTCTCAACCATCACTGGTGGAAGCAGTGCATTGACGAAAAGTACCGTTGTGATGGCTATCAAAATTGTGCCGATCATTCCGACGAAACAGATTGCCGTAAGTAACACACAACTCTGTATTCTCCTATGACGGCCTTTCAAAGCGCAGGAAAATGTGTATGTGTCACCAAACGAGGAAAAAAGTGTAACTAGTACCAAGTGCGGAAAAAATGTTAAAAGTGCCGCGCGCGGGAAAAAATTGTTGTTGGTGGCGAGCGCGATTTCAAGTACTAATGGTACAAAGAGCGGGAAAATGTGCAAAGAGTATATAGTTTGCGTCTAAAACTACGACGACGGTTCTGAATGGGGGGGGGAGGGAGGGGAGGATAATTATACAGCAATAAATTAGCCTTGATTAGTTGTTGTTTCCATTTTTTAAGATTTTAAAAGTTTCTTTTTGTTCTAAGTGACGTCAATAAGAGGTACTTAGATAACCAGTGGGGAGTGAATTGAAGCGGCTCACGTATTACTCAACAGTAATTTTCCAATCCACCACACATGTACTTCGGTATTGGAACGTTATAATGGGGCACGTACCCCGAATCTTTCTCTAGAGAGGGGAAAAACTTGCAGGTAAAGCTGGACAGTGGTTCATCCAGTTATTTTCGAGACCGACACTTGACTGATCGTCCAGTAAGATCGTCCAGTAAGATCGTCCAGGTGAAAGTATTTCTGAGAGGGACTGTTGTTGGTAGTAGTGACTGATGCTTAGAATAAGCTAGAATATCTTAGAGTCTCAGAGTCAAATGGTGACTTTTGCTAAGGTTGTCGAAACGTCTGTCGCTACATTACCGAGAACAGTTCGTTTTCAGAACACCGTACCCAGATGATCAGGCAACAATATACACTTAATGTATGGTCCCGAGGGAAACAGTTGGTTTTATTTTCCCGAGAGTCCTAATGTTTCTCGAGACGAAGTCGAAGGAAACATCAGGACTCGAGGAAAAACAAAACTAAATAGTTTCCCGAGGGACCACACATTAAGTGCTTTGTTATATATTTAGACTTTCCCTTAAACAGACAAAAACAAACTAACGTACTGTTTTATTCGGCGCACGGGCAACAACTTCGCAGTTGTATCCCAGTCGGGATATACTTGAATTTGATCAGGGGCATGAGACTAAGAATCAACCGATCACAGTGCTCGTTTTGTTGAGTGAAAGTCTAGGTATATAACAAGATCAAACGTTAATCCTAGATTAAAACCGTTTACTAAAAACAATTAAAAAATGCGTTTAATTCGCAGCACCAACGATGAATCCTGACTCTTGCAACGTAATGCACGTGGTGCTAAAAGGGAAAGGACAAGATAAAGTTGGTTTTTTTCTCACCAGGAAATGCAATTACAAAGACCGTTGCGCTGGAGTTACAAACACTAGCCAAGGTAATGTTGTTTTACGTAATTAAACCCCTGCTAAACGATAAATTTACGGAAATCGAAGTTTATGGTCGTTTTAACTTTATCAGTTTTATTGATTTTCAAAGCTGTGGACGTGCCTTGTAACTTCAGCGACTGGTTCAAATGTTCAAACGGCCGGTGTGTTCCGGATTACTGGCGATGTGATGGTAAAGATGACTGTGGAGACAGAAGCGACGGTAATCTTAATCAATATTTTGGTAACAATTTACCGTCTTGTATGTCTATCTGTCTGCTATTTTATGGTCTGTCCGTTATCCGTCTGTCCGCCTGCCTGCCTGTCTCCTTAAAACTGGCTGAAATCCGACTCTGTTTGCCTGTCAATTATTATTTGTATGACTGTCTGTCTGCCTCTCGGACCATGAGTGTCTTTTTTCGCTTCTTCGTCGTCTAATTGTCTCCTTATTTAACTTCATGTTTGTCTGTGGGGCCAAACCATCCCATGCGACGACTTGTAGTAAGAGACCAATTCAACACCTAATATAGACCTTTTTGTTTTTTCACCCGCAGAGCTAAGTGGTTGTTCTTTCCAGGTACAAGGTAAAACAAATTAATTTTTTAATTTCATGACGTCAAACAAGTATCAAAGATCATCTCCTCTACTTTCAGCTTGCAGCTGGGTAACCTACTGCGCCAAAACTAGATGGGAAACCTCTCTCGGAAATAAACCACCTGTCAAAGTCAAAACACCCGCCATCTGCTACAGAAAAGATCTTAGACGCATACCCACCTACCTACCTGTCAAAATCACAAAACTGTAAGTCAAGGAAGAATTTAGAATTAAGAAATCGTTGTTATAAAAACAAAAATATTCGCCAGGAAAAAAATTAATCTAATATCACGAAAGGGATACCAGATGAGGAAGTCTTAGCACAGAGAAACACACAAAGCTTTCTTATGAGACGATTTCAAACTATCCCAGAGAATGTAAAACCCCTAGGGTAATTTTCGCCCCTTACAAGGTCACAGGGAAACGGTGTTCAACTCTTCACTTACTGCCGCTTTAGAATATCCATGTCTCACTCTTAGAATGGAGCAGTGGAATTCACTTGTAGTATACAAACTGAAATCACGGGAACTACCGGTAGTTCATTCTTAGCCGAAGCCGTTATCGTCGTGTTTGCGTAAGTGTGCCCACTGTGTGCAATTTATCCAGGAAATGAATCCTGTATCCTTGAAGCAAAGCTAACGCGGGGGAAACTCGTTAGCGGAGCCCCTTACATAAGATAATGTAGAGATCTATCCACAAGAAGAATTGGTTGCTGCTTGCCGTCCGTGCATCCCTGTGTACCTTAGCATATCCATCTGTGCAAATAGAAAACTCTGTACCCAAGTGGAGTTTTAATTTGGTTGAGTGATTACATCATTCATTATCTTATGGTAGGGTGATCAAGGAAACAAAACTGACGACCATTGAGAGATTCAGTTTCGCAAGATACGAACATCTTGAAGAAATGTAAGATGACCAAAGCGCCAGTTGGGAAGAAAACATATACTATGTAATGAGTGGAACCTAAGAAGAACACTTTCATCTTTGAATTTCTTATCGAGTAATGTCAGAGCTATCTTCAATCTACTGATTTAGCCAGAAGCCGACTCACAATACAGTAGGAGTTGCAATAAAAGTTTTCGCATACAGCAATTGCTCATTGTCGATCTGCAGAGTTTGATAAAGAGATACATCTAAATGATCAAAATTTATAGCGACTGCACTGTTTTAGTAATCAGAATGGGAAAATTATTATAAAATGACCATTTTTTGACTAATACTCTGTTAGGTTGATTTTATTTGTTATTTTTACCCAGCAACCTGGAAGGAAATGTTATAGAAAAGATACAAGAAAATTCCTTCATTAAACTGCAGTCACTGAAGACACTTATACTAAAACGAAACAAGCTACGTGTATTGAAGACAGGAACATTCGAAGGTTTAAGGTCGCTAACCGAACTGTAAGTGTTTGGGACAGTATATCTTTAATTTATTTCGTAGTGTTTCATTCCTGTTATCAGAATTATGTGCGACTAAAACCAGTAGAAAGCAGTAGCATATTAAGTGTTCCATCAACTTGCTAAAAAGCCTTAAATTCCCATTTTACGCGTTGTAAAATGTTTTTTCCCTTCTTTATTAACAGTGATCTCGAGGAAAACCCACTCGAACAAATAGAGGCTCGTGCATTTAATGGACTGAAACACTTACAAAAGCTGTGAGTATCAGCTAACAAACGTCAAACAGAAGTATATACAAAGAAAGAAGTTTCGTCGTAAAACCAAAATCAAAGTCAACTCCACAGTTTATTAAGAGATATTGGAACCATAGTAAACATCACATGGGCAATTGAGAATTAAAGATAAGTGGCGGTAAACTACCTTAAGCGCGTTTTTTATCTGATCGGTTGATAAGGTTAGGTGAGATTTGAAGACATATAACAGTGACACTTAAGAAATTGTGAAATTGCGATAAATTTTCCAACTCGATGAAAAATCTCTCAATCTGGTAATGCAGCACGAAATAAAAAAATCTGACGATAAACATGAATGGGACAAAACCACATCAATAGTAGGCTGTTATTTGTAAGAAATTGGACTCGGATTTATTGTTGATGTTTCGCTAAAGCAGAAAATTTTGAGTGTGCGCCTTTGAGATCAATATCACTAACGTTATATCAGTTGTTGATCTCACAGAAACTTGAGCAATATGGATTTGAGGACGATCTCTTCTGAAGCATTCCATGGAATGGACTCTTTAACAGAACTGTAAGTACAATCAAAATAACAGTGCACAATACAAACATGAAGTGAAGTCGTTGTAAAAGTAGTTCTGGTCCCGGTTATTCAAAGGTGGATAACGCTATGCAGTGGATAAATTCTCTACGCGGTGAATAGCACATCACGTTTTGTTGACACTTATCCGCTTGATTGTGTCTTATCCAAGGGGAACGTTATATGTTCTTCGAACAACGGCCATGTTGATTACGATTGGATCTAGATCGCATTTCATCTGAGTTGAACAAGAAAATCGGTTGGAGAGACTGTGGCTAATCATCGAGGTAAAGGTCACTTGTAATAAAAATATCCTTCGTTTCATGATGTCGTGGCAAATGATGTCGATCGCGACGTTTGGTCTGGATTCTGTTGGTATGCATTCTGAACCACGAGTTGAGTTGGACTGGTTACGGGTCAGCTTCTGTGGCACAATGCTTCGCGTGCATTGGTTGGCTTTCAACGGGGATCACGTGAAAATCACATAGCTAGTCAACCTCATCGCTTGATGAAGACGAGCAGTATTCGGTGGAAACTTCACCAGCCACATCAGAACTGACTAAATCGTTAATAACAGATCACCTAACATGTTAATTACCACAATGATTACATTTCAACCCTTATTATCACTCTTTTTTTCAGTTACTTGGATCACAACAAAGATCTACAGCAGTTACCGTTGGACATCTTCGACACTGTTCCACTGACGTATCTGTGAGTACACTCCTAAACAAATATAGGTGCATTTGGTCCCTATTTAGGCTGACTAAATAAGTAAAACTAGAGTTCTACATCTGTTCTTCATAAAACTAGTTTTTTCGTATAGCAACGTTTAATTATGGTTTTTTTCCTCCCAATCTAAGCCTAGTTGAGAGATTTCAACCCATTGCAGAAACTATCATATTGATGACGTGACTGTGCCGACCTGTTTAGTTCTACGGATTTGTTGGTACCGGTACGAGAAATTTAATCCAAATGGAGACATCGCATTGCTTTCAGTTTTTATCAACGTCATCGTTAAAAAAACTAAACGCTTTGCTAGAGGAAATAACAAAATTGCGCTATAAAGGCCCATGTACACCTGTCTTAAATGAATTACCGCTCTAAAAGGAATTAAAGGCGTCACCATGGATACCTTTCATTTTTTTTTCTAGGAAGACCGACAAGTTCGAGTTTTGCTGCATAGCAAAGTTATCTGGTCCAAACTGCTCGGCTCCTAAAGACCTGTTCTCTTCCTGTGATGATCTTATGGCAAACACCACTCTGTATGTCTGTATCTGGATTCTAGGGAGCATCGCATTGGTTGGAAATGCCTTTGTACTGATGTGGCGAATGAAAACCAAGAGCGACAACAAAATTCATTCACTGCTGCTGCTTAACCTGGCAATTGCGGATTTCTTGATGGGAATTTATTTGATCATTATTGCGGGTGTAGATGTGTTCTATCGCGGGAGGTACTTCATATACAACGCCAGCTGGAAGCGGGGTCCACTATGTCAGTTCAGCGGTTTCATCTCCACGATCTCCAGCGAGGCCTCCGTGTTTATTTTAACAATTATGACAGTTGATCGTTATGTCACTATCGTCCACCCTTTCAGACACATAGGTCTGAGCGTGCGTGGTACGTACGTAGCGTTGTTTGTCACGTGGTTTGTGGCTTTCATACTGGCTGGGATTCCTGTGACTGGAATTGAGTACTACAAAGAATTTTACGCGCGTTCGGGAGTCTGTCTTCCGCTACAGTTAACTGCAAACAAACCCATGGGATGGGAATATTCTGTCTTTTTGTTTCTTGCCTTAAACTTTGCCTCGTTCATGCTGATATTCGTTCTGTATTTGGTGATGTTCTTCAAGATCCAGAAAACTCGCCAAATGAGTGGTGCAGGTAATGCAGTCACTTCGATCGGAACTAGAATGGTATTTATCGTCCTGACCGATTTTTCTTGTTGGATTCCGATCATAATCATTGGAATTGCTTCGCTGCTAGGAATGGAGGCAAGTCCGACTGTGTACGCTTGGATAGCTGTCTTCGTTTTGCCTTTGAATTCCGCTTTAAATCCGATTCTTTACACAATTTCCACCGCCAACTTCCGAAGGAAACTTCGTGGTACTGTTCGCAAGCGAAGTCGGAAAACCGATGGTTACGTCACCGAGCATTCGTTACTCGACTCAAAGTCGGCAAATTCAGGATCCAACAATGGGAAGTCAAAGCTCCTAAACGGAAATACGCAGGAATCCGATTTATAAGTGAGCAGCTCTAGAATTAGATACTAGGTGAAAATTACGGAAATTCTCGTTATCAATACGGGAGAAGACTAAGTACTACATATGAAAATGTAACAACACGCACTTAATCCCGAATAAGCTAAACTCAAGATTACAACAATTGCCAAGCTTGATGTCAAGAAACACCGAGGAACCTTCACGCTGTAAAACTAATAACTGCAAGTTTTAAAATATCTCTCCATAAAGGGAACAAACACTTTTAGGGATAATTTTGAACAATTGGTCTTACATGATAGATATGAAAATCAGGATTTGATCTAATTGCTCTATTCCAACACGAAACAAATGCTTTGAGTCTAATCAGACGAGTTTGTTTGCTGACAAAGGGTAGAGTATATGATACAGGGCTTCGGCTGCGCCATTGAGTATTTTTCATTTAAGTCAGTGTCAATCATGAACAAGGTTTGTAATGGTTTTACTTCATTACACCAGTGATTGGTTAGAGACACGGGCTCCTTGTCAGTTTCCTTCTGATCCGATATGATAACTTAGGGTTTAGTTTTTGAGTCACTCAATAGAAAAGTGCAGCATAGCCTGCAATCTTATTTCCAATATGATTTCAAGATAAGTGTTAAAATTCCCATGATATCAGCTGATTCTGGAGATTGGCTAGTGAGGGCCCAGTGGACCCTCAGTCACCCCCTTCTTTAATCCATATAAATGTCCTAGTCTCCTACCCAAACCTTCCACGGCCAAGCCTACATTTCAGTTACAGTTACATGGCAGGACTGAACACGAGATTACGAATGTCTTAATTTCTCCTGCAAATTCAACATAAAACTCAAAATAAACTTGTGTCAAAGTGTATCTGATATATATACCAAATACTGCTTTTCTGTTCCAACTTTCTTAGAATAATTCAGGAGGGTAGGCAAAGTAAGAGGTGCACATGCACCATACAGCCCTCCCCCTCCCCATTCTTCAGCTGCACCCTTGAACAAGAAACCTAGGCATTAACAACAACAAAAAAGAAAACAACAACTGAAACACACACACACAAAGCTTCTTTTAGTGCTAAAACAAAATCTAGGAAATAGAACAGTAAGGGCACAAAATTTTGGTACATACAGCCTAGAGATGGTTTAAAAAGGCTTATTTTAGCATAAAAACAGGATAAAGGACATAGGTAAGTATAGTGCAATTGACAAATGTATGTTAATTTAATATTTTCAACTATAAGTGTTTTGGGCCAATTTTCAGCCTTCTAAACACTGTCAGTCCACTGTCCATGATGCGTTGGTATCACATTGGCTGACAGTTGGTGGACACAGGTTAACAACAGCTGGACATAAGAGCTATTGTTCACTTTTCCCAAAAGTGAACAAATAACAGAGATCTGAAAACACATGTCGATTATGCTTTTAATAATATCAGTTTCACCATGTGAATCAACAAGCAAAACACAAAACACAAATCCATGCACTAATGAAACATGATATGAAGGGTTTTAATAACCTTTTCCATAGGCAGCTGTCAATCATGGCTGTGACCAGAAAAGGGACTAAGGCAAAACCCTAACATGAAAGCCTGCTTGCAGGCTAACAAGGTGGTAGTGAGGGGTCTTATAGGCAGTGGTGAGGGGTTTTAAAGGCAGCAATGAGGGGTCTTGTTGGCAAGTTCACTGGCTTTCATTGAAACCCCTAGATACTGTCTTTTAGAATTTTTACAAAGAAATCAAACCTGATGATACAGATCAGCAAGTGATAATTGAACATAAACTGCTCCAATGGAAAAATACAAAAGTATCAAAATTGTGTAGTCCAAGGGAAATCTGTCCCTCAGTTAAAATTAGAGGAGGTTTTAGCTTGAATTTCCACCTTATGGAAAGTTCCAGTCTCATGCTACAAAACAGCAACTGAAAAAGGTGACCACAGAGACAACCGTTTTGAAACCTTTTAGTGCTACATCACTACCATAGAAATTATTTAGGTGATTTTACAGGTACAGTAGAACCTCACTATCTTGAAGTCAGTGATTCAAACTCCCTGCTGACTAAAACTTGGAAATATTTCCCTCCTTGTACATTTTTAAGTTATTTACTGCACTACTAGCCGATTAACCCTTTCACTTCCAAGAGATAATTGTTAATTCTCCCCTTTACCTGTTACATTGTCCTTGTAAATTAGTTACGATAATTTGATAGCAGCTTCTACCTGACAAGTTTGAGTATTCCCATTACCTGTTTGCTGGATAATGTACAGATATTATAAGAGGAAATTACATCTTAATCAATCACCTCCGGGAATTAAGTTTGGCCCATCATATCTCTTAAACAAGCAAGGTGACCTATCTTTTTAAATTTATTTTTTAAAACATGTATTGGTAGGGAACATTTAAGGAAAAGTTTTAAAAAATTGTGCAATAACTTTTATTTTCTGAGCAATCACCTTAAAGGGTTACCCCCCCTCCCCCCACTGCCTCAAATGTTCTCTGTTTCCATTGAAGATGCAAGTTAGTGAAGTTCTACTGTATCAACCATTGAAAACCATTCAAACATTAAAAAGTCTGTTCAAGTGTCTATTTCCACTAAGAACTATTCCACCATTTTTCATGTGCACCTTTCATTTCAGTTAGCACTACCATCACTGCTTGTTTCTCAACATTTTTTGGAGGCAGAGGACAAGTGCGGAAGGACACTCTGTCTCCTTCTTTAGGTACAAACTCTCCTTCAATACTGAAATAAGAATTAACAAAAAAATTTTATGCAAAAACCAACTCATAAGATCAATGTTGTGCAACAATTTTTTAATAAATTCAACAGCTAGGAAAAAGGGGCTATAAAATTAACCACTTTGATCACCCCTGGACTTCAAGCAGTCAATCTTTTTTGGCAAAGTCTGTCATGCAAGTAAAACAATTATAAAAATAATATGCAAAAAAAAAAACAAAAAGGACAATGGGGAGAGGGAGGGAGGAGGAGTGAGCCACAAAAAAATAGGGACTTCAGACTGATCCAGAGAGTTTGACCTCTGTGTTGCACTCACAATGCATATATGTAATTGGCTATCGGCTGAAAACTGCAAAAGCAGTGAAGCATGTTAAGGAATTGCCAACATCCAAGATTTATTAAGGTTGATGAGCTGTAGGAATTTTTATCACAGTTTCAAAAAATGTGTTAGCTGAAACCATTGAAACCAGAGCAGACTGATACCCTGAAAGCACTCATTGGTGGAAATCATGTTCTGGCAAACTTTTGCCAACCAGCTTTGGAAAGAGCCTTATCTACCAATATTATTATTTTTTCTGTGTGCGTCTTTCCTAGAGTTAAGTGGCGTGCTAACATCTCTTTTAGGGGAGAGGGGAGACTGATTTTTTTTTAACTTGCCCAATGGACTTCAAAAAAAAGAAGGAACTGCACATAGCCTAGACTTTTCCACGCAGTATCAACTCTTTTTGAGCATCTTAGTAGAGGCAACATTTTTCAAACAGATATCATTAAGGCTAGGAGTGGGGGGGGGGAGGGGGGGGGAAGGTGAGGGTATTGTTGTTGATTCCCTGCCGGTGAATAATTTTCTCTACATATAGGTAGGCAAGTTTGAGGTCTGCAACAGACGCTTTCAAATAAATAAACAATTTGCAGATTCGTTCATTTGCTATGATTATATGGACCACTGAGCCTGCTGTGTGAAAACATCAAAGAGGTAAGTCTTCACCAGCTGAGTAGTTTGTAAGTAATTTAGTGTTAACAACTGAGTTGAAAACATAAATTGGCCACCATAAAGAGGGATTGACAAAGTAGTTTGTAGTTGTAAGTAGTTTGTAGTTATGAAGCTTATTACCATTCTGTTGCCTCAAGGCACATGACATTTTACAATTAAATGAAATGTAGAGTATTTTGATTTGCAGATGATATGGGAGTAAAGAAATGATCTGCACAGGGAGGCTGAAAATAAAAACATTGTAGAAAAGAAACCCAAAAGAATTCCTGCTTCCACAGTTTCAAACCTGTAGCTCCCAGATACTACATGGGTGCTTCTACAAACTGTCCTGTCTAAGTTTTTCAGGCTTTGTTTCTGCAATTTCTTTAATTGCAGCTGAACCCAAAGCTAGAATATCCTATGACAGGGTAAACCTGTATCATCAACTGATTTGTTTATGTAAATTGGCCATGGTAAAGAGCTAAAAAGCTGATGTTTCAAGCATTAGCCCTAAGACTGAGCAAATGGATGAATTGTGCGTTGTGTGCATGTTTACATGCAGAAAATGGTGCTACGCTATTCATGGGAATATGGCAATGAGTAAACAAGAATAAATTAGTGGAATGAAAAGCACCCATTGATACCGTGGGGATTGAGAGTGCTGATTTGAAAGAAAAATCTTTGTTCTAGAGTAGTGTGGCTTTCTGAGCTGCCTTGATATAGGGAGAGGCTGTAAACTACTGTATACTGCCCTGAACGGTTTACAATGATTAAGGAGATTAAAGTGTCTAGCATCTAGTTTGGATGTGTCCATATCTTATGGTTGATTGTACATTCAAATAAGACTCAATTTCTTTCTGTGACAGTGCACTGATGCTAAGAGAAAATCCTTCAGGGCAAAGTGGCTTCACCTTACAAATTTCATTACATTACTTTCATGACCTACAGAAGCCATATTTTATTTAATAACTCATTTTATACTCACTCAGAAATATGCACAAAAATATCCTTTCCTCCATCATCAGGGGTAATGAAACCATGACCCTTGTTCCGACAAAAATTCTTACAGACTCCTGTTTGCTCTGGAGATTCTGATGCAATTCTTGATCTAGATTTAAAATTTAAAAGACATTCAGCATTACGTTTCATTAAATGTAACATCTATGTAATAGATAAAGACAATTCACTCTAAAGAGAGAGGGGGAGAGGGATCTTTCTGTGCTCACTTTTTATCCTATCATTTTTTTCCCTTTAATTCCCACGATCTGATTGGTGATTCTCCCCTCTAACTGTTATACATTTCCTTGTAAATAAGTTACTGGAATTTGGTGTTAGCTAGATCAAGATTGAAACTTCTACCAGATAAATTTTCATTATCTTTTTGCCAGATAAAGTATGGATATTTTAGGGAGAAGTCATAGGTTAATCTCTTCTGGGGGTTGATTAAAGGTTCATCATAGCTGGACTATCTATCAATTTGCTTGAACAATTTTTTCCTCAAAGGGTTTCCATTCTAAGTGTTAGGACAAAAATATTGACAGGAACAAACTAGGACTACGATGTCATGATTCCGAAAATTTATCTGACTATGCAGTCTTTTTACTGATAGCAATATTGAAAACTTAATTTAATCCTTGCAAGAATTTAGGGGAGTAGAAGGGGCTTGGCCACTTGGTATGCAAATGCTTTCTTTCAACAACATAAGATTTATATTTAAGTGAACTTAAATCGACCAAGACGCACTCGTCTGGTTAGAAATTGTTATCTTGGGTCTTTTCAAAAAGATCTGTGAAAACCAAGTGAAAAGTGAAAAAAACATTTTGACAAATAAATTACGATTAATTCATGTACATTCAAGAGTTACTCTCGAAGAAAAATCTACATGCTGTTTACAATTTCAATAACATACTAACAACAACAGCTGGGAAAAATAAATTGCATTGAGTGAAATCAGTGAAATCTTTGACATCCAAACACTGTTTTACGATATGGGATAATTACTTACTGGGAAGAAGTCCTAGTTCGCCTCGTGGGTACAGGACTAGGTATTTTAAATGGAAATTTTCTTGGGTGCATGGGCGAGCCCTCTGGACTTGACAAGCTCTTTTCTTTATGGTCTTTATTAGGGCTTCCAGCTGGCTTTTCTTCCACGATCTCCACTTGGCCGTCTTTGTGTTCAGAAGACATACCTAACTACATAAATTTACGAGCGAAAACGTCAAGCAGAAATGAGCATTTCTTTTAGTTAAAATCGAGACAAAATCCAGGCCCTCGCTTGTGCATTTCAGATTATGTTAATACCAATGCATCGCTCTCGAGTATTTAATCATAAAACCATCACGCAAAACAAAAAAAAAGGGTTTTGCACGGATTTAATCCTTCTGATTTTTTAACTTATGCATTCAATAAAAGTTACCTCACCTTTGATAAGAAATAATCTTAAATACTGGCTTCAGGCTGTAAAGTAATCTTGCACGACACCACTTCCAACTTCACTCCACTTCCCTCCCTCGGAGAAGAATCATTCCCAGCTCATCTCTGTCAATGTTTGAGCCCAAAGCCTGGGGAAACAAAACAACATGGCGTCTGAAGTGAAAGGTTACAATCAATTTCTTCCGTAAAACTTCCTTTTTCATCTCAGATTTCATCTCTTGCTCTCGGCGAATAGAATGTTTGTAACGTCTTCTCAGAAGTATATCATGAGTGGTAAGATCAATGTTCTGAAGTTTCTAAAACGTCGCATGAAATTGGAATCTTGGATATTACACCACGAATAAGCGTTGTTGCTCAAACTTGTATTGACTTTGTATTTTACCTTTGTCATTGTGTGAAACAAGGAGGCCAGCAGCAGAATACAGAAACTGAGAGACAGCATCTGCTTGACAGATTACTTGATGCCGTAAAACAGGTAAAAATCGGATACTTGCTCTGGAAATACTGGTGATTTGTATCAATGTGACGTGACTAGACAAATAATTCAGCAGACGTTCTAGAATATGATAGTTTGCTCACCATTTGTTAAACATTAGCTTTTTAATTACTTTAGTCTTGAAATCTATCTTGAAAAATGGGTGGTTGTCAAAGAGAGGAAAATGAAAATGAAAAATTTTCAATTTTGCCCTTGGTTTAAATGAAATTCATTTTTAATTTTTCTATTTGAAATGTAGATATTTGCGAAATTAATTTTCTCTATTGCTCAGCTTGCATTTGTACAAGACTTTTGTTCCATTTTGTATCTTATGGATTAAGTTACTAGTATTTTAGTTTCCTCAATAAGCAGTCATGCTGAAGTACAGTGTATTTATGACACTTCAACATGGTTCCTATCTCATCTTGATTATATTGAATGTGACCTTGTATATTAAAGATTCACAGACAAAATTGGTCAAGTTATGGCCAGGGGTGGTGGGGGGAGGAGGTAATAAAAGCAAGGAGAATTTGCTTAACATTCCCAAGAATCTTTTAATCAGTGATCATTTCCTATATTCTCATGACCTTGAAGTCTGATTCAGCAGTGATGATATAAGGAGAAATATGATCTTGGTCACTTACAGTGGTCAAAGGATTGAAAAACATTCTTACATTGAATTTATTTTTATGAATTATCATTACTTTGTAAAAGCAGTTTTCAAGTGAAGACATTTGTATTATTTTTTCACTGGTAGTGCCAAGTTAGATTTGGAGGAAAAACAGAACTTGCCACGGATGGAGACAGCAGGTAATGAAATTAGATGCATATCTGCACGTGCTCATGACAGGCAGTTGCAACAGCATAATCCAGGCACAGTCCTTATACAGTTTTCCATCTTGTTTTGCATGAAACTTTCCTATACATTTGAGACTTGGGAAATAAAAGGCAATAGAAAAGCATTTTCAAAGCTTGTGAAAAAATTGTGCTCATTCCACACAATATTTTTACACACTTTTCAACTATTTCTAGAAGCCTCCATGTGAAAAACTTGGACTATTGCATGAACTTTAGAGCTTCATTGGAAAATTGTGACTCAATATTAATGAATGACCCTGAATTTTATGGAGCACATGTCAGTGAGAATTAACATGATGTTGATCTTATGTTGATCATTTGCTGACTAGCAGATTAACACAGAAATCAGCATAATGACATCAGTGATATAATTATTTTTTATTCTATGTATAGAGTTGAACTTGTATGAAGAAGCATGATATTAAGAAGTTTCCCTGTATTAAGCAGTCAGCTTTCAAAGTCCTGCAATATTTTCCCCTTAATTACTGTAATTTTCACCTGTATTAAGTGGTCACCTCTATAAAGCAGTCTAGTTCACCTTATCTAAGTCCCAATGGCCTTTTGTATTTCCTTCAAACTGGTTTTTTAAGGTTCGTTTGAAATGGAATAAGAATAATCTTTCAAATGAAATTAAATCCAATTGTTTGTCTCCCAAAATCAATGTAGGCATTGTTTTTGAACAAGTTATTATAAATTAGGTGGTCATTTATGACAAAACATGGCATTTTTTTTCTAATACTCCTCTTCTGAGGAACCTGTATCAAGCAGTCAAACTGTATTAAGCACTCACCCCATCATTCCTTGGGGGTGACCACTTAATACATGTTCAACTGACTGTATATAAGAACCCATGCGAAAAGATAATACATTGTGCCTGAGTGAAAAGGTAATTAACATGTTAGTGCTGTATCTATGGAAATCTTTTTTTACCCTGAACTTTATAGCTGCAGAGTAAAACAGGTTAAGCTGAAAAATAATCTATCAAATGAGATGTGTATATCATGATTTAAGGATGCAAGAACTTACCTTGTGACTGGTTATGAATTTTTCAGGGTTGTTTGCCTGCTAACTCAGTTGGAAGCAGTTTTCCAACATGGCTTTAAAAAATCCAGAGTTAGTGCATTTAGGTAAATATTTTTCATCGATGTTCATGAGTGTTTGTGAATTACTCTTAAGAAGTAAAAAATTACAATACAGTGTTATATGTAAAGCACTTCTCCTGGTGGTGTTCATGAAATTCAAGCATTTTTATTTTCACTTCACATAGGCAAGTTGGCCAAGCAGCAGGAATAGTAAAGTTAGACCCAGATTCAGGTACCAACAGAGCTCCAAGCTCAGTGTTTTCCAAAATCACTGTTTCAACACAATTCACCATGTGCTTGACTTTTGCAGATAAAGCAGTTGTCAATTGAGAAATTGTTCTAATTGCTATCTTGGTGAGCAACATAGTAACAGCTTAGTGCACTGATCGGATGTCAGTGGTTACAATAAATCACTAATTTACCACCAGATTGTAAACCCTACATTGAACAATTTTCCTGATTATTTGATTTGTGTTGGTAGTTCTCTTAACCTTTTTTACCTGAAATCTTTCCAATTTTTCTTTGTTGCTCCTTTTACATGTTTAAAACAACCTATAATTTATTTCTTATTAATGAATAGCTTTTCTCTCTCCAGCCTTTTGGAGCTTTGTGAAAGCTCACTTGGGAAAACTTGACCTGGATAGATTTCTTGAGCTTCAGAAAGCAACAACAGATGCAGGACGAGGTTGGTTTAAATTTGATTCCACCTTTAAGCCAGAAAGGAAACTTTGATTTCCATTGCTCTGCAAATTTAATTTACATGGCTCAGGAGAAAGATAATCAGGATTTTTCTAGTTGGGGGTAACATTAACTCCATTTGACTGAGTGGTTAGATTGTGCTGGTGATAGTAATTTCCATCAATCAGCTTAGTGTGCCACTTTTTCATTCTTCCCACATTTTGACATCATCTTTGATCTATAACTTAACAAACACACAGCAACATGCAATCTATTTGTGATACATTTTTGTCAGAGATATTCTGCTCTTTTGCAAGGTCGTGCTTGGTTGAGGGCCTCATTGAATGAACACTCACTGGAACGATATTTTCACAACATACTGCATAATCAAGCTCTTTTAAGGTAAGCTGAACAGCCTTGGACATTTGTGAGCCTTATTCTAGTAAACCATTTTAGTCTTCAACATTGCATGTGGTTAGGAGATTAACTCAAATTCATGTTGGATTCTTGGAATTCCTCAGTCAATTTTATGAGAAGGAAGCTTTCTTTATGGATCAAGAACGTGCCAGTATGCTTCCCATGATTGCTGCAGGTGAGTCTGTTGTAACTGGGGAGGGGAGGTTAATGGTCAGTTAACTGGTTTACCAGACTCAGGTTGGAATGGGCCAGGTTTGTGCACTTGGCCAAGTCAATGTGCAATGTGTTTTGTTCTCAAAGAACCTCAATCCATCCAGGGTCTAAATGAATGACTGCAAACAAAGAGACTTGGTAAATTGCTTGGGTTGCTATCCACCAATTCCTTCCAAGAAAGGTTATAAATACCCCTCCCCCCCTGTATTTTTCATACTAATAAAACTGCTCTGGCAGTAAGTGGCCAATAGGATTTGCTGTCTTATGAATTGTTCATTGTCATTCTGATATCATTTTTATTGATGTTGTATCTTGGCAGGGTTGAGTTCCATTCTGTTTGCCCTTACTGTTGATAGTGAGGAACTAAACATTGTAAAACAGGCAAGTACTACAGCCACAGTATTGCAGAAAATAAATTTTGTTGGATATGTTAATCATGAGACTGTATTTTTGTTACCTATGAACAAAACTATAGCAAACTTAATCCATCAATGTTCTCATTTCCTCCAGGCCCCAGCATTAACAATCAACAAAGATGTCTTCAATAATATTTTACCATCTTTCCCACAAAAGCCTGTTGTGGAACCTCTCCCAGTGTACTCTGCTGAACTCACTGGTCAGTATCTGTCTGTTGTGTTAAACTGAACTTTGGGTCTTTGAAACAATCTTTAAACAAACTCTGACATGAAGAAGATCAATATCAAACTGTTTTTAAGGAGACTGTAGAAATAGGCCTAACAATCTCCAGTAAAACAAGTATTCCTGTAATAATAAACATCAACCTGTTACCTGGGAGAGTTAACATGTAGAAATCATGAACAAAAATCCCAGATTAAGCAATTTCCTGTTCCTCTTTATTCCAGTGCTGAGTTACTGACTTGTATCAGTTCTTCATTGTAGAGAAATCATTTTTGATTGATTGATCAATGGAGATATTGGTTAATTGATAGATTGGTTAAGCTATTGAGTGAGTGATTGGTTGATAGAGTGACTGACTGATTCACCCATTGACTCACCAACTCTTCAGCTCACCGACCTACTAATTGACTAATTGACTGACTGACTCACTGACTGACTCACTGACCAACTGATTGACTAATTGACTCACTCACTGACTGATTGACAAACTGACTGACTCACTGATTGACTCATTGTTTGACTTAGTGACTGATTGACCAACTGACTAACTGATTAACTCACTGACTGACTCACTGGCTGATTGACTTACTAGCTGAGCAATTGACTGAACAACTGACTGACTGAGTGGTCCACTAAATGACTGATTGATTGACTGACTGATTGACAGAATGACTGTATGACTGACTGACTGACTAACTGACTGACTGACTCACTGATTGACTGACGGACTTACTAACTGACTGACTGACTGACTGACTCACCTACTCACTCACTGGTAGATTGACTCACTGACTGACTGACGCACTAACTGACTGACTCACTGACTCACTGACTCACCTACTCAATCACTGAATCACTGATTGATTGACTGAGTGACTGACTAACTGACCGACTGACTGACTGATGGACTGATTGACAGACCTGCTGACTGGCTGACTGACTGACTCACCTACCCACTCACTGAGTCACTGATGGATGAACTCACTGACTGACCAATTGACTGACCTACTAACTGACCAACAAATGGCCGATTAATCTACTGACTGATCGACTTCGATTCAACAGATGAATCTAAAACAGAAAAAAAGAAAAAGAAGAAGAAGAAGAAACGAAATGCTGCTATTGTTGCCATCGAAGATGATGACAATCTTCCACTGAACAGTGCAACAGATGGAAAAGATTTACCTCCTAATGTCTCAACAGTGAAGCAGGAAACACCTACTTCAAATTCTGCCTCGAAGACTTCGAGTTTAGGCCACACCCGTGCTTCGTCCTTTCCAGGTAACTTCCCGCTGGTGATTGAAGGTTCAGCTGAGGTGAAATCGCGTGTAAATGAACAAGCATTTACCGATATAACAAAATCCATCTCTTTGCCTGACAACTCTTTGCCCGTAGAAAACGTTGTCGAGATTGCTCCGCAAGGGAGTAAAAACAACAGCTTCGATTTGGAAGAGGTTCCAGGAAAGATGACAGCGGAATCTGAGTATGTCTCTAACCGGGAAGGTGTACAGGAATCCCCTGTAGGAGAGGATACGGAAAATTTTGTTTTGGAAACTGTCGATTTTTTGCGTGCGCAACCCAGGATGGACGAAGCAAAAACAAACTCACAGGAGGTAAAATATGAAACGGAACATCACAACGAGAAACAGATATCCACAGACATACCAACTGTCGATGGGGAAAGTTGTGAACCTGTGCTTCTGCCTCAAGATGATTTCAAACTAAGTGAAAACGATTTGTATTCTTTCGAGAGTAAACGTTTCAGTGATGGTTCTTCGACTGTGAAAGCAAGTTATTATTCTAAAGAAAAAGATGATTTGAGTCAAGGACTTACGAGTGAAGATTCATTTCGTGTTTATAGTTTAACAGAGGACGACAGTGAGACTGACGCAAACTTTTCAATGGCGCAGTTTCAAGTTCCTAAAGTAGTTGAGATAAATATTAAGGAAGGAGAGGCCGTTGCTACTGAACCAGTTGTTGATGCGCTAAAGAGTTCTACCCCTGTAAACCTGATCGAGAGAGAGGACATGAAAAATGGTTCCTTTGTTGCAAAGGAACACCTAGATACAAGACACAGTCCAAGTGGGATAGCAGTAAAACAAGAAAGAATGAATGGTCAAGAAAATTTGGATAATGAAGAGTTTAGAAATGATTCGAACGATTATGACGAAGTTACAACTGGTGCTGAATTGCAGCCTGGTACATTTGAACCCGTGGTGTTGTTGGACAGCGGAGAATCCCTAGTTCCCCTGACCGAGGGTGACCTTAATACAGCGAAAACTGGGACACAGTCCACATTTTATTGTGCGCCTGATGCTTCAATGGAAAACGACCGCGATTCTACCTCATTGTCAAGGTTAGTAAAAGGAGAAATTGTTTTCCCTGGAATTTTTAAATTGGAAAGTAATAAGCGGGACAAGATGAAATCTGCGAAATTAGGAAACGGTGACAGGTAAGGGTCCTGGAAAACTTGGAAAGTCGTGGAATTTTATTTGAAATTTTCCAGGACTGGAAAGTCCTGGAAAAAGACAAAAGGTCCTGGAAATATGCTTAACTCAAGCAATAAAGTTTTCAGAATTTACGTTATGGGAAATGTATGTAGACCGCAAGGAGAGCTGATCTTGAAATCTTGGGAATGGAAGGGTTTAAGGCAAAATTTGGTGTCGTGGAAAAATCAATCTGAGTCTTGGAAAAGTCCTTGAAATGTTTTTCTGAAAAAGGGTTCGAACCCATAGAAGGGAGTGAACGCCCTCTATTTTTCTTCTCTTTTTGTTTTTTTACGTCTTGTTGTTGGTGAAGAAAAACTGATCTTGTTCTCTAGTTCACAACTAGGGTTTATAACAAGCAACACCCAAATACTCTCACAGACATCATAAGGAATAATGTAGGAACGATTGACTGAAGATTCATAAACTGTAAACGAACCAAACATTTTCTTTCAACCCTAAGCTGTACTAAATCACCAATTTTAGCGATTTTCGATTGAATATCGTAAAACCAAAACCAAATTTATCACAACGACCAATCGGAAGAAAGGAAAATACTTTTAAGAGCCAATGGGAACTCAAAGTAACAAAAAAACAAAAAACAGCCTAAAGCGCGGGAAAGCGCAGAGAAACGCGGGTGACCAAGTCGTGATTGGTTTTATTTTTGCATCTGATTGGTTGAGAAAGTGGCACGAGTTTTCAGGACCAATTATCAGAGCGAAGTAAGGAATTAAAGCAAAACTGATCCCATCCCGGATTATTTTCGAAACTCAATTCAAACTGATCAATTACCATAAAAGGTACGACGTTCTCATAAGGACTTATTTTCCCGGGACAATTCCCATACTGCTAAATGGAAATTTCCAGCAGAATTATGCGAATAAAATTAATTCTCCATCACAATTTCCTTCCCAACCCTATCAGCTGGTCCAACTTGGAGGACGCCGAAGAATTCCCTGAACTAAAGGATGATTCCCCTCACAATGACAATAGACGAGCGCGTTCCATGACGTCACCGGATGTTTCTGCAGCTACCGCTGCCCTTGCAGCTTGTACCGATGCTCAGAGAGGAATGGACATTATGACGCGGTAAATTCTCTTTAACCCGTTAAACCCTGCGAGTGACCAGCATCTAATTTCTCCTAACAATATCAACCTTAAATTACACATTATGGTCACGAGAATAAAGGAAATGATTACCAAATGAAGAAGCTTTGTTTTTTAAAAAAAAATCTCCCTTTAAACACCAAAGGAAATGTATGTAACATTTCTCTAGCATTCACAGTAAGATGCAAATTTCCCCTCGCTTAACGTAGATTCCATGTTTTCCCGCGCCTAGCGCTGGCTTCTTAGTTTTGACTTTCAAATATTTTCTGGCCCATGAGATGTTTGTAATTTTTTCAGGGGATTTGCATCTATGGAAAATCAAGCTGGGCACGTAAGTTATTTTGTTTTTATTTGTCTGATTATTTTTTACTTAAATTTTTGAGTATTTTAAAGTACCATGTAAAAAGTGTAAATGTTTTCTTTCAGAGAGACTTCTCTAGCAGACAAGATGGAATGAGCAAAGGTAACTAAAAAACTAGTATAATTTGGTTTTATCAACTGAGTTTTTAAATTAAATTGGCCACCGTAAAGAGTTTCTATTAGCTGACGTTTCGAGCGTTATGCCCTTCGTCAGAGCGAATAGAGGAATTGTGGGTTGTGTGTGGGTCATGTGCAGAAAGATGGAGCTACGCGATTGGTGAACATGGTAACGTTTTAATCCCCGCGCCCGCGCGTTGGTGAAAATATATGATGGGTTTGGTTACGTTGATTCGCGTCTTCAATTGAGTTCAGCATCCAATGTCTTAATTTTGGGTTGATTCTTGCATCTTCAACAGGTGAACTAAAGCAGGCGATTGTGTCCATGATGTTGAGAAAAGATGAAATGGAAGAAAATAACAGGTAAGTTAACTTGTCAGAGTGGTTTGTTACTTCTAAAGTGCACTCCTACTGAATGCCGGGAAACCAAAACCTAAGTAATCACGACGACCAAGACGACGACCAAACAAAATGAGGAGATGAGTGAGGGGAATGAGAATTACAAGCATCCGGCCTGAAGGGCGGGAAAACGTGCGCAATTAACAAGAAACATGATTGGTTTTGGTTTTTGCATCTGATTGGTTGAAAAGGTGGACCCTGTTTTTAGCCAATCATAGGGCGAAGAGTAGCAAAACCAATGCAATCACAGACAACTTTAGAGCTCATTTTAATGTTTCTGAGGAATATTATTGAAGTTCCTTGTCGCGTTTACTATCCCTTATCTTTCAAATTGCTACGTAATTTTTTGGTGTGCTTGAATCACAAAAAATCTTCTGCATAGATTCTGCTTGAAGAATGATAACTTCACCATATACTTTGTCTTTTATTAGTAATGAATTCAAAATCGCTTTCAGCGGCCGAAGCTTCCAGAAACACCATGATAGTTTTTGTAAGTCAGTAACAATTTCTATCAAAAAATACCAAAGAACTTTTTCACAAATTTTTCCCTTATTTATAACTTGACTAATAAGCTTATCTTTCCTCCTGACCCCGGTTGTTCAAAGGTTGGATAACGTTATCCACAGGATAAATCTCTATCAGGCCCCCCGGTTGTTCGAAGGTTGGAAAGCGCTATCCACTGGATAAAACTCTATCCGGTGGATAACGCTGTATGTTTTGCTATCACTTATCTGCTGGATAGCGATTTATCCATCGGATAGCGAATTATCCATTGGATAGCGTTATCCGACCTTTATACAACTGGACCCTGCTGGTGAATAGTGCAGTACGTTTTGCTATCTATCACTTATCCGCTGGATAGAAATTTATCCGTTTGAAAAGCGTTTTCTTCCGCTCATACAACTGGCTCCTGGTGAATATGGTGACGTGGTTTTGCTTCTCCGAAAGTTTAATATAGCCTTCAGAGGATTTTCCCCGTGAACTTGTGCAAGGCACGTCTATGTGAAAATTTGAGGAGAGGTAGTTGTCCTTGTCGTTGTAAAACAATTTCGCTTATTCATTGTTTTAGGACCCTTCAAAATAAACTTGCGGAAGAGCGCCAGAAATCACTTCACCTTCATACAGAGACTGAGGACCTCAAGGAGGAAATAAAAAGACAAGAGAACTTGAACGCAGCTAAAATACGGTCTTTATCCAGGTACACTCAACATAAACTGAGTATCGAACACTTTTTATCTTTATACAATGCACGGAAACTCCTAGCCGATTCCGGGTAATTTTCGGAAGGTTCTGTCTTGTTTTTAAATATTCCGCCTGATTTTGGGTATTTCCCCTCATTTTTGGACTGTTCCATCTAACTTCGGACACTATCGTAATTTCCGGACGGTTCTATCTGGTTTCGGACATTTCCGTCCAATTACGAACCTCTGTCCGATTTCGTTCACTTCTGGCCGATTTGGCCACCTCCCTCCATTTTCTTAAGGTTGTTGATGAACTGAAGTGTTTTATTACCTTATTTGCAGAGAAAACGAGTTACTAAAGCATCAGCTGAAGAAATACGTCGGAGCTGTACAAGCGCTGAGAAGCGATCTCCGCAACAAGTCATCTGAAACAACCGAAGGTAACGCATCATCGGAAACGATGCCTGTGACCTGTGCGCCATAAACTTGCAGAAAAATTGAGATTTTTTTTATCGAGAGGTCTGATGGCGAAAGGAGATCCTTATGTTACAGGGTGTGACTTTCTCTATACGTTCCTCCTTTCCCTCTTATTTTGTACGTTTTTGTATACATTCGCGTTCGCAGTCTCCCAAGGGCCCTGAGACTCAAAAATTAAACACGTGGTAAACTGTTGACGAATGCGACCGCTCAAACTTAAACTTTTATCATTTTGGTTACCATGGGATTCAAAGTTTTCCATTTGTGAACTATTGTTGTGAAAGGCGTATACGTCCTGAGATTAATAACTCCGTTTCCTTTGCTGTGACAGCGTTGTCTGGAATTAGACAAGATGACGTGTTACCTCCTATGCCACCAGAAAGATTCACAGAACACCTTCAACAAAGGTTTGTTTTTTTCTTCCTTGTGTGAGGTGCATCTGTATATGGGGTTGAAACGAAACGAAGTATGAAGAGAATTGAGAAGAACTTAAAGTAAATTCATGTAAGCGGCATCAAGTGCGGAAAACCTCAATAACCATATAGCGACTGGTTTCAGTAATGCATCTGATTGACTGGGAGAGTGGCGCGAGGTTTCTTGGCCAATCGCAGGGCAGACTGTTAAGCAAAACCAGTGGAATCCCGGGCCCCGTTAGACGCTGGAGAAAAAAGTTTACTGATATCCTGTTTAAATTTTTATTAGCGTCCTTTATGTCTTGTTTGTTGTTTTGTAGTGAAGAGGCTGAGGAATATAAAAGGAAACTTATTCAGGTGAGAAAACGCCAAGCGCGCGGCCAAGCTGTAAGTAATTACAGTCGCGGCTTTAGTAGCTTGAAGAGAAGGTGTAATCTCGTTTTTTTTTTTTCTTCGTGGAGATTATAGCTGCCGTGTTTGATTTTTACTTAAGTGGAAGGTTGGGGAAAGAAATTTGTGTCAGGGGGGTGAGCGACAGTCAAAAGGAGGGAGAGGGGTAGGGATGGGGCGATACAATCCCATGTTCTTATTTTGTAGTCTCCTCCAATTTGACATTCGTACAGTTTTATTCGGCGGAAAAGAAGAAGGAAATTCTGTCTTGAGCTTCGGAATTCAAGCTGTTACAGTAGCGGTAGCACGAGGTATTTGTTTTCGGCTCCGAGTTCCAACCTTACTTGTTTCTATTACAGGTCGCCGATTTACATGGAGAACTGCTAGAATTTAACGAGCGACTTCATAAGCAAGTGAACCGTTACCAGTATCAAGTGAGGAGATTACGAGAAGAGCTTGTGAACCTAAGAGGCCCGGTAAGGAGTTTAAGAACGGAGCTAGTTAGGTTATGACGAGAATGGTTACTTTAAAAGTCAGCGAACTGCCGAGAGACTGAAACACATGATTATGTATACATCGCTACTTGGACTTGTTAACTAACCAAACGAGGTAGACATGACGGCTAACGTACAAAAACCAAACTGGCAGCAGGGAAATTGGACTGCATCGGCTCTATTCTCCTTGGGGAACTTAGTTTGGGAGTAGGCCCTCATTCTTTATTACCCTTGCAGGACGCGCATTTCTCCACCTACTGGGAGCTATGACACGAGTCGGGAAGAGGTTTGCTGGGGATCTGGCACTAATAATTATCAGTGCCAGACCCCTTACAGACCTCTCACCGGCTTGCGTTGTTCAAGACTTCAAAATTTCCTGCGTGCGAGGAAACGCTCTACCTGAAGGACTAATAATGAGAGCCACCTCACAGGCTAGTTTCAACCAGTGCTACAATGCGCAAGGAACATCTTTAAATATGGCCTCTAATTAATTCGGCCGGGAAAAGGAAGAGGGAAGGATAGAATGTTTTGCACAGTCATCCTCTCTTGAGTGTGTTTCTTGAGTAGTGTTTGTTCTTCAAATGGTGACTAGGCCAACTAACGAGTCAAAATAAAAGAAATTGCTGCCTCTAGAGAAATCATTGTTTAATCCTAGCGTTCAAACCGAAGCTTTTTTTTCCGTTTTTTCCAGCTTCCTGAAGATCTGGAAACTCCTGACGACTCATCGAACCTTTCAGAATTTGACCCTACGGTGATATCAGTCGGTACCAGACCTTTAGTGAATGTTTGGATACCATCTGTGTTTTTCAGAGGGGGGTCATCGAATGTCCACCACGTGTATCAGGTAAGACGTTCGTTTACCCGACCGACTGACTAACTGACTGACTGACAGATTGACGAGCTGACTGACTGACTTACTGACTAACTGACTGACCGACTGACTTTACTGACTGACTGACTTTACTGACTGACTAACTGACCAACTGACTGACAGATTAACGAGCCGGCTGACTGACTAACTGATCTACTGACTAAAAGATTGATGAGCTGACTGACTGACCTAGTGATTGAATGACTGACTGACTGATTGACTGATTGACTGATTGACTGGCTGACTGACTTACTGACTTACTGACAAACTAACTGACTGACTGACTAATCGATGAGCTTACTGACTGACTTGCTGACTGACTGACTGACTGACTAACTGTCTGACTTACTGACTGACTGACTGATTGACGGGCTGACGGACTGACTAAATGACTGACTGATTGACTGACCGACTCGCTGACTTACTGACTGACTGACCGACTCGCTGACTTACTGACTGACTGACCGACTCGCTGACTTACTGACTGACTGATTGTCCAACTTCCCAGCTTTCCTTCTAATATGCTCACTGGCCATATGACAGACGAACGTAATGAAGGACGAAGAGGGCGACGAACTGACGGACTAACTTACCTTTGAAAACACAGTCCCACCGACTGACCGACCAATGGCCTAACTGGCGGACTAACTGACGGATTTACATACTGACTTACCTACCAAACGACAGAATAACTGCAGGCTAAGAAACTGATAATAATTTAGTCATGTAATTTCTCTAGTTTACCCGATTCCTTTATTTCATCTTTCAGGTCTACGTGCGGATAAAAGATGACGAATGGAACGTCTATCGTAGATATTCACAATTCTTTGTATTGCATAAAACGGTACGAATTAATCTTCTGTGTAATTCCCCAGAAAAGTTGCTCAAGTGCCGATTCATTTAAGCAGCCTCTTGTACTCACGTGTAACATGCCTTGTTCAAGAACAAAATGTCGAGGCTCAAACCTGGACTGCATATGAGACGTGGCTTTCTGAATAGTTTTAGGCTAAGCAATCAGCTATTTTATCTCTATGAAATTCGGTGTGATAAATTAGGTTGCATCTTCAAGGTGGGGGGGGGTGGGGTGGTGAGAGAGCTACCGTGTGAATGACCTCCCTGTCTGGAATGAGAACAAATTGATGGTACATCTTAGTATGCGGATGTTTTCAATTAACTACATTTGAGGTAATGAGAGTAATTTTTGTCTTTCCTCGCTAATTTGTTATTTTACCTGTTTCTGCAGCTGCGTCGAAAATTTCCTGTTGTGGACAGCTTCAAATTTCCACCCAAGAAGACGATAGGAAACAAGGTAAATGTAACTGTATTTATCATTTTGTATCTGGTGAATTCCACCTTTCTCCTTTTTTCACCAGCGACAAGATTATCTGCAACAGCCCTTTGAGTGCTGGAGCTCAAAAGGCTTATAAAGGAACTAGACTATTCAATTTAACTATCCAAACTATATTTCAGGCACGAAGTTATTTTATGTTACTTACGTACACATCTACACGTGAACTAAACGCTACTGTCAAAGAATGGATCGCAGCACACATGGAGCAATTTTCAATTGAATGTTGGGAGTGATTCGAGATTGCATTGGTCCAGAAAACTCGCGCCACTCTCTCAACCAAGCAGCTGCAAAGCGAAAACCAATCACGACTAGTTCACCCGCGTTTTCCCGCGCTTTTGAGTTTGCTTGTTTTTACTTTGAGTTCTGATTGGCTCTTCAGTAAAATTTTCCTATCTTCTGATTGGCCTTTGTAAATTCCTTGGTTTTAGTTTTTACGACACTCGATGGAAAAGCGCTCTCTGGTATTCAAACATTTGTTTGATTCTTTCTTTCATATAGGATGCTCGGTTTGTGGAAGATCGTAGAAGAATGTTACAGGATTATGTCAGAAGAGTTGTGAATTTGCACGTAACAACAAACCAGGAACTTCGTAGCGAAACCACGAAAAACATCCTACAACAAATTCTTCCTTTCTTTGCGTAAGTAGCAAACAACAACCTTGTACTCCTTCATCAAGTTCCAAGGCTGGAAAGGAGTTGTGAACGAATAAATGCACTGTGTAGGTTTTTTGCCCCATTTGTAAATTGCCTTTGTCTTTTAAAGCCCTCGTAAAGTGTCTCCTCAAACATGTGGTGCAGTTTTGTTGCAATCAAATTGTGGAAAATTGAAAAAGCGGAGTAGCAAGGCGGTTTGACTAGACGTGCCAGGCCCCCAGCAAACCTCTTCCCGACTCGTCTCGAATCTTCTCATGGGTGGAAAACGCGTGTCCTGCAGTACTGTTTTAATAATAGTTTAATGATATTAGTTTTAAAATAACGAGGGCCTTCACGTAGGCAAGGTGAACTTTTTTCAATTTTATTTCAATGAAGAAATTTTCTCTTTATTGACAGAGACCCTTTCCCACCAGATAAAGCAAAGAAAGAGACTACATCAGGGAGAAAACGTTCAGTAAATTACAATGGCTTATGAGTACAATTTCACCCATCATGAAGTTACAGTAATGATCAGCGGCGTATTTCTCCCAACATTACCAAAACAAATATACGATTGCACTAAGGAGAGGTCAGAACATGATCATCAAATACATCTTCAAGTTTAAAAGTAACATTTTCTTACTCATCAAATCGAGAACCGATTGATTGTTTCTGTTTGACGAACACTTTTCAAGGTTTCATGCATACGAGGAAAATAAAAATTTATCCTATTGTGAGCCTCTATGGTTGCGACATTTTAATTTGCGAAAAGTGCGTTTTTATTAAGAAATCAGATACCGCAAAAGTTCGTTTTAATGTTTTCAGACGTTTTTCTCCGAATCAAGAGTTGAGAAAGATGATGGTATTGGGGCCTCCGACAACTTTCAATTTGAAATTGAAGTCAACATTTTATAGATGAATATTAGTATAGAAAAATATTAATTTTTTACTTGCTTTTTTAGATAGGGTTGGCTTTCATTCTGTTGGTGTCTAATTCTTAATTTTTTCAACTTTTTTCCTTTTTTTTTTCGATTTCCGTCTTTCTTATATTTGAATCTCTAATACCTCAGAATTACGAAATTCTGTCGAACTATTTTTCATAAAAAAATGACCACACTACGCTTTTGCATTTTTTATGTTTAAGTTATCCAACTAAATGAGATTTGAACTTGTCGAGGCTTTTTATACTTTCTAAATATGTAATAAAAGACTATGATAATATCATTGTCAAAATCAGTGACTAAGTAAATAAATTTTGTTATTTTCTGTCTGATCATTGTCGTATCAGTTTTGAACTTTGAATCGTGCGTATGGTGCGCGCAGGAATTAAGATATTTGGTTGCTTATTCAAGCGGTGGAACCTTTATAGGCTGAAAAACAAAGCAATTGTTTCTTTGATTCATTGGAAATCAGGAGTACAAAGTTGAATAATCTTATAAAATTACTAATGGTGCACTTGTTACTTCTACTGGTTGAGTGAATAAAGAAATAGACTTCTTAAAATGAGCTCGAGCGCGAATCGCGATATTCGTCTCTTTCTCTCGCAATTGACTGTAAAAGAAAACGTGAGAGTTTTCGTTTCTCTTATTCATAACTTCGCGAGCACCATGAATAACATGAAAAGGAATTAACAGATATTTAAAAAAATAGTGGTATCTTAAAATTACCTTCGTCACAGAAACTAGAATTAAGAAAACCAGAAACCAGGTAATATCCCACGCAAAATGACGCTTGTGGTTCGAGCGCGATGTGATTGTGGTGAATGAAATGCAACGCATTAACATCCCATATAACACTTCCTATGGAAACTCTTCACGAGAAGGAAGGGTGTGTTAAAAAGTGTACTGTTGGCGCTAAAACTGCGGAATTATGACAAAAACACGTTCTGTTGCCAAAATGAGTTATTCTGTCGCGCATTAATTCAGCTTGAAGTGAGCGCTTGATTTCAGTAGATTATTTGGAAACATAGAGAACCAAAGATTCCTTTTAAAAATACAATATTTGTAGTAATCTAAGCTGTCTTTTTTTCGCTCTATCCAATTCTTAGCGTTAAGGTTCTAAATTTGATAACTCTAACACTGGTGTGATAAGTGGTACTTTGTAATGAATGATAAAATAAAAATGATTTGAAAATTCTTTTTTTTCTTTCAAATTAGAATTTATTTGTGCTTTTTTGACGTTTTACGACCCCCACAAAATGCGGCTGATTGTACTTTAGCTTTCACAATATTGGTTTATGTTTGTACAAAAATTTGTAACAATAATCAGCATTTATCAATACTTATGATATGTTTAAAGCTTTACATAACTCATCAAATTTAGAGAAGATTTTCGACCGTAACTGGATTTTCTTTACACAGATTTAACCCTTTCCTATGCATTTTTTGATGTACAATGTCATCAGTTTTGCAAATTTCACCATATAGCAGCTCTTTTTAAAACTTGTCAATGTGTTGTGCATCTCAATGGCAATTTTTTCCAAGATATCGCCGTTGCCTTAACTACAGTTACAGTGTGTACAGTCTTTATAACCAAAACCAATCTTCTGGCTGGCTATAACGACTGAAAGTGCCGACATTTGCTGGAATTACGAGAGGTAAATGCACAATGTGCATGAATTCAGAGTTTATTTTGACTCTCAGGGTTCACGGGGAGCATGTAATATTTTAATTAGACAAGCACATTGGGGGGACAAATTTACTTAATTCACAGTAGAAAGTTATATTCGACTGAATAGGTTTGCTTAAATCTTTTCCCCCGACTGAAATTTATATATATAAATGTTCATCTATTTAAATATATTTATTTTGATTTTTAACAATTGATAAGGTATTGACGAAATTATCTGTACTAGGAAACATTCACAATCTCTTTCACAGTTGAATGTACATGTGTAAAGTATCTTAGAACGTGGCTCTTGAAATTCCACTCTGGAATTCGCGGATATTTCAGTTTGAAACTGTTCTAGAGCAGCAGTCTTCATTTCTTGTAACTGATTTGCTTTTGGATCCGTACACCTGTAAAGGGGACTATCAGGAGATATTGTCCATTTATTTCTTCATTTCCTCTTGTCTAAAGCAGGTCGCTTATTTTATTATCATGCTGTTCAAACTAAAGCTCATCTTGATGGTAACAACATCACAATTTTACTTAACTGCTGCGGGTGAGTTGTTTGAACCTATGATTCATGGGCAGTTCTTATAATATTACAATGCTTAAGTTAGTATGAATGAATTGTACAATGAATTGTACAATTAAAGAAGAGCACTTCTCGCAAATTTGTGTGTATATCAACGGTTACATTATTTCCTTGTTTAATTCGAAGTATTGTCACAATACGGTTCTCTTTTACATGATGTGTCTTTGGTTTAAGAATCTTATTTTCTTCTCAGTCTTTTCGATTTTATTATAGTTTTTTCGTTTCTGTTGTTGATTTTTTTTTTTTATCAATCATATATCTGTTTTATTTGCCTTTTTTTGTTGTTTTTTTTTTCAATTAACGGTGTTCACGTTCTGCCCAATATCGACCTTGAAGCAGAAAGATTATTTTTGTGGGTAGTACACTACAAGTACATTACCCATATTGCCGTCGTCGGTGAGTGAGTGAATGAGTGAGTGACCAAGCGTACGTATGTAGGCCCGCAACGCATGCACGAATTTTGATTAAAACCCGTCGTTTCCCAGGGTGTATCTGGGTTAGATGTATAATTTGCTAAGTGTCAGTGTGCTAGCAAAATAAAATTGTTGTCAAATGAGAAAAGCTGTCGAATAACTCGTCCATCGACGACTCACATACTTCGCAATTGTCTCGAGCCGTTTTTTGTACTGTGTTTGATGTTACAATATTTTTGGTAGACTAATTATCAGTAAGTGAGTTAACTGCTCTGCGTTTTATATTTGCAGTATTTTTTTTTTTAAATCTGTGCTGCTTTAACCCTTAATCTGTATTTAAAATCAAATGAAATATGGCTTAAAAATATACTTCGAACTTTTCATTGTCTTTACGGTGGGTTTACTTTCAACGATAGGGAATGATTTCGAATCTATGAAAAGTTGTCCACAAATGCATGACAATCCACGATTCCAAAAGACATAAGTGGTTATTTTTCTCAATTTTTCTTTAATATGTCTTCTCTACAACCTCTAGGGTGTAACATTCCTCTTATTCAAAATCTTCCCAAAAGGCGTTTTTCTGCCACTTCATTGAAGGAGGACGCGTTTAATCTCCGTTTTACTCCGGGCACGCCCTGGTGCCCGGCAGAACGCCCACCCCTAGAAGCTGACTATGCGAAAGAGTACGTCCTAGTGGACTTGGGATGCCCGCGATCAATTTGTACGGTGGAGTCTAAAGATGAGAACTTGATGACTTATTCTGGCGAGTATTCCATCGACAAAAAAAATTGGAAGAAGTTGTCTACAAATGATACTACTCACTATTATATGGAGGTAAAGGTTTTTTGGAGCAGTTATGAACGAGAAATCGCATAGACAGATTGAGAAAATGTTTAGACTCATTGGACCCTTCCCTTGCTCAACAACTTTTCATTTTCTACTTCGATTCAGCTCGTCACTGTAATCTGTCGACGTTTAATACATTCTTAGTCATAAAAACTGGATGCAAAATCGCGTTTATAGCGGAAACCCAGTTTTTTCTCAATTTGCTATTTGCTGACAGACAAGCTAGTTCGTTAGACAACCAGGACACGAAGTTTTACCAATAATCGATAGTATAGAGAAATATGTTTTTCGCCTTGTCACGAGCGTGGGACAAAGAAAAATTCTAAGTTCCCACGAGGAATCGAACCTTCGGAATCCGCGCTCCGATGTTCTACCACTAAGCCATAGAGACTCTACGGTGAGCGTGGTCTATTACGAAGTTCGTATGACACGCGTCCTGCATACTGCTAGGATCAGCAATGTCGATAGCGCCGTGTTTGTAAGTAGAATAAAAGAGATGCTAAGTTTTGAGCTCGGTAAAGAAATAGAGAAGGATGTTTTTCGTCTTGTCACGAGCGTGGGACAAATAAAAATTCTGAGTCCCCATGTATGCAGGACGCGTGTCATATGAAGTGCATAATAACTTACTGTCTCTCTCATTCTATTTACAAATCGATAGCATGTGCCAATACACAAGCATCTAAAACGCAGTCCCAGGGATTTAATGCCAGTACAAACTACGGACGACAAGTCTCTGAGATTCGGGGTCAAATCGCAACAACAATTCTATCTGTGTGACAAGGATAAAAAAAATAGTCTTTGCCATAGAAATTTGTCCCGGAAACACGACGCACAAATTCAAACGTGTTTGCATTTGTGTGATGATCGCGATGAACAGTGTCGCGTCGAATTGTTTTGGAAGTTGCGCGACAGTGCGGCCGCGCAAAGAGCGACGGTCGGTCTTCTATACGACGGCGCTTCCCAGAACAAAGAACGACCGATCACCAGTAAAATGCATTTTGTCGCACTTCGGCGCTAAGTGTGTACAGGCATTGGTTTCAAGCTGTGTTTTATTCTGATCTTCAGGAGTTTGATGCAAACTATAAGGCGCTCATCACTCCTCCAGTCACAGCTCGTTTCTTTAGATTCCATTTGCTCATGTGTTTTTGGAGCGAAGAAAAGAAATCCCGTCCTTGTGGTAAAGTAGAGCTCTACAGTGATGCAGGTTAGCCATGCAAATGACAATAAACAAGTTAATGCAACCAATTAGCTCGCCACCAAGGCAATCTCGCCACCAAGGTCGCTAAATATTTTAGTATAAATTCAAAGCTTAAGGCCACGCTTAAGTTTGATCTTCAGTCTCGCGAGCATCGCCATAAGAATGCCAAGGGCAATACCGCAGAGGCGTGCTGAAGGCTCGATAGTTTTTCCAAAAAGCTCACAAGGAGATCCTTCAACTTTTTACCCCATAACAACAACGACGAGTCACACGTTAGAGCCCAAGCAAACAGATAGTTATTTAATCGAATATTTAATAGCTATACTGAATACAATTGCAACATTATTAGTGTTTGGTGCACATACACGCGATGTCCACACTCTGTCCTGGATTGTGTTATTTAGTTTTAACCTTTTACACGAGCGTGATCTGAAGACAAAAACTTGTGCCTCCCTCAACCAAGCAGACGTAAAGTTAAAGCCCATGGCTCGAAACTTTGTTGTGGTTTCGAAAAACACGTTTCCCTCACACTTCTTCCTTCCCAGTTACCATATAAATAGTAAACAGTAGCAAAAACTTGGCTGAAAGTTTGCCCGTGGGCTCAGAAACTTTGTTGTGGTTTCGAAAACATTTTCTGGAAAGGTTTCCTTCCTCCAGTTCAAGGGTTATAACTATAAATAGTAAACAGTAGCAAAAACTTGGCTGAAAGTTTGCCCGTGGCTGTTCAATATGTACAGATACGACAGGTCTTTTACAATGACCTGCAAAGATTTTCTGGAAAGGTTTGTAGCTCTGACCTCCTCGACATAGATCACTCAAGGGTTATGAAATAGAAAATTTTTCGAAAAACAGGAACTAACATTCAACCGCAATAATACCTTCTGACTGACTACAAAATTTTGCACTGGCCGGGAATCGAACCCGGGCCTCCCGCGTGGCAGGCGAGAATTCTACCACTGAACCACCAGTGCTTCTATGTTCAATAGAAAACTTTAATTTGGCCTGTGCTTTTAGATTTCGAATCCGTTCCAATTATAACATGCCATGTGGGTGACGCCATCTCGAATAAAACTACTGTGTTATTGGACTAGAATCTTCTTTGTCGACCACCCGAAACCCAAATGCATTCTGTTCCCCCAAGGTCATCCCTCCCCCCCTATGATGCATTATTTCACACGTGACCTTGATAAATGTTGTATCTAACAGAATTAGAGACCATCTTGTCGCCCTCTTTCGCTCGATCACTGGTGACACTGGTCTGTTTCTTATTTTCATCCTTGAAGAGTTAAGGCAAATAACAGGCTGTACGTGACCCACAATTCTAGCAAAGCAAAGAGACAAATATATTTGACTGATGAAATATGTTCTTAAGGTTTAGATCCAGATGACTCAACGGAACCAATGGGGTGCTTCATTGAGCAAACCTCCAAGAAGAAGAAGAAAGATCGTCTTCTTCCTGTGGTTTATCATACAGTTGGAGGCAAAATCGTGAAGAAGCTCCCAGATATTTTGGCCATATACAAGGAGTGCCGACAAAATGCCGAAGATCATGTGGAAATTTTTGGTATCTTGAACTTTAAACATTGTGTTACAACCCAAAGCGGCAAAGAGGAAGGTTATTTCAACAGCGCTAGGAAATCTCGCAAATGCAACAGCTGTTACAGCAAAGGCATCGGGACTGGAAAAAGGCAGTGTTCGTCTACAAAATAAATCTGTAGTAACATAAACTATTATTGCTATGGGACTCGTCATCATCAAAAGAATATCAACTGGTTTTCGCTTCTCATTATTTTTTTGCCTTATTTATTTATTATTTATTTATTTATTTGTTGCATTATTGATTGGTTGTGTCACAATAGAATTTACCTGATCCCCTTAAGGCTGTGTTACATTCTTATGATCAATCATCCCTCTTTGGCAGTTAATTGGTAATTAAATTTCCATGGTCCCCCCCTTTAGTAATCTGTTGGTCGGCGACGAATAATCCCCCTCCGTTCCCCCCAAGAACCATGTGATCCCCCAACATCTTTCGCCCCACCCCCCCCCCCCCCCTTCCAACCGCAGGCGACAAACAGTCACGTGTTCTTAAGTTAAACATGTTATTATCACGGTTCAGCATCGTGACACTTGAATGTAAAGTCATCTTTGAGGAACATGGTCAAATAAAATTGATTTCTGAAATTTATTGTAAGGGCAGCTACGTCCTGACGATACATTTTTATCGTTTTTTATTATTGAAATAAAACCTTAACATATTTTTTTTGCGGGAGTAAATAAAAATCAACGGAAAAGGAATAAACTCTTAAGAGACGAGGATAACTGAGGGTAGAAAAGACTAACATGTGTGTTACAGCGACCTTATCCAATTTACTTGTCTTTTTCCCCATTACTGATCAAGGGAAAAACCCTGAACGTTTGAAATAATCCAAGACATGCGCTTTTAAAGAAATAGATTCTGTGTTTCCATACGTCTGTTTAGTAATAAGTCACAGATGATGTCAAAATGTGGTTAGAATAAAAACGTGGCACACGAGGCGCAGCCGAGGCGCAGCCGAGAGTGTCAATGATTTTTTTACCACATTATGAGGTCTTCCGTGATCTATTACTGTACAGACGCACGGAAACATGGAATACGGTTTGTTTTATACGATAAAAAGGAAAATTTTGCCAATGGTGACGTCATCTGTGCGTCTTTCCTCCGATAGATCATGAGTAAGTACTAATCAAAATGGGTTTATAACTCAGTTTATCATATAATCATGTTCAATGAAAACTTGAAAGCTAATAAAATGCAAAGCGCCATACAATTCAAGAGCATTTCTCTTTAATCGTTATCAAAAAAAAATGGGGTCCTTTCTTCTGAATGAGACTTGAGGATTACCTACAAGGGGGGGGGAGTGGGGGTCACATCTAAAAATGTTGGGGTGTCTAAGCCGATATGAATTACTGATTGCGGAAATGGGACTCACTCAGGAGTGTTTAAGTGATTCCCCGAGAGACGTTGGAATAATGCTCTTCCAGGAATTAGATTTTGCGTATAGTTACATTTGCTCGTCATTGTAATCAGGATTCCCTGAGACCTCTTGGGTTGGACCGCTGGCGTGAAAACACGTTCTGTGTTTCTTCGCTTGCTGGTTTTTAGGGGGCTTACGTGCTCAGCTGTAAATCTGTTGTTTGTTTGTTTTTGATGCAGTTTGCATTTGCACTTATGTCGAGGCTAACTAAATGGCTCGATGGCTCAGCTGACCCACGCGCCGAGATAACATCATTTTTGAGTTGAGAAGTGGAGGCAAAAATTTCCACCATATTTCTGTCGTTTTGTACTTGAGGTGCCTCGCGCATTTGGCATAAAATCCTGTGCGAGCTCTTTCATCTACTCGAAACGAGGGCTACACAAATCAATTAATATAACTGGAAAATCGAAAGCAAAGTTTTGTAAAATGAGCCATAACATTTATTTGAAAGTAATATCGAAACTTCTACAGCCTAGTTTCTTTTTGAGAGACTGGTCCCGAGAGAGGAACACGCGTGATTTTCTCGCAAAAAGAGAAAAAATACTGAGAGGGAATAATGATTGTAGATATATGAAAATCATATATGTGCACTGCGGTGAAGAAACGAATATAGGAGATCCTATGTAGCTATGAACACTACTGAACTAGTAGTTGAAATAAGACCTGAAAAAAATTCAGGCCGTACGGGATTTGAACCCATGACCTTTTGCGATACCGGTGCAGTGCTCTACCAACTGAGCTAACAAGTTAACGAGTTAGTCAACTGAGAGGGAATTTTTTCGTTTATCTTTGGTTCGTGGAAAATCATAATTCAATTGTTGTCGAGTGCTGATGTCTCATTTCTAAACAGCTGTTGATTTAGTTGTTACTATTGTTGCTGTCTGTCGTCTGTGCTACACACGTGTGTGTGGACTCGCGTGGCGCGTGGTCATTAGGAAGTAAAGCATCATGGGACTACCAGCGGCCATTTCACTATCGAGTATCGAGATCTCGACCGTTTATTTATATTGTTTTTCGACGGATTTTTTTGCCAGTTTCCTGCGGTTGCTAAGTTTTTTTAGATATTTCATATAATTATCTGGCCCAATAACTGTATTCTAAGCGGAAATCACATTGCTCTTAGATTGAGAGCCGTGTCAACAAAAACAATCTTGGATTTAAAACGAGGAACACTACAAGCCGCATTTGAAATCGGAAGGAACTTTCAGAAGTGGTTAGACAACTGAAGAAGACAACAAGAAACATCAAGTTCAAACTTTGGAGAAGCTTGGCCGTTTGGTACTTATATAAGCGAGAAATTTGAAATGGTGTACCAAATAGCTTTCTCTCAAGGAGAAAATCAATTTATTCTACGCTGGTTTGCCTCGTAAATCTCTGTCCACGTGTGATAATGAGTTCCGTTGCAGTTCAAGTTATGCCGTCGGTAACGAATTTTTCGAAAGATTCGCTAATCACGAACAAACTAGCGTCAGATCTCGATGCCAAGCTTGTTTCGTCCTCAAAAAAGGTTCTGCTTCAACGAATTGAATTCAAACCGGCTTCTAAACCTGATGAACAATACGAGAATCTGAGGAAGAAATATGTTCCGGCAAATTCTCCGTCAACAAATCATGCAAACGGCCATTGCAAGGAACAGTTGCGATCTCCGGATAAGAATTCAAACGAGGAGATGCCCTCGCCAAAGGTGATTTTGTTTCCTGTGGAAAACGTTGAGTTATACTGGAAGCAGGTTCGAAGAGTCGGGCCAGGATTGAGCAACATGGGAAATACGTGTTTCTTGAATTCCGTTCTCCAAGTTCTTACCTACACTGCACCATTGGTGAATTATCTGGCTTCGAAAGCTCACAGCGAAAAATGTAAGTGTTCTACTGGGTAGATGTTTCTTAAGCATTTGGGAAAATTTCATATTTAATATGTAAATGTTCGTTCCTAATAATCTGAAATGTTTACTTGTCATTCACATTGTTGATAATCCAATCAGTTTATAATTAACATGCTTCACTGATGAACCAGGGGTCAATCAGTGAATTAATCGTCTGCCTGTCTGAACATGTTTTATTTGAATGATTTACCAGTGTTTTGAATCCAACTGTTAGATATTTTTCTCCAACTTTCTTTCTTGAAACACTATTTTGTATAGCTCTGTCAAGGAGCAATGGAAAAATTGATGGAAAACAATACACTTAAACACCTGCCAGCTTCTCCTGCATCAGATACAAGCATCCCCTCTACCCAAATTTCCAAAAAGTTTGATGACTTTTGAGTATATCCAATGAAGTTCCTATGAATTCAGAAGGTTGCAGTCTTGGCACCATTTTCAAATCTTGTTTTGCAAAATTTTTTCTAATTCAATGGGTCTGTACATCTTGGATTGTTTTGTCACTCTTTACTAAGGGCATAGCCAAGGGGGTCCTGGGGTGCCTGTGACTCCCCTTTGTAAGCCTTGTTTTGTCCCATTGAGTAAACTACAGAATAGATGTCGACATGAGAATCTGGTTAGCACCCTGTGTGTAAGCTCCCACTTTGAAAAATCCTGGCTACCCCCTGTCCTCTCAGACTGGTCTAATTTGAAGATTTAGAAGGAATTAAAAACTGCTAGTTTCTACTTTGCCATTTCCTCTGAAGTTACATTTTTTGTATCATTTCAGTGTAAATTGACTCAAGTTCCCTAATATCTCTCTATTAACAGTTTGAGTTAGCTTAGATCTGGTGCTGCTTTATTTGTGTAAAGGAATGGCCTCATGTAACCATGACTCTCTATACCCTGACATCAGTATGCATATTCTCCATACTGTTCTCTATGCAATTCCTAAGGTGCTGACAAGAAGAACTTGTCTGATAAATCAAGAGCTTCTTAAGTTAGTGATCATTTCCTTTATTCTCATGACCTTGATGTGTGATTCAGAGGTGATATTGTAAGGAGAAATTAGATGTTAGTCAGTCTTAGGGATTAAAGGTTGAGAAAGGAACAAATAAATTTCTTATGGTCACAAAGATGTTTTCAATTCCCTTAAGGCACATTAACACAGCAGTTATTCAGTAAGATGAGCCATTATAAATCCCTGAGGTCATTATCTCTCTGTTTTTTGTCGGTCATGATCTACTGTACACATTTGAAGGAGATGTAGTTGTAAACTATATGAGAAAAAGAAAAAACAATTATCATGATAATATCAGTCATAGAAACCACAACTGTGGAATTTTCCAATGACCCGATAAAATTTTCAACCTTACACCTTCCTCCCTTCAACAGTTATGCCCTGGTTGTGATTAACCCTTTTACTCTCATGAGCGACCAAGACATAATTTCTCCTTACAGTATCAGTATAATATCAAGCAGCCAAGTAATGAGAATGTTGAAAAATATTAACAAGGGAATTATCATTAGATTTAATTCCAAATTCTCAGAACAAACTTAGTATGAAATGTATGGTAGATGGTAATTTTCATCGAGATATTTGGAGTGAAAGGGGTTAATGTCACCTTCCTTTAAAAAGATTAGGCTGAACACCCAGTTTTTTGAAGACCAAGGAATACCAAATTTAAATTTTATCTGTTAAAACATGATAATTTTTATGTAATGGTTTATTCCCTGTTAAGTGTGAACTAACAATGACTTGTTATAATTTAATAAATATTATTACAACAGGTCGTTCAGTTGGTTTTTGTATGCTGTGTGAATTACAAAAACACATTGTGCGAAGTTTTGGTCACCATCAAGGAGAAGCAATCAAACCAATGGCAATCATTCAAAAACTCAAATGTAAGTTTATGTCTTATGAATATTATCCAGTAAAAGGTGATTAAAAGACAAAAACTTATCTGTAAGGGTAAGTTATTTTGATTAAACACAATTACACTCTATTACACAGATGTTGAAAAAAATACAATAATTTTTCTTTTTTGAACAATATGGTATCTTCTCAGGGTGCAGCACACATACTAATGTATTTCATGGCTAAGAAAACGATGTTGTCATTATAACCAGGTTTATGGACATGTTGATTTTACCACCAGAAAAAGGGTTTCTCTTTTCAATTTATGAATATAAGGTTGAATCAACTTTTTTTTTTTTGGAAAGGAATACATTTTTTGTGTAATGAAAACTTACATCATTTTTGTGTTAGAAGTTGGCAGAAGTAGCTTCTTATCAAGCTGAGTTTAGGAGCAGGCAATCTCAGTATTTGGTACTCTTCTTTTAGTCTGTCACCTTTGAACTGGATAAATAATTGATATTAATCTATAAACAAAACATTACATGTCATCTTGTGGATACGATTTGGTCATTTTTTGTGAGTTAAATCTGGCACTTGTTTACTTTGCTCACTTGAGATAGATATTGTCTACACTTGCAGATAAGTTTGGTATCTATCATTCAGCCATGTATTATAATTGTCTATTTTACTAACTAAGCAACCTCAAATTTTTCTCCTTGAATTTAATTTTAAATACCTCATGCTAACCTCATCTTCTTGGTCTTAACTGTAAGTTACAGACTAATTTTTTCCAATTGGATTTATTGCCCAAGTGTTAGGGCATGTGGGCCATAAATCCCAGAAGAAAAAAAGTGAGGCTCTGTAACTTAAAGTACAAACTGAGAAAACAAATGGGTAGTACAATATTTAGTGGGCTGTACGGTGAAATATGGCCTCTGATATTGAACAGTCATGGTTTATGTACTAACTATGAGATGTAATGATTTTTTTATTCTCGTAGTCATTGCCAAACATTTAAGATTTGGACATCAGGAGGATGCACATGAGTTCTTGAGATATGTAATTGATGGCATGCAGAAGAGCTGCCTGGCAGCTGATGGCTACACAGAAAAGTGAGTATACAAAAAAATACTATAAATTTAAGAAAAGTCTCTGTCAGAGACTTTCAAGGAGACTTATTGGTGTAACTGTTAATATAGTGAATTTCCAACTGAAAAGGCAAAGATCATCTGATGGCTTTGATGGGGCCAGTTACAATGTGTTCTTGAGTAGAATACTTTGCTCTTACAGTCTCTCTTTCTGGGCCCAGGAATACAATTGCTAAAACGGAAAGGAAAGGAAACCTTGTAGTATACTGGAAGGTTTACTGGAAGGTACTGTGAGTGGGTCAGGTGTTTTACAAATGCAAAAAAAGGGGTGGTGTTAGATCAATATCCTTAGTTTCCAAATTCCATGGATACCAGAGGTTTGGGTCTTCAGGTTTTTGAGCAGACATCTTGCTTGATCTAGTCAGATTAATCATTTTCAAGCCTCAAATTATTTACGTGTAGTAAGAAGACTCAAGTGGTGACTGTGCTTTATATGTGCAATGATTTTTTTTTTTGGATACAGACTTGACAGAATGTCTAAACAAACAACAATGGTGCACCAGGTGTTTGGAGGTTACTACAGAAGCCAAGGTATGCACATGCTTGATGTTTCAATCTTTAACCCTTTTTTTGACAACACATTATTTAGCTAAAATATACTGAGAATAAAGAAGGTAAGTTTCTAAAGAAACTGTAGTGCTGCGTCGGTGGAAGAGTATAACAGGTAATTTAGCATTAACAACTGTGTTGAAAACATAAATTGGTTGCCATGAAGAGTAAAAAAGCTGACATTTCGAACATTAGCCCTTCGTCAGAACAATTGGAAATGTATTGAGAATAGTCAGACTTATCAGGTGGAGGTTATCATCTTGATATGTAATGGTAATAGGACTGAGTGGAGTCCAATTTAGTTAGTAATCATAGGTGTTATGACAAAAATTGGATTACCACACAGTAGGAGTCTGATTTGTTTATTACAAGTATGATAACAGACCCAATTAGATTACACAAAGTCTTATTACCAATTAATCATACAAGTTATCATTTCTGAGAAAAGAAGAATAGCCAAGTTATGAAAGAAAGGGAAAATTTTTAATAAAAGACTGACAAAGGAAGCATAAATTGTTTAATGTCACTCTGAAATTGAAATTAATTGTGATTGGTTAATTACACCATGACTTTGAATGTGATTGGATCCAATGATCCAGTTCTTAATAATGTAAATATTATTGCAATTTTTTCTCCCTATATTTAGTTCGCTGTTTAAAATGCAAGAACAACTCAAACACATTTGATCCACTCATGGATATTATGTTGGATATCAAGGTAAACAAGTGGATTTTGATATCCAGTGACTTTTAGCAAGTGGATCATTATTGATTTTTGCATGGAGTGGTAAAATTAAAGATATTGGAGTATTCATCTGCTAAAGCAGATCAACATTACCATCCTGTTAAGTTTGCAGCATAAAGTTAGGAATTTTCAGAGCAATATTGAATTGAAAATCAAAAGTGATTTGGAATGGAGTTACGTTTTTTTCTTTTCTTCACTCCCTGGCTGAGTCCTGAACACTTGGACATTGTGATGCAAAACTAAAGCCATCATCGTGGAGATTAGCACTTGCACTTGAACATGTGAATACTTTCTTGAATTTTGATTAATTTTATCAATGATTCCTTTTTGTCAGACTGTGAATATATAAAAATCATTTATGTGAAATGTAGATAGAGAAGTGAATATAAAAGCAATATTCACAGTTATGAACATTACTTATTATAAGAAGTTGAGAAAATAAGTTCAATTTCAGGTCCTATTTTCACTACTGTTCATTACTGCAAAGATCACGCTCATATTCAGTTCCTTTTTATGTCAGATAAAATTCTGATTACCCCCTTAGCAACTTTGTTTTTAATGTCACAGCATGCAGACTGAATGTGGTCAAAGATCTATAGAGCTGGAAAATTGGTGTCAACAATGGCTACAATTTCAAAGTTTATTAAAAAGATTTATGTTGTAGTCTTCTCTTTCAATGTGTGTGCTTTCTCTTTCTTTCTCCAGCATGTGCCTTCAGTGGAAAAAGCTCTTCAGCGATCTGTCAAACTGGAGTTACTGGATGGGGAGAACCTTTACATGTGTCCAAGGTTTGACTTCATTGTAAACGTTACATAGGTTTTAACCCTTTACAGCCTAACATCAGTATGCATATTCTCCACACTGTCCTTTATACATTTTCTAAGGTGCTGACAAGGAGAATTTGTTTCACAATCAAGAGCTTCTTTAGTTGGTGATCATTTCCTTCATTCTCATGACCTTAATGTGTGATTGAGAGGTGATATTGTAGGGAGAAGTGAGATGCTAGTCACTCTTTGGGTTCAAAAGGTTGATTTTTGAAAGCAAAGAGAGACACAACAGTCGCATCAATCTTCAGCTTAAAAAAGAAAATGTTAGGGGGAAATTAAATTTCCATTTTTGAAAGTTTATTTTGCTTTGGTAATGAGCTGTACATGAAGGTAGAGGCTTTGACAGAAATTGTTCAAATGCATTTGAGCTCCCAGGGACCAATTAGTTATTTGTAATAAAAATACTCACTTACATTCAATAACTCCTTTTGGTGATGTTATTTTTAGATGCAAAAGAAAGGTCCCTGCCCACAAACAGTTCCTGATTCATCGTGCACCAAACATTTTAACTTTGCAACTGAAAAGGTATGGAAGCAAAATTATCCTGCCTTTGCTCTGATCATGTTTAATTGTCATGGCTAAAAAAATGTGTATCTGTGGCAGCAAGGATCTGACTTTAGTTCTTCATGTTTGCTGATTCTTTGTGATGCAGGTTTGACTACAATCAGAGTTTTGGAGGAAAAATATCAAAACATGTTGAGTACGCAGAATATCTGAACCTAAGACCTTTTATGACATCCCAGGTAAAAAAACAAATTTGATTCAAGGATTGAAGGGAACTGTAGAATATGAGACATATAATTCAAGATTTTTCTTGGATCAGAATTTTTCAAATTGATTCAAGGATAGTATTAATAAAAGCATATAATATGTAACATATAATTCAAGTTTTTTTCTTGGATTAGAATTTTTGAAATATGATTTAAGGATAGTAGGGAACTGTAGAATACGTAACATATCATTCAAGTTTTTTCTTTTGGATCAGAACTTTTCAAACCAGTTTGATCTTTATTTTCTTTTGCTTCAAATTAACCCTTTAACTCCCAGATCAAATTTGTAATCCTCCTTACTGTCAACCACACAATTCTTATGATGTTAGTTCAGAGAATTTAGTATTGGATCAACCAATTATCCCCAAATTGATATTTTTCTTTGTTCTCATCACTTATCTGGTTGATATTGTATTGAAACCATAAGGAGAATTTTTGTCTTGGTCAATCATGGGAGTTAAAAGGTTAACAATTAGAATATTTGAATCAAATGTGAAGGAAAAAAATTGAACCTCAAGTTACAAACAAAATTGTTGAAAAGTCCACTTTAATTCCTGAATTGGCAGTAACAATTACATGTTCTTGTTGTAATGCAAATGATAAAAGAATTTTTCTATTTCATGTCGAAAAATGTAGGGTCCACCTATAAAGTACCGTTTATACTCTGTACTGGTGCATTCTGGGTACTCTTCAAACTCTGGTCACTACTATTGCTACATCAGAGCTTCTAATGGCACTTGGTACCAGATGAATGATTCTATGGTAAGACCTGATTCTGTCTTGCAATTTTTAGTGTAGTGTCCTTCTATTTGAAACCTTAACAGTACTCTCAAGTTGATTTGCTGTTAAAGGGTGAGGTTTTCTGCCACTTAGCTGTCAATTTGATGCGATGGGTATCATTTTCATGGACCTTGGGCAGGGGGGGTGGAAAATTGAGAAAAGTGAGGAAAGCCAAGACTTGCATTCCTTGATATTGAGTGTGTGTGGAGAGAGTCCACATTACCAGTTTGCTGTATGTGTGTTAGCATGTTGAAAAGGGTTTAACACGAGCTGGTCCTGTAAAAGTTGTCCAGTCACATGGATTTGTTGCAAAAACGTAACAGAAAAGTGAAGTAAGTAAAACGAAATTGCATTTTCGAGGAATTGTGAGCTTCTTGTTCTGACTCAAAAATACAAAGGAAAAGTTGATATTGTAGAATCTTTTTGTCCCTCGTGCACCTTTGTATTATGTGCTAATTAGATTGAAACAAGATTTTTGAAATTTTCAAAACTCAGTGGTCATATGATAAAATGCTTATAGACTGAGTTGGGTCAGGTGGCACAGGAAAATAATTGGCTCTTGGTCATGATGCACAAACTTCGCTGTGTTTGGTCAATGTATTGTGACCTCAAGCCAAATGTTTTTTCATCCAGCCCTCCTACTCACTCAATAGTTACATATTATTTCTGTTGGAGAGCAAATAACACATTTTTAACTTTATTACTATTGTTGTTAAATTTGGCAATCAAGCTGAAAGTTTCTTAGTTCTAGATTTCCCAGAACACAGTGTACCCCTCAGCTGGGCAGAATTGTCAGTATGTGATAAGAAACTGCCAAAATTTTGTAGTATCTCATAAGAAGGATCTTTCTGTTTCTCATTTTTCTAACAGGTCAGACAAGTTGCACTGAAAGCAGTTCTCTCTCAACAAGCATATCTGTTGTTTTACATCAAACAGGCTTCCAAACAGGAATTAAAGGTATTTATTCCAAATTGTAATATAATATTTACCCTTTCACTGTCATGAGTGACTAACTGTTACGAAAAATTGTATAAGTTAAGTCCTAGAACATTCTATAGAACAGTCTAGAACCCGAAGTCATCCAGGTGTGACCTGCTTGTATAAGAACATTCTGGAACATTCTATTTCTTATGTAATTACTCAGATTTAGAAACCATGTTAATCTACTAAATTTAGTTCTTTAGAGAAGTTTCTAGATCTTTGTACTTTATTGAAAAAACAGAGAGAATTGTGAAGAAGCTTAGTGCTGTAAAGTCAAGAAGTTAATTACGTGGAAATAAATCAGTTTGTTGCTGTTACCAACAATCCTGAGTTTTTTCTAGGAACAACCCTGCTCTACATTGACACTCGTAACACTAACATTCAATTTTTGCAGACAGTATCAATTTTTTTTTCAATAAGGAAAGTGATAAGAGGAGAGAAAAAGCTATTCGACAGGGACTTAGTTTAATTGAAGACCTGATATAAGAAAAGTGTTGATAATTCATATTTGAATACTGGAAGTAAAAGAGACTTATTTTAATTATTTACCAAAGGGCCTGGCTACAGAGTTGTTCAAGATTTAAGCACTGGTTGAATGTTTATAGAATGATGTAACTAAAATTTTATTTGTTAGAAAAAGTGTTGTAAAGGAAAAAATGTCCAAAGGCCAAAAGAGGTGTGGTGGGCAAAACAGGAAAATTATAGAGTAGATTGTATATGGATAGATTTTAAAATGATTGGTCCAGTGTTTTTTAAACATATCTTAAGTTGTATGAAAGTCTCACTCAGGAAGCTTGGAATTATATTTTGATATTACAGTACTGTAGATGAATTGTGTTGTTATTTATTGTTTTACATCCTATCCTTATCCTTTTTTGTGTTTTCAAGTCCCCTCTGACCTCGCCAAAGACTGTTTCTATACAAAGAACTTCTGCTATTCCAAGAGACAATTTGCCAAAAGTCATCCAATCAAATGGTGAGTTTTCTTTAATATTGCACTACTTGCAGTTATCGGGATTGTATTCTTAACCAAAAATTTATTCAAGACAATTTTAATTTGATAGTCCTGGAAAAGACTACAGGCCCTGGAAAGTCCTGGAAATCTGCTTAACTCAAGCAATAATGTCTTCAGAATTTAGGTTATTAGAAATGTATGTGGACTGTAAGGAATAGTGATTTTGAAATTTTGGGAATGGAAGAGTTTAAGGTATAATAATATACATTGAAAAACTACTCCCTTTAGATTGACTGAAAACGAGTGCATTCTCATGGAACACAAGTGCAAAGTTGTGATTTGAGTGCAAATTACAAACAGCACGGGCCTGCTTCAGGTTAAGGTTAGGGTTAAGCAAGAATCAGCCTCTAAACTCATAGAGGATCTCACTGATTAAGTATTCACTTGACATGGCTCCTCTGTGTTTCCTTGCCATGTTCAAAAAATGTGGTGAGCTTTGTAGCAAATAGAACACAATGCACGCCTTGCAACGTTCTGGAACCAAGTACATTGTTTAAAATCTTCCCTTTTTTCAGATGTTGGTACTCCTGTCAAATCTGGAATAACTTTTCATAGACAGTCATCATCAACCTCTACAGTCACCAAGCCGTCAGCTACGCCAACATCAAACCACGCCCCGTCCGTACCCCTGGCACCTCCATCACAGAGACCCAAGTTTACGTTCAACATCTCTCCTGGTAATAAAGGAAACAAGACAGAATCAAGCACAGCTAAACAAGAGGGAAAGGAGAAATATGACAAGAATGGACTAAAGGAAAAATTTATCAACCCTAGCACTGAAAGTCTTTCTTCTGAGACCAAATCTCCAATCTCTTCGTTGGGCAAATTTTCGGAGACTCTTTTAAAGCCTGATACTTCAAAATCTCCAGGCAAGTCTGACGGCTCTTCAGTTGAGGTAAAAGGTCAAGCTTTGGGAGGCCAGAAAGATAACATCAAGGAAACCTCAGACGAAGGTCTCCCACTGAGGAAGGAAAACAAAGAAAAAAAGCTATCTCCTAAGAAACCTCGTCCGCCGCCGTTGTTTATCCCCAGGCCACTAGTCCAAGGGAAAGGAATGCCCAGCCATACACGTAAGTTACATCTTTTTATTTCTTGTTCTCAAGGGAACCAAGATTTTCCTTTTTTAACCAATTTGGAGCTGCACAAATTCCCGCTCAAACTTAAGCTTTTGTGAGCACATTCAAGTGTGCTACCCCTTGAAAGAATTTCCCCTTACAGTCTCAATACAACATCAAGCAGACAAGTGACGAGAATAAAGACAAGTATCAATTAGGGGATTATTAATTGATCCAATGCCAAATTCTCTGAAATATAATATTGATATCTTACAGCGAAATCTACCACTCCATGGACAGTCACACCAAAGACAACTTCAGAACCACCGTTTGGCCCCATGTCACCTCCTCCTCCTGGAGTCGCTCCACCTCAGCCCTCCCCGTCATCAGCCATATCAGACACTAGCAGCACCTCTAGCATGATGGGTAAAACTGGCGAGTGGACTGTGTCTGATAAGACAGCCCTTACACCAGGACCCAGGCTCCCAGAGAGGCAGCATGCAGGGTGGCAAGTTTCAAAGAAATTTGAGGTGGAGAAAAAGGAATCGCAGATTGTACAGAAAGAGGAAAATAGTGGCAAGATTGACGAAGAGAGCGACAAGAAGAAAAAGAAGAAAAAGCACAAGAAAGAAAAGAAGGTGAAGAAGGAGAGAAAGGAAAAGAGCAAGAAAAAGCATAAGAAGCTAAGTGCATTACTTGATGATGACGAGGTGGATAAAAAGGAAACAAGGAAGAGAAAACAGAAAAAGGCTGCAGAAAAAGATGCGAATGAACCGAGCCAACAAAAGAAATCAGTAGAAAAGTCTAAAAGCAAAAAACACAAAATTAAATGCCGCGAAGGCGACGTCTCTCCAAGTAAGAAACCCAAGTTGGTTTGCTATGATGACAGCAGCTCTGGTTCAGAGAGTGAGAAGCTCAACCGTGGCCGAGAAGCTGGGAAATCTGCAAATGTAGACTTCAGGAGAACTACGACTGAGTCCAGAGGTGAGTACATCATCATTGATCGAAATATCTGTTGTTGTTGTTGTTTTTTTTTTTTTATTTTCAATAATGGCCAATTAAGCAAGTTTTACGTAAAAAAAACAATTGCTGCATGCGTGGAACTACTTGCATTGAAAGCGCATGTAATTCCCACGCTTTAGACTTTAGTAATCCTAGCAGTGTGCTGGACGTGTGTTACATTTGAGCGTCGTAATGGCCTGGCTCACCGTAGAGTCTCTGTGTCTCCATGGTAGAGCATTGGAGCGTGGAATCCAAAGGTCTGAGGTTCTTCTCCTCATGGAGGATCAAAATTTTTTTCTTTGCCCTACGCTCGTGACAAGATGAAAAAAAAATTCTTTCTCGACACCAGTATTGTCTCCTTATATTTTCCTGCTATTGGCAAATATTCAAATTTTAAATCTTTTCCTTCTAGTTCCGGTTATTCACGAGGATGAACCAAGGAAAACAAACGCTACACGTAGAGCAACCTGGGATGGTTCACGTGATTCATCAACCGTAGTTCAGTTGCTAAGCAGTAGTAAAGGTCTCCATGGTTATGGCAGTTCAGGTTGGTTCTGTAAACCTTGCCTTCTTTGCATAATAATATGGTGATTCGTTGTTGATTATGGGTGTAACAAGAGTGCGTTTTTTTATCTCTCTCTTAAAACGTCCATGATGATAGCGGGGCCGGGAAAAAAATAATTGTGCATTTTGCATTGCCAGCTAACGCCCTATTCATTTACTAAACCCTCTACTGCTCATTGTTCAAATTTCAGTGACGTCATGGGATGGCGGCGAAAACACTGTAGATAGAAGTGGCGGGAAATCAGACAGGAAACGACAGCGACAAGACCCGTGGGACGAAGATTACGACCGTGGAAAAGTAAGGGAGAATTTGTGTCATTTTTACCCCTATAGGGTGACAGTGGTGTTCAGTACCGTCAATGTTCGTTTTAGTATATGTCATTTGCGTTCTCGTCTAGGTTTAGGATTCGCTAACAGCCTATAACCCTATAACTCCCACGAGTGATCGTGACAGAATTTCCCCTCACAATATCAGAGCAATATCGAGCAGACAAGTCGTGATGGTATAGAAAAATATCATTTGGGGGTTTATTAGTTGATCCAATACCAAATCTCGGAACTGACATCGTAAGAATTGTCTGAAGACAGAAAGGAGAACAACTGAAGAGACCTTGGGAATGAAAGGGTTAATATTGGCTTCGGCGCTTTATACATAGTTATCAAATTTTGATTGATGATCAACCAACTGAGTCGGTCAGTCAATCAATCAGTCTGTCATTTATTTATTCTTGCAATCAAGTTATATTTCTTTTTATTTCCAATCCAGGTAAAGAAGGTCAAGAACAGCAGAGATACAAGCGCAAGACGTTTTAATGGCAATCCATTCCAGCGAGAACATGATAAACGAAAGTCTAAACAGGTAAGCTCCATAGATGCCTAGGTTCGATGTCAACTTCTCGGTCTTTTATTAGCCATATAGCTGAAAGCACCCGTTGGTGTAGTTTGGTCACGGTCAGTTCATCCTAGTGAAAAATGTAGCCGAAAAAGGTCGTCGTAAGCAATCCCTTTTAATGTTCTTCATTCAGAGCAACAATCCTTGTATTCATTCTGATTTAATAACGCTTCTGTTGCTTTTACCTGTATTAAGAACTTGTATTTACCAGTCTCCTTCAAGATGGAGGTAGTTTCGCACATCATAAAAACTTACCTAAAACATCTCGAAGTGTTCTCATTAGTATACATGCAGTTCAACGCAGCTTTTTATATGTGAGTCTGTATTCTTAGATTAGTAACGGTTTATTATTGTTTTTTTTTTTCAGGAATCCAAGGAGCGTTTTTCAAAGCCGTTTTCTAAACATCGCCACTCCCGACAGAGTCACTTCAGTAAATCGCATTCATCCCGAAAGTACCAGAGATTGTCCACTTGAGGGGAGTCGTTGGGACAGGTTGTAGTGAAGATCATTTGCCTGGGGGGAGGGGGGTTAAGGGTGGGGTTGGTAAGAGAAGAAAAACCAAGCAAGATTGTAAACTGGGAGACATGGCCGCTGTTTCGCTTCTGGGTCCTAGTAAAAAAAAATTTTACTTCTTTCACGTAGAGAACCATTGTCACTTAGCAATCGATGGCTTATCACCTTCACTTATCTTCTGAGATCTGCCAATATAAAAACTTATCTTACTGTTTGTATAAAATCCCAAATTTTAAATAAGGATAAATGATACAAACTTACTTGATATTGCACGTAGTTTATTTTATTGTTGTAGTGTCGCAATGCACCACATTTCTTTTACCTGTTGTAACTTGGTCCTAATGGTAGTGTCAACTACAATGAAACCAGTCTTCTAATCAAAATTTATTATATCGTTGCTTGTTGTACAAGACTTCTTCATATTAATTTACAATTTGAATACATAGTCGAATTACAGATTGTTCGTATGATCAGAAGAAATTGGTCCAATAAAGCGTCTTTAGAAAATGCGGGCATTTTTATCGACATTATCTGAAACATAGCTCTAATCGTGATATAAATTTGCGCTCCTTTGTAAATACATAAAGTTTATCCGGATCGAGACTCGCCGTTAATTTTCCCATAACGGGAGAATTTTGAGATTAGCCGTAGTTTGAATAAAGCAATTTTCAATTGAGTGTCGAAAGTTTTCTGGGATTGCTTTGGTTTTACCTACTTTGCTCTGTGATTGGTCCAGAAAACTTGCGCCATCGATCCTCTCAGCCAATCAGATTCAAAACAAAGAAAACCATCGCGACTTGGCCATTTGCGTTTTCCCACGCTTCAGGTGGATTGCTTGATTTCACTTTGAGTTCTCATTGGCGAACGATCATGTAGACCTTTGTTCAGAGTGGTCGCTACGATTACTTTGGTTTTTCGACACTCAATTGAAAACACTGTCCAATAACATTCTTATTTCGTAGCAAGGGAACACTTTTTCCAAATCGGATGTTAAGAGTAACGTTTCTCTTTACCACTGATAAACAGAACTAATTTCGTTGCAAATCAAATTCAAGGCCGCATACGTTAGTGCTTTGGGAAATCAATAAACAAAACTTTTGCAAAGAGTTGTCCTATTCACAGTTTTTTGTTTGTTTTGTTTTGTCTGTCCTTCAGCTGTGGCGCAAAGTTTTGAAAATTTGAACGATCTGCGTTTTTATCTCAAGTAATCCTACTAAAGAATCTTTGTCAGATCAAGTGATTCTTTGTGGAGAAGTGATTCTGTAGGTTGGCGATTAACAAGCTGCCACACTTCAACAGTCAAACCTGTATTAAACGGCACCGTAATTAAGCGGTTACCCTGTAGTAAGCAGTCGGTTTTCAAAATTCCGAGATTGTGACCCGTTAATAATTGTAATTTTCACCTCTCTTAAAGCGAACGCAGTCACCCTTTACTGAATCACAACAAACCTTTTGTAATGTCCTCCACCTGTATTGAACGGTAAATTAAGCAGAACCACTCATATAAAAATAACAATAATCTTTCAATTATATTTCACTCCATTTTTATCGTCGGAAATCAATGTTAGCAGTAATAATTAGCGAGTTGTTGTATATTATATGGTCAACCAAGGCGTAAAATGGCGATTTCTAAAACGCCCTCATTTTGTGCAACCTGTATTTACCAGTTAACCCGTATTAAGCGCCGTTCCGCGTGGGTGACCGCTTAATACGGATTCGACCACATTTCTTTGCCGCCAAATATTCCCGCCAAACACTAGATCCCACGGAGAACACGGGATCACCTACGTAAGCCAGGTGGAAAGGCGTGCAAAGTCCACGTGAAACCAGTTTGACAACTGGTAAGTCAAGCTCACTTACGTCAAACGTTTTGACGCTGATTGGTTGTCTCAAAATAAATCTGGCTGCTGATTGGTCAGAGACACGTCAGTTACTAATTATGGCGTGGTGTTGCATCAGCCAAGGCTTCAAGACACGCGGCACGACCCTTTCATAACAAATTTCATCATCCCTCTTGAAAATGGCGGTGTGAAAGCTTCTTGGCAAAACCTTTCCGTGCAATTTATTTGCACCAGTACAACCATGGAGTAAGTACTTCAGTCAATGTGTATACTTCCCGATTCTTAGAAACCCAGAGTAATTTAAATTTTTGGCGAGTTCTCGACGCAAACGAAAAATCGCCTTAGAACAACGCGTCTCCGTTCTTTTGTTTACTCTTAAGTTTACTACGAAACTTAATTGAAGATGAAAAAAATCGCTGTTAAACGACCAAGGAACTTTCAAGTGCATCTAATCGTAAATATGGTTGAATAAATGGTTGATTTAGAACGAAATCGCCTCTGAAACTTAAATTTTAAAGTGTTAACTCAATTGCGTGCGAATTTCGTGTACTTACGTTGGTTTTCGATTTTTAACTTTCAGTTTCCCTAAACGCGCCCGAGTTCTCTCTCTTACATCGATTATAGATGGCCAGAACGTATCACGAAACCAAGAACATGGAAGACATTTCATTATTTTCGACATCTCCGGCTCTGGAAGAGCTGGAGCTCTTCAGTTCGTTCCCGATCCCGATCTTCGGGGAAAGCGGTACTCTTGAACAATGTGACGTGTACATAGAAGAGACAGATTCCTTGAAGCATCAACTCGACGCCTCATCACCGCTCAGTTTATCGGCGACAGATCTACTTGAGGGATTCGATGTTGAAGGTTAGTATTTTTTTCTAGGCACTGAACAAATTGATGACTGCCGTCTTCCTTTAGGACGAAACTGAAACTAATTTCCCCACAAGTTGATCATTAATAGTCCATACGTGTAAACAAGAAATTTATTCGTAATAAATTAGTGAGGTTTCTCATTAGCTGACTTTTATTGCATCATGTTGTTGCATCAGTTCTGTTATGTAAGCTGAGATCAAATATTGTACAGCTTATTTTCTATTGTGAATCATTGATGCTCAGAGCCATGGAGATGTTTTTATCGGTTTGGGTCTGTGCTGAAGTATTAACAAAAAGTTTACTTTTGAATTTCAGCCGGTGGTGGAGGTCTGTTAGATTCTGACTGGATGACACAGAAACTTGAGTTCCATAGCACAGAGTCAATTCTCTCAGTTGATGGTGGTGACTTGGTGAACCTTGGGGATTTTGAATTCACGTCTTCAGAATCATCTATTTCCAGTGAGCCAGAAAGTGTTGTCACTTCAGAAATTACAGATTCACCAGAATCAGAAGAATCCTCTGATGGCAACCTCTTTGCAAATGTGGATGAAATTCTCAGGAAGCTGCTCACCACTAATAAGAGCATAGTTGACACAGTAATAGTGACAGAGGAACAAGTTGGTCCTACATCACCCTTGCAGAGCGTTCCTGATGTTGACATGGGGTCTCACCCCTCTGTCTTGTCCCCTGGGTCAGATCTATTTGAGGCAACAACCTCAGTGGCCTCTCTTAGTGAAGAGAGCCTCTCTAACCCCTCATCCCCTGAAACACCAGTCAAGAAGACTGTGGAAATTTCTCCCACAACAACAACCTGTGTAAAGGTCAACTACTATGCACCATATCCAAAAGACAAACCAACAAAGGCGAAAACTCCACAGCAAAGGAAAAGAAAGCGGGAGCAGAACAAAGATGCTGCCACTCGTTACCGGGTCAAAAAGCGTGAGGAGCAAGATGTCATAGCAAAAGAACTTGCTGGGCTTGAGAAGGATAACGGTGAACTCAAAGAACAAGTTAATTCTTTGTCTAAGGAGATTGAGTACTTGAAAAACTTGATGCTTGAAGTATACAAAACAAAGCTGCAGAAGCAATCTCTGTTGGCTTCTAATTAAGTTTAAGCCTTTTTGTTAATGTATATATTTATATGCCTTTTTCTATTTTAGAATGGTCATAAAAAACAATTGCTTTTTTTTTTCTTGACATGCATTGCAAATGCTGTATTCATTATTTATCACATTACTTATTAAAATATTGTTATTCAACAACATCAGTCTTGGTGGAGTAGCAAGGAAAATTAAGGGTGAAGGAAGGGACCTGATGTGATTTGTACTGCCTCCCCCCCTTTTCCTGTTCCCTAAATGCTTCGCTGCATACAATTCTTTAAATGAACTGGAGGCAAACATGCAAGATCCAGTGTTAACGTGAACACACAATGAGGTGCAATTACAATTTACGTCATTTAGTTCTAGTTTCTCCAGCTTCGTAACCTGGAAATATCACTAGCATCCCTTCTTGTGGGAGACTATTCCAAATTCTACAACTAATGTAAGAAAAGGAGTGATCCCAAACACGAAATGGAAAGGCAAGCTGCCATAAACGTGGCCCACTGTCTCCAAGATCATATTTTCAACACTTGACACTAAGTCTATCATAGATTGGACACTCTTAGTGGAAATGCCTAGGTCTTGAGACAGACTTGTTGCAGTTTCTTGAAATTTTTTTCTTTGATGATTCTGCTTACAGTCTGGAAAAAAAAACTCGTTTAGTGCAATGCCATGGAATGTTTGGAACCGCATGCGAATGAAGGGTATTTCCGGAAGGCCATTTTAAGGAAAACTTTCCCAAATTGAAGCTACTTTAATTTACTCAAAGTGGGTCGGTACATGCACAAAGATGACGGTAATAGAGATTTTCAACGCCAAATAATATTTTTTTTGGTAAATTTATCCTCAAAAGATGAAAAAAATTAAACTTGAGATCCAATAGATTCTCATTCGGTCGATTAGTGGCGGACCATGGCGGACCGTGGCGGACTAAGTAAATTTTCCTTATCGTATGTAGTTTTGGTTCACCAAGTTTCAGATCAAAAAAATAAACCTTCCCCGAGATAATCCTGTTGCAGTGGCGTGACACGATATAGCTGCACTAATTACTTTGCCAAAGTGGCAATATCTTTGGCAGAATTCGTCGGGGAACCCATGTATACTTTCCTCTCTTCAGTCGCCATCTTGTGTAAGCCAGTGGTACATAGCTCCAGCGGTAAGACGTAAAATGGCGCGAAATCGCCAAATTCGTCTTGCTATTTTTCCCGCGAAACCAATAAGAACATTTCCACTTTCCGTATAGCAACGACACCGATCCTGCTGTGTTGAGACAATCTAGATCTTAGCGCCCATGCTGTTTATCAAGCAACACTAGCGGGGTCGAAAGTAGACTTTCTCTTACTTAACGAAATTGACGTCGCTTGGCTGGGAAAGTGCGTCATCAGGAACCAAAAATGGAAAAAAAAATGAAAAAAAAAATGGAAAAGAAACCAAAAAGTCCGACGTGGGAGATCCAGACCAAAAAATTCTGAGGTTTTGTTTCCAAGAGGTACACCGACAAGATGCATTTTCTCCACATTGCTCATTCCAATTTTCAGATTTTTCTTAAAAGTAGCATCAAACCATGTCTGATTGTCCTTCTGGTTGCCATGTGAATTTTGATGTAACTTTCATTCTTGTCACGCAATCGCTCTACTCAAGGTCAATCATGGCGAACAGTGGACATGGATTTAACCCTGTAGTTGTGAATAGTGTTACTTACATTGGAACCCTTGCTGCATTTTTTATAGCTCTGAAAGTACCTGGGATATCCATAAAGAAATTTCCCGCAACAGGTTGTCTCCTAGTCTCAAACGATGCGAAATTTGCCGAAAATCGATATTTAGAGTACCTTTTCGTGGGGCTTTGGTCGTTGCACTTTTTACGCCGAACGATCGAAGTTCTCTTTGTTCACGACTACCGCAGAAAAATGTCTATCATAGAGAGTATAGGAGCACCTATCTACTATTGGTTCTTCGCTTTCTGGATTGGAATTTCAGTACGCCATGACAACGGATACAGACAAACATTTCTAGCGCTTGTCGTGGCTGGCTCTGTCATCTTCATGTTGGGCGAGTTTGGTAATGGCCTCTGCCATCTTAAACTTCGGAAGTTTCGAAGGGAGAAACGCGAGGATTCCTTTTCTAACGAATCCCACCATGTTTTGCCGCGTGGATGTCTGTTTGAACTGGTGTCATGCCCGCACTATTTATGTGAAATATTATCGTGGGTGGGATTTTTCATGACTTCGTGGGTTTTGCCAGCAGCCATATTTCTTCTTGCTACTTTGATAACACTGATAACGTATTCATACAAAAAGCACAGAGCATATCAACAAGAATTTGACGGACTAGCCGGTAAAGAACTTTATCCAAGAAATAGAAGAGCTCTTATTCCATTCATTTTTTGATGAACTCTCGGTGGTCAGTGACCTTAAAATGAATTCTCGGAATCCGAAACTTGATTAACAATGGTCAACAATGGATGGCAGGTACACAGACTCCAGTAACTATTTCCCATGATTATTCGCCGACCTTAAGTGGGAGAAGGGGGGGGAGGGAATTTCTTGGTATCAGGGGCGACTTAGGAGAAGGGAAGGTTTCAATTGAAGATGTGATAAGGGGTGAGAAGGAAAGGTGGTACAGCTTGAGCGAACGAAGGTCTCATCCTGCTGGAGAAGATATTGAGTCTGCATATTCTCCATATTGTTTTCAACACATTTCTTAAGGCGCGGAGAAGGAGAATCCGGTTAGCAATAAAGAGCTTCTGGTGATCATTTCCTTTATTCCTGTGACCTTTATGTTTAATTCAGGGGGGCATTGAAAGGAGAAATTAGATGCTAGTCACTCTTAGGAGTCAAAGGTTTAGGAAGAAAGCTTGTTACTTTGACTAGGAAAAAAGAATGGGATTGTAATGTGCAAGTAACTCCTAAGTTGACGGAAAGCTCACTCCAATGACGGCAAAGTTTACATTGCCAATACAAACCAATCAAAATTTTTGCAATGCATTATTTTATTATTCAGGTTTTTAATTGAGTAATTGAAACTATTTTTCTCGTACTTTGAGGCTAATTGTCGTTAAATCTTCCTTAATAGTTAACTGGACATTCAGTAAGGATTTTCTCTATTAGATGAACAGCCGGTTATAAACTGATTTTAGAATGAATTGCATTCGATAACAAAGACTTTAGAGGTTGGCTTTTAAATAATATTAGGGAAGTATAAAATGAAGGTAAAAGTAACGTAAAGCTGTGTTCTAAAAGGAAAATTAACTCAAATACTACGGGAATTTTTTTAACATTAACAGTGCGGTTTTCACTTGATAAGATATCATTCTACACAGCTTCAGGAACATGTTAAGAACGTTCTCAGGCCCAAATCGTCAAATAAAAGAAAATTCAGCCTCAGCCCCCAAAGTAGACGTTCTTGTAAAAGAAAAGAAAAGGCACCGGAGGGATTTGAACCCTCGACCTCCTGTTTACTAGACAGGCGCTCTAACCAACTGAGCTACGGCGCCCTCACGACGGAAAAGTGGTAAATTTATTTATTTAAATCAAGAAGCAAACGTGTTAAGCTGGTTTTCGTTCACGGTTGGTTGTTATCCTAAGACTTACTTTTTCTTTTTGTTACCAAATAAAAATTTAAGTCTGAGTTTAAATAAAAATACTATATAACAGCGTGGGAAGGTAAAATTAAAACTTTCCGTTGCTAATTTCCTTCCTAGAGCACGCGATTGAGTCTCAGGGGAGGCCCCAGAGTCCTAAGCAACCAATCAGATCGTGCGAAGCGGAGCGTGAACTGACAGCGCGGAGCGTTTATCACCAACGGTATCAAATCTCTCAGAAAACCAGCCGTTGGATGTGCCTCTCTAATTCATCGGTAGTTTGGGACAGAATCTGTGCTCCAAACAACAGATTTCTTTTCTAAGAATAGTTTTAAATTAGTCGCTATCGTCTAGCACAAAATAGTTAAGCCGCGCTTTCGAAAAATGAAGCTTCGAACGCGAATTCCATCACGAGCGAGGGCCTCACTTCTCGCCTTACCAGAGGAAGTCATCCTTCTCATTCTCAAGCGTTTTACAGCACACGAATTAATGAATCTGAGAATGGTGAGTAGACTCGGCTAACCCTTATTCTAAACAGATGCGAGGTCCTTCATTTGTTTTATCCAAAACTATCCAAGGCTGTATGACCGTTGGAGAGTCGTTCGCCGTACAAACACGGTGGCCTTTCTCTGACCGTTGATCGATCGTTCGTTTTGTTGTTGATTTCCCCGCTTTATTTTCTCCATTTTGTAGGTTTGTTCTAGACTCAAGATACTCGTAGACGAATCATCCAGCCTCTGGATTTCAGCTTCTTTTCTTGGAGTTTGGCCATCACTCAAAAATCTGCCTCTTCTTCAAAGGTTTGTTGAACGACTCGTGTAACGGAATTCGGTTGCTTTGCGCGTCATTCGAATTTCCCTCCATTTTCAACGAGTGAACTCCACTAAACAACAGAATAGACGAGTCGTGTTTGATCCATCATAAGCTTTTGTATGTGACAGTTTTCTGTTATTTATTCTTAATATTTTATAGGGCAGCCAATTTGGGGAATCCAGAAGCTCTTATCAAGCTTGGACTCGCTCATTTGTATAACGAAGGAAGTATGTGATCATTTTAACGTACAGTGGAACGCAGGACCTTCTGTAAATAGCATTACCCCTAAAGAAGATTAATATAATAAGTATAATGTTTTTCTGTTATAGAAAATAACTGAAGCGTCATAAAGTTTGAAATGATATTTGAGAAAACTAAAATATCCGTCTATATTAATTACCCTTTTAAATATGTCAACGTTATAAGTGATTTGATTAGACAGTATTTGTTGTATCGGTTAAGAACGACGCGTGCTATTTTTGTTATAGATTTTATCATAACGACCCTTAAAAACGAGCGCAAAAAAAATTATTTTGAAAGAGGCGAACATGGTATACAGTATTCTTACAAAATGTATCACCTTTCTGAGCTACAACAGCTGATTTTCCAAAATTTTTACACCAATAATAACTGTCAATTTCAGTTTCAGAGAATGGAGAGAAAGGTGTCAATGCAAAAGAAAACGGTCGTCTGGCGGCAGAATTCTTCTTTAAAGCTGAAAGTACCATTCAAAATGGTGCACCATTTACATGGTTTTTTGTGCGTCCTCCGTGGGCACCTTCTGGTGTGTGCTGTAAATCCTGTGTGTTCAATAGTATGGTGGAGCTCTGTTCAGATCCAGTGGTGAGCTATACAGTGTATGGGAAACATATAGTTAGGAACCAGCAATCATTTATTGCTAAGCAGGGGGGAAGGGGATAGTCATATATGAAATTGACTGCCAATGAGGGCATATTGTATGAATATTACAGAGCTCTATAGGTGGATCAGGTAAATATTATTGGGATGTAGCCAAAATCCTCTGACCTTCCACCCTCTCCCCCCCAAGCATCAAATAATGCCTGTTCTCTTAGTCCTTTATGTTATGATTCTGTAGTCATTTACAGTTTCCCACTCTGCCAGAGATTCTGCTCTATCTACCAGTGCCAGGCTTCTTTCCCCCCCCCCTCCTCCCTTGAAGGTGTAGAAGTCCATTGCAGATTACCCTTAGCATTTCAGCAGGTCTCCCTGGCAGTTTTCTGTCAATTACGGATACTCTCAACCAGAGAGAGGCACCACCAGTGTCATGAATCTCTTTCATGAACACAAAACAATGACCCCAGATTCTGTAGACCATTCAGTGGAGAAGACTAAAGAAGTAATTCTTACACACTTTTCCCCCATAACATATTTAATAAGTGATATTTATCTATTTTCAGGTCAATAACTCAATGTTGTACAGTGTAGGAAAAATCCTTAGTTTGCATGAGGTATGTAATTGCACAGAGTGAATCCTATTTTTAAAATTTCCAGCAGGTCAGAATACTAATGGCTAAGCATCAATCCTAGACTAGATCACAGTGTGCTAAGCAATGTATCAGTCAATTAGAAGCTCCAAGAATCCTTAACCTGTCAATCCCTGTACACACTGTTATTGAGAAACTTGGGAAGGTTCCTGTATATAAGTCAAAGGCAATGGCCCAGATAGAGCCTAAGCTTCCATAAAAGGGGCACAACATATACAGCCCCTCAATGCAAGTTGAAAGAGACTGAGTTACATCAAGCCAGATGGGAAAATTTTGGCACTAAGTCATGATATTTGCACCTTAATGCAGGCCAAATATTTTCCTTTCCAGCCCACCTCTTATGTCAATAAGTACATTTAACTTGTATTTCAGGATGGACAGAAAAAGGAAGAGAGTCTGCAATGGCTGAAAAATGCTGCAAAGCAAGGGTCTTGTCATGCTGCATATGATCTATGGAAATTAAGATTTTGCGAAGGTCCAATGGAACCTTACTCAAAACTGGAGAGACTACGTGAACTGCGAGACTGTGCCAAAACCAATCACCCTGATGCTCAACTCACTCTAGCCCTTGAATACGCTAAAGGAAATCTGGGTGGGGTCACTAAAACACAAGTGGCAGAATTTACATTACAGGTAAATCCATGCACAAACCTTAGTATTTTTCAAGCTCTGGTCAAAAATGATCAAAAATGATCACACTTGCATACCACTGTATAGAATGGTTTTTATGTTCCATTTTTTAAAATATATGCCATGATCCTGTGAAATACCCACTTCACTTGTGTCCAGAAATGTATGCAACGATGAAAATTGCAGATTTAACAAAATTCCATGAAACCAAGTGAATGTTAATGGATTTGACAAATTTTTTAATCAAATTCTTCAAAGCAAAATCAACCTGGCAGATTTGACAATTTTTTCACCATATTCATTACTGCATGTATTTCCAGACATATGAAATAAACTGCCCTGTAAAGGTCTAATGTGTTTTTTTTTTTTTTTTTTTTTTTTTTTTTTTTTCCCGTGCAGTTTGTCTCAAGATCCAGGCCACTTAATAGCCACAAGCTTTTTAAGTTTCAAACTGAACTCAACAGCACAATGAGGTAAAGATTTACTTCCATACATAGATTAAGTTGATCACAATGCATTGAATTTCAACCAGTGTTCTTTAGTGATAGTGATGCATTTCAAATAAGGTTGAATACGTCTTTAGATTAAACATGGCCCTGTAAAGCCTGAAGACATGAGGCTAAGAGGGAGACATTTTTTGTGCTTCATTACATCATCAAATTCTTAAATTTAATTTTTATGTTAACTTTTATATAAAACTACCAACTTTGTCTTGATACCTTCATTTTCTATGTGGCAGGCTAAAATACAATTGTGCCATTGTTACCGAACTCTGGTCTCAAAGTTCAAAGTAATTTTGCTTGTTGACTTTCAGATATATCTTAGTTGACTGGCTTGTAGAAGTAGCTGTGATGAAGGTATTTGTAATTTTAATTTACCTCTAAGTCTCCTGAATTTACAGTGTGATGTGACAGATCTGACATTGTGAGTCAACACTGCACTCAGACATCCACTTACTCTTTGTCAAACAGGATTTTCCGAGTCAGATAGTTCATATCGCCGTTAGCTGTGTAGATCAATATTTAATGCAACGCAAAGTGCAGAGATCAGAGTTGCAACTTCTTGGAATCACCTGCATGTTAATAGCAGCAAGGTATGTCACATCTCTTTAAACTGAAGCATTCTTTTGTACTGGTAGTGAACCAAGCTTACAAAAATGCCCTCATTATTGATGCTGCTGCATGAGTGTTTTTTTTGTGCACAAGTACAATGCAAGTTTAAGGCCTTGAAGAAAGCTAGCCAGCATGAGGTCTGTAAGGAATCTGGCCCTTTAGTAATAACAAGAGAGCCCTTGCAGACCTCTCTCTAACTGCGATTGCTCATCAGGCATCAAACTTTCCTTAGGGCAAAGAAACACTTGTTTTGAGGTAGTAGTAATGACAGCTTAGTTGCTTGCTGTACTGAGCCATATTGTTTTATAGCTTGATATCTGATCTTAACATTTACAATCTCCACAGGTTTCAAGGAACAGATATTGTCACCATAAGGGAAGCTGCCTGGTTAACTGATGGCACCTACAAGTATGAAGAAGTAGTAAGGTTAGTTTGACAATACTGATACTGTTATTTGGAATGAGAAGATTTTCAAACAATACTTCTGGAAATGAAGGGTCCATAAATAATGTTAACCCTTTTACTCCTAAGATCTCATTAGGTATTTTCCTTACAGTCTGACATACAGTTCTTGTGATGTTAGTTTGAAGATTTTGGTATTGGATCAGCTTATAATTCCCTCACTGATATTTTACTCTATTCTCATCACTTGTCTGCTTGACATTGTATTGATATTGTAAGGAGAAATTCTCTCTAGGTCACTTCTGGGAGTTAAAGGGAGAAAACAGATATTCAGGGTGTGCAAGCTTTGAGTGAAAAACCCTAAGAGGAGGTCTGACCCTAAGAAAGGGGATGACGTTTTTTGGTCTCATCAGGAGCTTGGGATAAAGAAAAAAAACTCTTGAATCAAGCCTCAAACCCTAACACTCAATACTATAAAGCTCTACCACCAAGCCACAAAGACTCTACATTAAGCCACATGTCTAGACTTCTCATGGTATTGGGCAGTTGTTTTAAAGAGAATTGATTTTTGTTTGTTTCATCTTCAGAATGATGGGTGAGGTGATGTCCTCCATCAAGGGTCAAGTCAGGGTAAGTTTTTCTGATATCTGTTACTAACAGCAGTAAATTTCTTTAGTAACAGTAGTGTAATAACTGTTAGCTGTTTTCCCTCTTGTCTCTGTACATTGCTCTTTATATTCTTAGTCCTTAACTGGTCGTCAGATTGGTGATGAGTAATGCTTGGATTTTTCCACAGGTCCTCACCATTCCCGATTTTCTACAGCTGTTTTGTTCCTTAGCAGCAGTAAGTGTTCCAAAGTGTTATTATTTAACTTTTGCTAGGAAGAAACATGCATAGAACAACAGCAATCAGAGTGAATTAATGTGAAAACAATTCAACACATAAAAACATGGAATATCTTCAAGTTTCATGTGAAAGATAAACTTTATATTTCTGATTGGTATGTTTTATTTCAGGTTAGTCAAAAGACTGAATGTATTGCAGGGTATGTGGCAGATTTGTCCATTCTTCATACAGAATGTGGAAGGTAAGTTTTCCCTGTTAAGTACCTATCAAGTCAGTTAATAATTCCTTCTTTTATTTCAAACATTTACTCTAATTTGTTTTGTATTTCATTCATTTTAGGTTCTCACCAGCTGTGACAGCTGCGTCATCAGTTTTGTTGGCAAATGCAATTCAACAAATTGGTAAGTGGATATAACAACTTGTTACAGAAACAATTTTCATATTCATGGTAGACAACTCTTCTTGATTAATCAAGGTGTTCCAAATTTTCTCAACCAACTGAATGCTGCTACTTTTGCCTTTGAATTTCACCCTAAAACTTAACCTTCTCTTAGTACATTCTTCCAAAACAATGATTAAAGTGGATGGTATTAGGATATCTCTAAGTTTTCAAGCCACTTCCAAGGAGAATGTAAGTCATCATGTATCACCGAATCCTTTCACTATTAAAGAGAGTTCTCAAGGTAAATGGCTTGAATTAGTTTTATTTAGGTGTGAAGAAAGTTCTGTGTCACTTCTCACTGATCTCCAGCTACAACATTTTTTAATGCTGCCTTGTTATTTGAGTATCACTTTGCTTCTTAAAAAAACTACAACAACAACTTTACTTTTACTTTGGACATTAACCCTCAGACTTGTAGCATCAATTCTTATAGAGGCAGTCCAATACCAGATAACTGATTTTGAAAAATATTGCTAATTAAAGGATTTATATTTTTTTCATTGCCTTTTCATAACAGCAACACCATGGCCACTACACATGCATGAAATGACTGGCCTCAGTCTTGTGGATCTTTTGGATTGTACTCTTCATTTACATCAACAATGGTAACAATTTTTTTTGGTCCGTTATGAAGACTGCTTACGTTTATTGTTGATTGAATAGAGCTAGAGCGAATTTTGATCGAGTGTCGCAAAACCAAAATCACTGTAATCACCACAGAATTTCAGAAAAAAGGAAAATACCTTTGTGAGCCAATGAGAACTCAAAGTGAAATAAAGCAAACCGCGGGAAATTGCGTGCGACCAAATAGTGACTGGATTAAGGTATCTGATTGGTTAAGACTGGCCAATCACAGAGCGATGTATAGAGAAACCAATGCAAACTCGGATAGCTCGTCAACAACTCGTTAGTACGGTATAAAGTATTTCTTTCTTACATATTGTTCAGTTGATGAAAGGTGTTGTTTCTGATTGATTTTAGCCTAGTTGATGATTGCCCTACAGATCATAGAAATGTAAAGCTGAAAGCTATTAAACAAAGGTTTGTTTTATGCTCTTCTTTCTTGTGAGACTATGAGCCGTCCTTACTTTACTGCGAGGTCAGCTACGCTAGTGAAAGAAAAAATTGAAGTTATGACGGCGTGCCAACATCAATTTTTCTCTTGCCGATTTTAATTTTTTTTTTACTCGCGCGAAGGACTCCGCCGAAAAGGAGGGGCTGTTCGTTGTCTTAGTTTTTGTGTTATCTTTTTTCTGTGATTAAGTATTACCTTTACATATGTTGAAAGCCATCTTGGTTTTTTGGCTGATTTATTTGCTGTTTTTTAGTATAGTTAAGTTTAGTTTTTTTGTTTGTTTTGATTTTGTATTTTCGGTTTTAAAACATTTAGTGCTTCTTTTACCTTGTAGATATTCAGATGAAAGGTTCTTGAAAGTTAGCGAAATAAAGGTATGTTTTCAACTTCGTACATTTACGAATATTAATGCCGCCTCAGGTGTGTGTTGTGTCATTTGCTAAATTATTGTTTCTTATTTTTGGTGACAGTTTTGACGCCTTTGCAAAACTTCCAAGAAAATCCCTAAGTTTATTTTAGCAAAAAAATTATGTACCTACTGGAAAGACGCATGACGTTTTTAAAATTAGGTGATCTTAAATTTTTGTTTTAAACATTATACCCAGGTTCCCAACCGAGAAGAGTTACGTCGTTTTCTCCAGTCTGAAGCGCTCTGTGGAAAACGCTCTGTTCGCGGTCAAGCAGTGGCGAAGCATGTTGGGCTTGCGCAGCACATCAATGCTGACGACAGTATTTTGAATACGAGTATCAGCAGTTTGTCTGAGAGTGGTTACGAGGGAGATATGGAAGATGAAGGTGAACATAACATTGATGATCCTCTTGACGAGGAATTGTTTAGCGAGCTAGCTGATGGTGAACACGCCATGTTAAATAAGCAATCAAGGGACTCTTCCTTCCTTAACTGGGAGGATTTTCCTAGAACAAGCTCAACGCCGAGTATTCTTCATCCAGCTGGATTTCAAAATGGGTTTGATTTTGAAGTGCAGGACATGGAGACAGACTCAGAACCCGTGCATATAGACAATGGTATTCACAGCGCGCGCGAAGTGTGCGTGCCAGTAGCTCTAGAGCCAGATGAAAATATGGAGGTAGTGGAAAATTGTGTGAAACCATCGGCTTCAAGTCTGGGACGCAGGCCTTTAAGATGTATCGAGAACAACAATGTCCCTTCCGGGGTTCCTATTTCTTTGAAATCCGAGCGAAGAACTTCTGCTTGGAGTCAATCAGTCGCTCAATGAACTTGCCTTTGTGGCTAGTATTTTGCGCCCGTTTCTTTATCTCTGCTCTTTACTATGGCTTGAATCTTTTGTTTACGAGTCTCGCATTTTTAAATTGTGCGATCACATTGACGAATCCAAGCAAAATTATATTTTAGTGCATGTGTGTCGAAAATACCTATCTATCGGTTCAATAGTTTTATCCCCACATCAATTTTAACCTCAATATCTTTCTAGTGCAAATTGTATAATTGTATATATTCATTTAGGAATCATAACCTACATTTTGGCATACTCAACATTCTACAGTCCTCGACGTTTCTTTGTTTCCCTTTCGTTTTTCCTCTCTTGCACTCCGGCCAAGTCTCCAAGTTTGATCACGAAACTGAGAGGACTGATAACGAGGTTGAAATTGCCGTTATTTATCTTGTACAGGATCAAAAAATAGTCTCCAATTGATATTTTTAAGGGTATGTGTTGCTGTTTTTGGGTTAAGGCCTGCTAGAAAATTAACGGGAGAATTTATTGTGGTAATGCTTACAATGTGGCACTTCGATAGTGTCCAAAAATAAATATATATATATTTCTTAGACTTACTGTGGGATTCTTGTCTTCATTGTAAACTTTTTTCTTGAACCCCGCTATTGATGTTCCTATAGGTTATTAATCAGTCACTTTCCCCGCTGGAATACGTAGTCACAAGAGAAAATAAGGGGACAGAGGGATAATCATTGCGTCGATTCCACTGAAGTTGTTTTTAGTTGCGAGCAGGAAGGGAATTCTGTTTCCTCAGACGTCCACATCGTGGTTTTCTGATATTTCTTAGAAAGCCAGAGTTGTGTTTCGCTTATTCAAAAGTTTGTTAGAGAGTGGCTTCACGAGCTACGTTTCGTTTCAAGTTTCGTGTTCCTTATAGCCCTGAAAAAAGCCTCCGCCTGATTGAAATTAACTTTGAATCATGCAAAGAAATTTCAGCAGATAGATGTTCACTATTATGCGGACGTCTCGAAAAAAACCACTTCCCATCGAGAGACTGGCAAGCGCCTCCTCTGTCCCACTGTTTTCTCTTGTTACCTGTCAATCGAAGTACAAGTGCAAATTTACTTCGACAAGAAATTAGCAACACATCGGTAAAACGTCTGCATGTGAGGAAAAGTTTCGAGTATTCCTCTCCCTAATTTTGTTCCCTTTCTACAGTTTTTCACGGACGTATTAATTTTCTCGCAAATATTAAGTGACAGACGGTTGTTTCTTATGTTTTCACATCAATTTTTGCACGAGAAAAACGGAGCTCAGTTAGTGCCATCTCGCATTTCTCATCGACTTTTTTTTTTCCCGACTTCAACTTTTTTTTCATGACTTCAACATTCCGGCACGACTTTAATTTTCCGCCGCGCCATTTTTTTTGGCACGACTTTCTCTTGGCCTTACCTTCAATAGAATAACTATAATACTTGAATAATCCCTTTGGCTTTGATTCTTTCTTAACCGTCACAAAACTTAAAAAAAATTATACTAAAGCTTATTGCCCATAAAATTTGGACAAGGTGACCTTCAATCCTAAGGTAAACATTTGTAGGTACTGTTGAATAACAGACCAGAGAAAGTAGTTCCGGGAAATTAAAGTCGTGGCGGAATGTTTATGTCGTACCGGAAAGTCAAAGTCGTGCCGGGATGTTGAAGTCATGGAAAAAAGTTGAAGTCGTGAAAAAAAGCCAAAGTCGCGAAAAAAAGGTTGAAGCCGTGAATAAAAGTGGCGCATGGATCTCCTGTTTCGACAGTCACGTGACTCAAGGTGAGATACAAGGTAAGACATCGGAATGTCATCACTTTCCAACTGGACGGAATATTTCTTTCGTCAATTGCTAGTAGAACTGTGTAAGAGAATTGATTTTCCATTTGTCTTAGGTGCCGAGATTTACATTGAGATGGTAATTTCTGCAATATCAACCAGTTATCGCTTGTAATAACTTTCACAAAAATGCCTGTGTTGCAATACTCTTCTGATCCTCGCTGCTTATAAATAAAAATGCGCATAACATACTTAATTTAAACTCAAGAGGAAAATCGTAGAATGAATGTCGAAGAAAGGGCATCAGAGAAATGTCGATGGTTTCGTTTCAAGATTCCTTGTTGCAAACTCGGCCGACTGAATTGTTCATTCAATGTTCGTCTCAACCCAGTTGTTTCTCTATTTTCCGCCCTCATTATTTGGGCTTTTGTGGTATGGTGCGTATTGGAGGCGAAAGCGGCCAACGAAGACATGACCGAATGGCGAAGATGGATAACTTTGAAATGCACCTGGCTTTACATCGGAACTCAAGACGCGTGGGCTTTGTTCATAGTTGTGCTCTATTTCTCTAAGTATTCCAAAATGAAGCTAGGAAAATCGCACGAGAAACCGGAATTCAACGATGCTACGTACTTCACGATGTTATTTGCTGCTGGTATCGGAATTGGTCTCTTTTACTTTGGAGTAGGTAAATAGTAGACAAATTAACTGCAGAAACATGCATTGTACGATGATCGTTTCAATATGACCCATGCTTTACGAAAGAGCAGTAGTTAGAGAAGTTGACCGAGTTATGTTATTCTATTATTTTATCTTTGTCAAAAGCGGAGCCCATTTGGCATTATGCACCTGGACATTATGGAAATCGATATTATGCAAGGTAAGTGCTCTCTTAACTATAACAATACTTCAAGACGATGGTTGTGGTAACCTAGAATAGGCCAGTTTACGTCTGGTCGGACAAAAGTAATTCTAGTAATGATCCTCGCTTTTTGTTGTGTTCAATCCAAATTACATTTCATTTGCACCGTAATCGCTTTCACCAACGACTAAAGATAAAACTTACCTGAATTCCGACCCCCCCGCACATGGCTCTGTGATATCCTTATAATTCCTCCCCCCTCCTGGCAATTAATTGGTATTCAATTTTCTACAGTCCCCCCCTCCCTTTCCGCTGAAAACCTTGTGATACCCTCCCCCAAAAGAGAACTCCAACCTCCCCACACCCCCTTGCTCGGTCCCTGAGGTCATAAGTAAACAAAAATATGAACCACTGATATTGAAACATTGAACTTTCCGTTAGGTATTCCGACAACCAACAGGCCCAGGATGCCATGAACCTCACTTTCTTTCACTGGGGAATTCACGGATGGATTGTCTACGTAGTGGTTGGACTTCTCCTAGCCTTCCTCAGTTACCGAAAGGGTCTTCCGATGACAATGCGGTCCTGTTTCTATCCTCTACTTGGAAACGGAATATTCGGATGGGTTGGCGACTTCATCGACATCCTATCAGTGGTGTGCACCATGTTTGGGGTCTGCACCAGTCTTGGTCTTGGTGCCATACAGCTCAACGCTGGTTTCAAACGACTAAACAAGAACATCACCTTCAGTACTACTAATCAAATCATCACCATCTGGGGAGTAACGGCCTGTGCAACTTTATCTGTCATCAGTGGTTTGAAACTTGGCATCAGGCGGCTAAGCGAACTATGTTTTGTCATCGGTATGATGCTGATGTTGATTATTTTGTTCTACGATGATACATGGTATCTACTCAACCTCTATGTTCAGAGCATTGGATATTATCTCCAGTATGTTGTACAGGTTGGATTCCACACAGATGCTTTTGCACAACTCGGTAATGCCCCAGATAAACTCGAAGCCGCTGAGTGGATGAATGACTGGACCATCTTCTACTGGGGTTGGTGGATTGCTTGGTCCCCTTTCGTTGGAATGTTCATCGCGAAGATTTCACGAGGCCGAACGATCAGAGAATTTATCAATGCTACCCTCACTGCACCTATCTTCTACACCTTTCTGTGGCTCACCATTTTCGGTGGAGCAGGGATAAGAATGGAACGAAACGCAGCCTTGGCGAACGTCACCTGCTCGTCGCCATTCGGAGGGAAAACTGCCACAAAGTCATTTCAAGGCTTTTACCGACTCTCCTGTCGCCCAAAGAATGACATGTGGTTCGACCTGATGGACCAGTATGGTGACCTTGGAGACTTCTTGTCCATCGTGTCCTTAATTGGTATAATCCTTTACTTTGTCACCAGCTCGGACAGTGGTTCACTGGTCATAGATTGCCTCTCTGCCAACGGTGATCCCGACCCCCCCATACCCCAACGTATCTTTTGGGCCCTGACGGAGGGTGCTACCGCAACTGCTCTGCTGTATGCTGGAGGGACAGATGCTCTGAACGCCTTACAAGCAGTGTCCATTGTAGCTGGCCTTCCTTACACCATCCTATTGTGTTTCATGTGTGTGGCATTGTGGCGAGCTGTTCAAATGGAAGATGGTGACTTGGATGCAAACGGTCCACAGTTCAGCGTGACTTTGTTCCATCCGATCTCTCGACCTTCCCATAGAGGTTTCTTCAAACTTTTTCTCGCCATTGTTGCTCCCTGGTACGTGATAGCCATTGCAGAAGACAGGAAGAAAGGCAGTAGCCCCTTAGCCTTGGCCTGTCGCATGGTCCTCATGGGTGTGCCATTTTATTCCTGGATTGCCATGATGGTAGCAGAGTTGATTCCAGTAGAAGGAATCTCTTATGTCGGATGGGCAGTTCTATTTTTGTTCTTTGGTGTAGCAACAGCCATCAGAACGGGAATGAGATTAGAGGATGGAATACATGGCAGTATGGCAGAGGATTTCTTCGTCGTGATGTTTCTGTACCCGTTTGCAGCTTTTCAAATGGATCGACACGCATCGCATCATCAAATGAAAAAGAATACAGAAGACGTAGAACAGGGAAAGGCCAGTGACAATCCCCGTTATGAAGGCGGCTTAGATGATAAATCAGTAGCAACTGCGTTGTAAAAGCCACGAAATTTGTAAACAGTTTTGGAGACAGATGAAAGAACTAAAGCACATGGACTGAAATTTTTTGATCGTTGTTGACATGTGCAAAGTAGTGTGAAAAAGTGTATAATCTGTATAATGAACACCGGACGGCGAATTTCTTTCATACAGAGGATCAGAAATGAACAAAAACACTTTCTTTCTATATTTACTTCGTCGAAATTTTTCCTCGCAGTATTGTGAGGTCGGCGCTTATGACGACCTCTGAAAGCGGATGGTCAGTGTGAAAGTGTGAAAACATCGCAGATAGTAATATTCTAGACAAATGCAATGATGTGGCAATGGATTTGATTCTAAATTTTGATAACCCTTCGAGTTCTTTGAACAATTGTGATACATACGATGATGAATAATCTAGTAGAAAATAAAGTCTGTGACGAAAGCTTTTCCTCACCTTTATATTTTGAACAAAGGCAGTGCTTAATGAAAAAAAGTGATAAAGTTTACAATAGCTATGCGAGAGCACTTTGTAGACTTTGTAAACGTGTATCGGAAACGAATCAACACTAACCACGAAACAGCCAAGCGGAGAGGAGGAATTTCGAACATTTGATAAGGAATAAGGCATAAGTCAAAGTTACCGCGGGCGAGGGAAACGCGAGTTAAGGTCCCCATTCGTATTTGTTGTCCATCTGATTGGATAAGAAATATGGCGCGAATTTTCAAGGCCGACCAAATGGATACCAAACCCATATCTTTCCACGGTAGATTGAAAATTGCTCTTGAATATCGTGACGGCTTGTTTCCTCATTCTTTGGGGCATTCTTCACTTTTACTGCTTTTATCCCGGAGCTTGGCGTTTGATTTTTACTAAGTTCTCGATGGAAAACTTTTTAACTTTGCGCGTTCATTTTAATCTGGGGTAAGCCGGCAGTTTCAATCTCGTGGCTAGATAAAACAACCTTTCCCCTTCAATATGTCTTGAGCATGTCCGATTTTGGGCGTGGTTATTGCTGTATACGATTTAATTAAGTTAGGCGCTACCGAAGTTTACCTCTCTTAATATAACTCACTTTTGCCTTTTCTCTCAAGATGAATTCATGCGCCTTTCCATTGTCAGATAAATGCATCTAATCAGAACACAAATGTATATCAAATAATTTCATTCTCCAGTTGTACGCTGTACATTTCCGGGTTTCAAACTGTGCCTGATGATTGGAAGAAATTCCCTGCTCCTCCAAAGTTACCATCACCCCGAACCTTTTAGAATTTTCTGAAAATAAAGGAGCTCTGATATTTACAATGGCGCTCACCACCATAAGCGCAAATTACTTTAGGTGTGAATGTTTGCAAACTCGATGCTTCCGGTTTGAAATACAGAGGAGATGAACAGTTTTCAAAAGAAGGAGTTTTGCCTTAACAACTTGGAATAAGGGAGAGAGCTGTTGGTCTAAAAATAAGGAGGTGGCATATTTAAAGATGGGAATTTGGATGACCTGTTTCTCTACCTTGCAAATGAGGTGTTGGGAAATACTGAACAAAATGAAATGAGATGTCCTTGTTGGGTTGCCTGTTGACTTCAAAATTCAATATAAATGTCATTTTCACCCCTTAACCTTTAAAACCCTAGGAGTGATTAGCATCTAATTTCTCCCTACTACATTATCCCTGAATCACACATCAAGGTCATGAGAATAAAGAAATTGGTCACCAGGGAAGGAATCTTTTGATTGTTAAACAAATTCTCCTTGTCAGCACCTTAGGAAATGTATAAAGAATAGTGTGGAGAATTTGCATACTGATGTTAGGGTGTGAAGAGGTAACCCGTAGGAGTGACCAGCATCTACTTTCTCCTTATGGTAACACTGCAGACTCATTCATTGAGATTACAAGGATTAAGGAAATGATTGTCAACCTAAGAGGCTTTGATTATTAAACAAATTCTCCTTGCTAGTACCAAAAGGAATTGTATAGACAGGAGTATAGAGAATGTGGATACTGATTTTAGGATGTAAGGGCTTCATTAATAGCCCAGTTTCAGTAACAGCCTGAAGCAAAAACATCCCTGAGCATTGGTGATAAACTCCTCACCTGGAATTTTGGTTGTTATTTTCTCCTCAGAAAAAAATTTCCTCTGGCTGGCAAATAGCTCAAGTGATAAATTGAAGTTTTTCATGTTCAAATCAGATTGACTTTATGAAAGCTTGTGCTGGAAAAAAATTTTAATAATGAGCTTTGTTTGTTGTTCATAATTAGGGGCTGTTGGTAAAATTTGGTTTAACTCTTTTCCATACCTAATTCACAACTTTTTATTACTGACAATATACTGTTTATCAAATATTGTTGGTAAATACAGCATGAACAAGTATGAGTTTTAATAAAAACTAGTACAAAATTGAAAAGAGAAAAAAAATGATTCCTAAAACATTTAGGGTTGTGGGTGGGATAAAATAATTTTTAGTTAAGAATTAGAGTTTCACTAGGTTTTATACTTTACAGGCACCACAACCATACCATTTTAATGTAGTCAGATATTTGCTTCTAATTTCAGTCACTTCACACAACTTAAACTTTGTAATTTTGAGCCAAGACTCAATTTTCATCAGATGAAGGAAGGGTCCCTTCTGGATCATTAACCTCTACAGTTTTCTCCCCATTCTCAGCATTTCCTGTGGCAGGTTGAGCAGTCTCTGTATCTGCCGATTCATCTTTCATGTATGCATACTCCACAGGCTTGCTACCTTTCCTATTTTTTCTGCCAAAATCAGACACAACCTTCCATATAAAGCTACCATGTCGACGCCCTCTTATTGGGTGACTGGGATCCAATCTTGAGTTAAACTGATGTTCATAAGAGATTTTCTCTACAACCTTTGGTGTTGTATGTCCTGTTTTATATGCAGCTTGAGGTAGGATCTCAGAGGCCCCTGCAGGTACCACTTGCAGGGCAAGGTTACTGCTGTACCTTGTTATCTTTCCAGGGGAGAATGGTGGAGGACGATAATCTGAGCGCGCAGTTGAATCAAAGCCTTTTTGAGGGATCCTGGTGGATTTTTCTGGCAATTCTTCTGGCCACCATGATGGGTATTTCACAGGGGAATCTACACTGGTCTTCACATAACAGATTGGCTCACAAATAAATCGTGGATTTTGGCGCAAAAAAGTCACATTAGTGGGGTGAGGTTTATTGTTTGGACCAGACTTTGTACTCTGTTGAGGGGATAAAATTGCATGTCCAATATAATGTGCATCATAGCTTGTTTGACCAGGTGAATAGTTAACTTGCAGATCAGCAAAAACCCTGGAGGTGTCATGACTGCAAATAGAATAAAATCATTAAATTGTAAACAAAGATCGTACCCAAATATAAGCATAACACACCGATGACCCTTATACCCCTAAGAGTTACTGCTTCTCATTTCTCCTCACAGTATCACTAATGAATCAGATGTAAAGGTCATGAGAATAATGAAAATAATCATCAATTTTGGAAGTTCTCATTTGTCAAACAAATTCTCCATGTCAGTAACATAAATAAAAACAGTGTGGAGAATAATAATTCTAATGTTAGGATGTAAAGGATTACCAGTGCCAAAGATGATATGTGGAAAATATAGTTTTTAGATAATTATCTTATTATCAAAATTAATAGTATATAGCTATTCCACAGCTTTTAACTTACTTCTTTTTATGAAAAATTTTGTACCAAATGGTATCTCCATTGATCTTTCTGTTTGACGTAGATCTTAGCATCATAACTATAATAATTATTGTAAATTCTGCTGTTAACGATTGTTACTTTATTATTTATTTCATTATTTTTATTTTTATTATAATTACCTCCAGACAAGTGTCAGATTAAGATATAAGTACAAAGAAAACGGCCTGGAATTTTTCAGGCCAAGAAGCACAAACTCACCCAAGAATTTTGGAACAATTTTTGCCGTCATTAGCAACCTCTTTCTTACACAACAGGAAATTTATCCAAAATTCTACTCGATCGAAATGAAAAGCAACAGCGAAGTGGACTCGCACCCCTTAACACTGCGACAAGTATGTAACAACTTAAAATATTTCCACATTCTATTCCATCAGCAAAATAGAAAGTCCAGCCGGTATTTCGAAATAATTAAGACAAAAAAGTGAATAGGATTAATTAATTAGCATGACCTGTGCGAAATTAGGTAGAGAATTACAACTGGAATAAAGCCTGGGTTTCACATCATAGAGGATATTTTTAAGAACTAAAGGCGTTTTATGTGACTACGACTGTTGAAATTGCCATGTTTACGATTTCATTGCACAGGCCCTTGCAGGTTAAATGAAAAACCTCAATTTGTTAGGATACAGCACTAGGAGAATCGAAAGGCGCGCGGTGGCGCCAGAATAGACCTGTATGCTTTCCCTTCCCTTTCAACGACAACTTGAGATCTAAAAGTAACACTTTCCTAATTGAAGATGAATGGTCAATTACCAGACCACAAACAGTTCTATTTACCTTAGGAATCCGAGAAGATTTTACCCTAAATATATTAAATATTTAGAAGGGAAGCGTTCGAAGTCAAACTCACCGTGGGTAGCCGTCTACCTTCTTTTTACGAGCGATCGGAGGCAAATAAATGCTTGCCATCCAAAATTTTTGCTAAGTGGACAATCTAGAACCTCAAGTGGATTCTATGGCAAATAAATTCATAGTAAACTACCGATTGTTTGGTCGAAAAACTAAAAGTCACTTCAGGTATTTCTGATTACAAGACGTCGTCCCGGTAACCAGCTGACTTCCGCTACACATACCGCTGGCTCGCAGAAAACAAAATGGTGGTTCTTCGAGCCCAAGTAATTTTTGCAGGTGAGAATATAGATTTAGCTTTGAATTGACGAAGCTTTGCTTTATCTTAGCACCCAACGCCTTTTTATATTCATGTTATTAATTCAAAGCGTGTGCTTATATCGTTGGTCATTGTATCTTTGTCGATGTGGTGTAACATTGATGGGCAAGTGATGGGAGTTTTGCTCTGCTAGCTACATCGAAAGGAACGGTTTGTGAGCTGATTCCTGCCAATAAAATAGATTTTATATCTGTGTTTCAGGTGACCCATGTGTGGGTAAGAGTGCCCTAACACAAACATTTCACAGCGATGGTACACACTTTCCCAAAAACTATACAATGGTAAGCTTTCTCTATAGTTTTGTTATAAGAGGATCATGATTCACCAAAAAGGCTTTATTCATGACGATATATCTCTCAAGTTATATGTAAGCTCGGGGGTTATCTGGTGTTGTGAGAATTTGATTACTTGTACTTCACGAGTCCCATGAATATTGTGTTGGACAAGGAATAGGGGGCTGCATAGATTATTTGAGTAAAATTTGTATCAAGGGATTGATTATTTCTTGATGCAAATGGAATTTATGAAGATTGGACACCTAAGGAACAAGGAAGAAGGTCTTTCAAGAATAGTCCATCCTGTTTACTTCCCACCAATTCCTTTTGTAGCTGATCCTCCTTTAGGGAGCAGGGGAAACCTGTGTGTTGTGGCCAGTTTTCTCCCTTATTCTGTTATTTTCTGGCTAGACTCTGGGTTGAAAACTAAGATAAGCTGCAAACTGTGGCTGAGTCTGTATCATATACAGACTGCACCCTAATGAAATTGCATCAAATGAAATTTTGGTCGTCCTTTTTTTCACTTCACATAAAATCAAGTGTTTGTAACTCATTTTCAGACAGCCGGAGTGGAAGTGTGCATTAAGTCTGTTAACATCCCAGAGACTTCTGACAGTGTGGTAGGTTTTTTTCCGATAAAATTTATTTTTACAGACTAAAATTTCTAAATCAATGAAAAGTTTCTAAACCATACAACAAAAGTCACCAAGCAATTAATGTTTGGGACAAAGACAGTCTTTATCATTACAAGTTAGATTACTTAAAACTAATATTTTCACAAATACACAAGCTAATAATAAAAGAATAATCAAACATAATATCAAAAAAAACAAAAATTCAAAAGGCCATCTGGAAGAAAACCCAGACAGATGCTTACAAGGCAAGTGCAATTGATGTATATGTGCTAGCAAGCTGAGTAACAGAACAACTGATCTGAATTACTGAGTAATAACTAAAGCACCTAAAAACTAATCCAGACATCACTGTACTTTTACTAGCATCAGGAAGCTTAACTAGCAGGATACGTCACTCTGCTGGTGTTAAATTACTTGAACTAAGTAGGCAAGCTTGATCACAATTATGATGCGAGACTACCTTTGCTATGTTTGTAATTTAGAAGCACATCACTCAGAAATGGATGATGTTTCCCATTCAAGAAACCCTTTGGAAACACAAGGGTTGAGTCGGCTGCTTAACTCTTTGACCCTAAGAGTGACCAGCATCTAATTTCTCCTCACAATATCAACCCTGAATCATACATTAAGGTCATGAGAATAAAGGAAATGATCAACAACTAAAGAAGCTCTTGATTGTTAAACACATTCTCCTTGTCAGCACAATAGGAAATGTACAGAGAACAGTATGGAGAATATGCATACTGATGGTTTAAGGGTTAAAAGAATTTCCACAGGCTTTTTGACTTCCATTATTTTTGCCAGGAACTCTACATTTATGACTCTGCAGGAAAAGAAATGTTTGCAGACATAGTACAACAACATGTAGGTACCTTTATCATGAAAGCAGGCAATTTATTATTGAATCAGATGTGTATACTTTAGATATTTTGTCCATGTAGGACTATGCTAACCAAGCATGTATTGTGGATGTTGTCACTCAAAAATCTGCCTGCTAAAACAAAGGACAAAGTTTTAGCTGTAGTGGTTGAAAATTTTAATGGTGTGACACAATGCCTAGACAGTCACTCAGACTTCATGGTAGCCTTGAGCCAGAGATACCATGGAGGATTTGATAATGTAGCACTCTATACATGGGCCAATGCACTATGTGGTGAGACTTGTGATAAAAGTTAAAATTCTTTTGGTTTGTCAGTTTGATATGAACCAAGCAAGAATGAATAATCCTTCCATATCAACAGAATGTCTCGTCAATTTTTTCAACCAGGTTAAAATTGATCTGGTACTGTATTAGATGAATGTAGCTATATCTTTACTTCACTCCTCAGTCATTAGAATACTAGATTTGTAGTAGGGGCTAGGTTGTAACTTGTCCAGTAAAAGATGACCAATTGCTACAACAATGTAAATAAAAATGTGTTTTTTATTGCTCATGCAGTGGACACAGCCAAACATGTTCCTTGTGGGTTATGATGTGACAAATGAACAGTCATTTAATGCCTGTAACAAGTGGTATGAGAGATGCAGAGCAAAAAAACCAAACCAAAGTTTACCAGGTGAGTCTCTGAAATTTACATAATGCAATTAGCAAATTAATAAGAGAAGCCTCAAATGGTTGAGTAAGTTGCAGTTAAACAGAATCAGATGAAAATGTCCTAAACTCTTTAGAAAAATAACTTAAGGCAATAACCAAAATGTATAAACACTAGAAACACAATTTTGAATATGGAAGCAATCTCCACAGCAGTGAACACTACTTAAGCAGTAGTGAAAATAAGGCCTGAAAAAATTCACATCTGTACAGGATTTAAACTCATAACCTTTACAATACTGTGAATTTATAAAAAATCCTGTACAGGCCTGAATTTTTTTCAGGCCCTGTTTTCACTACTGCTGTGAAGATCACTTTCATATTCATATCTTATGCCGCATTCACACCAAAGCTTAAACATGTTTAAAAGTTGTTTTGTTAAACACAGTTTAATTTTTTTTTTCTTTTTAGAAACTATTTAACCGAATATTTTTGACTTGAATGTAGCACATTGGAAATGCAAGTTAGCAAGTACTTGAATCCAATGGAAAATCAAGTTTTTCAGTGCTCTGTTTATAATTTTCATTCAATGAAAACCAGTTTAACAAAACATGTTTTGCTGGTGTGAATGGGGTATTAAACAGCAGTTCACATATATCATTTTTAGACATTCACAGTCATTTAAACACATTTTTTGTTAGATGTTAGCCAAGGATGGAAGGCAAAATTATGGTGATGCCTGACTTAACAAATTTTTATTTGATTTTAAGGTGCCCTGGTTGCCATTAAAACAGACCTGAAACAAAGACGATTAATATCAACAAAACAAGGCAGAGATCTTGCCATTTCTAAAGGGCTTGAATACTTTGAGTGCTCTGCGGTAAGTTGCCTCTCCTTGTATACTGAAAATTGAGCATAATGACAGTCCCACTTACTAGTAACAAAGCCTTAGAGGTAAACCTCAAAAGATGAAACTACACAAGGAATCAACAATATTTCTCACATAAACACCCATTGAAAATTTGAGATGGTATTGGTGTTACTTTACTTTGCTCTGTAATTTGTCCTGAGAAAACTTGTGCCACTGCTGTCATAGCCAATCAGATACAAACTTAAACCAACCACAACTTGGTCACTCACATTTTCCTGTGCACAAGGCAGTTTGCTTGTTTTTATTTTGTGTTCCCATTGGTCCTTTGGGGTGTATTCCTTTCTTCTGATTGGTCATTCTGATTACTTTATTTTTGGTTTTTATGACACTCCATCTGAAAGAGCTATCTTCTAAAGTTCCCTTTAGCCTGCTGTTGTTTCTGCCGAGAAAATGTCATCAATTTTATATTTAGGAAGTATTTAGATATTTTTATGGTGGGGATTATCTTAAAACCTCAGTTACAAAAAATTATGTAAAATAATATTCTTGAACAAATTTTCAAGTGTCATTTTTTCAATAGGAAAAAATTGCACTGATGTGAAATTTTCTTTATGTTCTGTTCAGGCCATGTACTGCTTGCTAAGAATTTTATTTTCTCCTTATAATTCCATCTGTGGCATATCATTGCTCCTCTTTGTGCTATACCATCCCAGATTCCATCCAATCGACTTTCCATGGTGGAAACTCGTTTCCTCGGAACATACTTTTTTTTCCTTTTTATTTTTCTAGAAAGACCATGAGAACGTGGAAGCTCCATTCTACTACTTGGCTAAAGAGTTTCACAATCTTTACAAGGAGAAAGTTGAACAGATGAAGACATTGACATAGGACTTTCATTTTCGTCGTGTTCTCTCCTTGATGAGAGGGGAGGTCGATCTTTTCATTGCACAACTTTTATTTATTCCGAAAAGCGTTCTTGAAAATAGAAGTGTCTACCTTTCTTCAACTCAAGGGACTTATATTAGGGTTTAGCTTCTTGAGGATATTTCAGCCCAATCTCTTGAAGTTAGTTTATTTATTATTGTTATTTTTTTTTCATTTCATGATCTTAGTTTCTCTTATAAAATACTGGCAAGTTCTAGTTTATGTTTAATTTTTAAGCATTCTGGGAACGCATGTAGCTACCATTCTACTCAATCCATGAGAACTGACTCATAAGCTATGTTTTCACCTTGCTTGAGGCAAGGTCCTTCACGTTAAAAATGTTAAATGATATTGATATATAAATGTATCACTATTTTAACACATTTCTGTAAGGTCCAAAGAGATTATATTAACTGATACTCTCTTAGAAGATCGGAAAATGTTGAAAAAGCAGATATAAAAACCTAAGATAGCGGTAGTGATCATTTTTTAACCCTTTCCATCTTAGCATTTGTGTTCATATTCTCCACACTGTCTCTTTACATTTCCGATGGTAATGACAAGGAGAATTTGTGTGACAATCAGGAGCTTCTTAAATCGGTGATCCTTCCCTTCATTCTCATGACCGTTACATTATATTCAAGGGTGGTCACAGGACGAAATTGCAAGAATCCGTAAACGGAAACGTGGCAGAAACATGTTAAACCGTTCTGGAAACACGACGGATAACCTGTGTTTCCGTCACCGGTTTCGTGACGTTTTCTCGCGTATCCGTTGCTGCGTATACAACGGAACCGGACCACTTTTTGTGCATGTTAAACATAACGGAAACATGGAGTTGCATGTTTCCGCCACGTTTCAGAAATACGGAAACATGTGATTTCGTCCTGTGGGTATTGTAAGGAGAAATCAGAAGCCGGACGCTCTTAGGGGTTAATGGATTAAAGAAGTTTCGTTTATCGGTCACAAATCCGCAGGCTTGACAGTTTGAACTCCATGACACAGTATGATGTGCCGAGTAAAAGCACCATTCAGTAGCTATAAATCGTTTAGTTATTGCAGTATAAACCATAATATACGTTTCCTTCAAATGTTTTAATTAAAAAATTATCCTCGCGAGTGGATCCCAGATGCAGGAAAGAAGCCTGGAGGCTTCGTAGCTCAGTTGCAAGTAGCGTCCAACTAGTATCCGGGAGGCATGGGTTCGAATCCCGTGCAAGCCTGAATATTTTTCAAGGGGGTAAGTTTCTAAAGAAACTGTGGTGCTGCGTTAGTGGGAGAGTATAACATGGTAATTTAATAAAATCAACTGAGTTGATAACGTAACTTGGCCACCGTAAAGAGTTTCAAAGTTGACGTTTCGAGCGTTAGCCCTTCGTCAGAGCGAATTACGCAGTTGGACTGCAATTCAAGAAATTTCAGAAGAGGAACATCAAAAAATGTTCAGGGTAATTAAGTATTATCAAATAAGTTGATAGCGTAAATTGGCCACCGCAAAGAGCGAATGATGAAGGGCTAACTTCCGAAACGTCAGCTTTTAAATTCTTTACGGTGGCCAATTTACGTTGTCAACTCATTTGAGAATACTAAATTACCCTGAATATTTTTAGGCTTCTTTTCTGAAATTGCTGGAATTGCAGTCCAACTACGGGGATCATTTCTTTGCTTGATTTCTATCTGCAGGTCAAATGAAAAAAAATTTTTATTACTAGTTGTTAGATGAGTGTTTACAGTATTGTGGGGACAATATCTTGCGTGTTTAGCTTGTCTTTGCGAAAAGGTGATATGAGACGATTAGCATCGATCCGAATTAATTTTTTTGGTGTGTTAATTATTTTTTCACGGATAAACACGATCAAATTTGGCTGACACTGAGCGATCTTTGAATAACCTTGTTGTCAAAGGCGAGAGAGTAGATACCTGTTTTTTCCTTCGCTTGAGGACACTTTTAATACATTTTCTTATAGGTTCTTTATCATGTTTTGGAATATCAAAATTTTAAATCAAAACAGTTCTTATCTCTGTTGAACTCTGAAGAACTTTGTCATTGTTTTGGAGAATAATAGGTCGTTACCATTTGTTGACAATGTGATAACGGTTAACCTTTACTCCTCGGAAAGTACACCACTAGCTTTACATTATTCATGTTTTTTCCTTTTCGGGACATTTTATTTGGAATAGATAACATCTGATAAAGAAACAAGTTTTGAATCCTTTTCCTCGAGTTTCAGCTCGATGATCGTTTACGCTTGTTTGAGGGAAAGCTGTTACCGATAATTTATTCAAAAAACGCTTCAGTGAAGGATTAACCTCGTTGCTTCTTGCTTCTAAACTGATATTTGAAAACAATGATTTCTTTTTTTGATAGACGACAGTTACATGCAGGTGGCTAAATTCTCGCTATGCTTTTTGTTTTTCAAATTTTGGAAAAAAGAGAAAAACCCCTAGGATTATTTTGTTCATTCACATCTCACTAATTATCATGGCTAAACCATTTGTTGTTGGCAACGCTGCGTTATTGTGTTCCCGTTGGTTATCACATGATCGCATTAAGAACTCCTTTTCACTGTGACGAGTGGGTGTTCTTAAGCACGCAGACTAAATATTTGCTAACAACTTGACTGAGGCAACAATGGGATGTGGGTCGTCGAAATCAGTCGAAACTGCTGTCGTATCTACAAATGAGAGCCAAACCAAGCCGTTTATACGCGAAGTCAACGAAAACATTGAATCAAAGCCGAACTCTCTTAGCAACAAGCCGCGAATCTTTTCTCACGAGGCCGAGCTTACAGAAAGCGTAACAAATCCCCTATTTTCCATCGGTGACCGAGTTCATGTTTCTGGATACACAGGTAGTGTGAAGTTCATCGGAAGTCTCAGCGAACTAGGCGATGGCGACTGGATAGGAATTGAGTTGGATCGAGAACATCCACAAGGAAATGATGGGTTATTTCAAAGCATCCGTTATTTTACGTGTAAACCAAGACATGGCATGTTTGCTCGACCGTCCAATGTGTTTCCCCACACAGATGTGGATACAATTGAGGAAGCCGCGAGTATTAATCCTCGAACAATCGCTTTCATTCAAACTAGCATGCGGCGATTTCTTGCCAGGATTCGACTGGCAAAGTTTCAACAGCGCACGGCAATCGAGAAGCAGATCGATGCACGCGTGTTAGCGACACCAGAGGAACAAACTGAGAGCGTCGAAAAACTGAGCGCCTACCTGACAAGTCGGTGGGAGGGAGACAGGAACAAAGTGTACGCGATTTTCCGCTGGCTGAGTTTCAATATCGCCTACGATGTGGATGGTTTTTTTGGAAGGACAGAGAAAAAGACTTGCGATTCCGCCAGCGTGCTACGCCACAGAACAGCAGTGTGTGCTGGTTATGCGAATCTATTTGACGCACTTGGTAAAGCTGCGGGTCTTCAGGTGCATACCATAAATGGTTACGCCAAGGGTTATGGCTTCGAGCCGGGCCAGCAGATTAAAGGCACAAATCACGCGTGGAATGCAGTTCAAGTCAACGGTGAGTGGTTCATTTGTGAGCCCACATGGGGTGCTGGTTACCTAGGAGCTGATTTGATGTTCCATCGCAGCCCAGACGTGTCCATGTTCCTGATGGACCCCGAATATGCAATTTGCAGCCACTACCCATCCGACGAACAATGGCAGCTCCTTGAGAAACCCATCAGTAAGGAAGAGTTTGAGAAGTTGGTTGTGCCTTCTGGAAGAATTCACCAAATGGGAGTGGAAATTCTCAGTCACAAGGAAAGCATGTATGATATTGATCATGCAGATCACATCGAAATGATGTTCTACTCTCCATCGTTAAAGATGCTACGAGGTGATCTGAAGGAATTCTCAGGAAGAGATTACGAAGGAAGAAGATGGACACAGATTCTGCCCTGCGGAGTGAACCAAGTGAAGCTAAAAGCACAGTTCCCTGCCCCAGGAAAATACAAGCTGAATTTGTACGTAAGGGACGAGGTGACCCATACTAAATGGCATAGTGGAATAGAGTACATCATCCAGGCAAAAAGAGCAACTGAGAGAAATCGAGGCGGATTCCCACAACTAGGAAGTGAGTTTTACGAAGCAGGATTCAGTCTTGATCATCCATCCGAGAACATTGTATCCGACGACGGAAAGGCTTGCATCTCATTACAGAACTTTAACATTCAAATTTCTCACATCGTGGGCCAACTTGACCTGGTGGGAGAGGGGAAACGACTCAAAAAAGACTTCGGTGCATTTTCATTTTGCTACTCAGACAAGATAGAAAGTGGTTTTCGAGTGATGGTGCATTGCCCACTTGTAGGGGAGTACACTTTGAAAGTGTTTGCAAAGTATTACGGCGAGGGAAAATCAGATACGTTTGTGTGTACCTACTACATAAATGCACTCGCTGGTGTAGAGCCTGTACCAGGCTTTCCGCGATTGTCGGACAGCTTCGTTTCGTGGGGCCTGGAGCTCAAAGAGCCCCAGCACAATATTTATGCCCCGGATGGACGAGTCTCCATTAAGCTGAAGGCCCCGGAGAATGTATCAGTTGATGGTTATTTAATGAAGGACAAACAACATCTTGACAACAGTTTGTGCTTCAGTAACACAGCGGAGTATGTTGGCACAATTCTGGCTCATGCGCCTGAAGCTGGCGTTTTTCAGCTAAATGTGTTTGGTAAAAAACCTGAGAGCAAAGACAGTGAATATTTAGCAACATTCATGATCAAGTCTGATCAAGCAGCAAGCTCAAACCCAGGCTTCCCCTACCTGAAGGACGAGTTTAAGGAGTGGGGACTGGAGCTGATAGATCAGTTGGAGAACATCGTTTCACATGTCAACCATGTTAAAGTCACATTTTCTAATCCTCATGGTATCGCTTTAAAGCCATGGCTGTTTGATGCCAATAATAAGCAGATTGGCAACTCTTGTCCGGTGGAAACCGCTGACGAGATGACCGTCATAACATGTGAGCTGCCTAAAGCTGGGAAGTTTAAACTAAATGTTTTTGGGACAAATTTATCTATTGACAGCACAAAACAAGTGTTTCTTTGTACATACAAAGTATTATACCTAAGCTAACTAAACCAAATGCGACTTTAAAGACCAAAAACATTTCGTTAGTAAACAAATGAAGCACATTTCGTTTCAGGGACTGGTCATCATTTATCGCCTTGCAGGGGGTCGGAGGAGTCTGGTTGTGCCACAATTTAATTTTTCCTGTTACCCCCTTAGGCTCTGTAGTATTCTGATGCTCCCCCCCCACTTTCCTTGAGAGTCAGTTTTCTATAGTCCCCCCCTTATAGTCTGCTTGTGACGACTGATCCCCCTTCCGTTCACCCTGAAAAACATGTGAGTCCCCTAAATCCCCCCTCCCCACTCAAGCGAGGAAAAATGACTATTTTTAAGACTCCAATTTCACAAGTTGCCTAGAACATTTATACTCCCGTTTTTGTCAGTCTGGCATAATTGTCATTGATTAGAGAACACACGAGGGAAAGTCTTTGTGGTCTTTAAAGCGATCTAAGGTAACTAAGTTGCTTCTCAAAAAATTGTAAACAGGTGAACTTTTATCAAGTGTTTCGCGTAGAATTATTATTGAACAGTTGTATGCGTTTATCATTTATTACTTTGCCTCTATTTTTCCGTTATTAATTTTCGTTTATTTCCAGTAAAGTTTGATCCGTGATCCCAAACTCCTGAACACCTCTATCCTGATTTTTCCAAAGAAATACATATGGTGACTCCCGCTGAAATGACCTGCATATTTATGCTTTCTCGTGTTTGAAGTAGATGTCGTAATTATTGCCGATGGCCATCGTACTTATATATTGACACAAGGTGAAACATAGGAAATGAAACTTTTTTAGTGCTTTTGTGCTTCATGGCCGCCATTTACATTAGTTAACCTTGCTGTTGCTCTTTCAGTGATCATCCATGACTGATCATGGCGATCGACTTATTATGTTGCTATTAGCAACGTTCCCTTTTTCATCAGAACACAAGAAAAGATTATTGAGGCGCAGTCGTTCTCTCACGCTACACTAAACAAGCGACGACAGTGGCCATTTGTTTCTTTCAGCCGACAATGGGATGTGGACATCAAAATCGGTCCAAACAGTCGTCGAAACAACAAATCACAGTCAGAATACGAACTTCGAATCAAAACCGACAGCACTCGACGAAAAAGCTCCTGAAACCAGCCTGACTGAGGGAGGTGAAAATCAATTTTCCATCAGCTCCGAGTGCATGTTTTTGGATACATGGGTGCTGTCAGGTTTATCGGTTATCTAAGCGACCCTAATGGCGGTGAGTGGAAAGGAATCGAGTTAGACCATCCACATCCACAGGGGAACGATGTATTCTTCGATGGAGTTCGTTATTTCACTCGTGAGCAGAGGCATGACATGTTTGCTCGACCGTCGGTGGTATTTCATCACAAAAATGCTGAAAATGTTACTGCAGCAACGAATATTTCTTTGGAAACGATCGCTTTTATTCAAACGAACATTCAACGTTGCTGCCCTTCAAATGTAAATTACTTTGTTACCATGCTAACTAGATACTGGTCTCTATCGCAACGAAGTTACTTTGAGCCTCGCTCCAAATCAGAGGCTTGGCAACTAAGTACACAATTGTAAAATGGCCTATTTTCTGGGCTTAGTTTGCAAAAAACAGACATTAAATTAATCAATGACAGCAAGAGGTTCGTTCAGGCGCAACATACTTTTATAAACATTAAGAGACGATGACTATATTGAGTTTCCATTTCTTTTAACACCCCAAAGCTAATCGCAGTTGAACTTTTTTTATTTTGCATGTTCTGTCATATTACTAGGATAAAACATGTAGGTAAACAATAGTTTTTCATTGAACATTTGAGGATTGTGAAGAATTCCATCTTAATGAGATTTTTTCGCTACCATGAGAAATCTTTTCATTCTAATATAGCTCTAGATCTGGGTAGAAATGTTTTTAATATTTCTAAAAATTTGAAAGAGCCTTTTCTTTAAAAATATTTTATACATATGGCTCAAATTTATTTTTGACTATTAATCCTTACGAAAACCCTCATAGCAAACTCAAGGAATTCAATTACTTTGGTTTCTTGTTTCTATTCTTCGGTTGCCTGTGAAATAAAGTAAAGAAATCTTGTTGATTCAAGGTTTCATATTTTCATACCTAAGTTATAAAAATATTAAAAAATACACCACCTTCACGAAACTACACCAACCACACCAAATTAAAACAAAGTACACCAGCTACACCAACTACCCCAAAGAACACTAACTACACAAAACTTCATCAATCTACACTAAATTGCACCAACGAAACAATAAAATACACCAACTAAACCAAACTGCACAAAGTAAGCCAATTACAAGCAGTTACGCCAACTGCACAAAGATGCACAAACCCACGTCAATTCACTATCTACATAAAACTACAGCAGCAACAACCTACACTTAGCGCGCCAGATAACATGATTACACCAAACTGTGTTAAACTGCTCCAAACTACACAAAGCTACACCAAACTTCACCAAAGTACACCAAACTGCATCAAACCACACCAACGTAGGCCAGGTACACCAACTGCACCAAACCACACCAACGTAGGCCAAGTACGCCGACTGCACCAAACTACATCCTACTGCACCAACTATACTAAACTACACCGAACTACACCAACAACAGCAAGAGCACCAAACTACATCAACCACACTAAAATGCACCAACTACACCAATTTACACCAAACTTCTCCAGACTGGGTAATTTAGTATTATCAACTAAGTTGATAACGTAAATTAGCCACCGTAAAGAGTTTCAACTCAGTTGATAATACTGACCTTGTGTGGTGTTAGGATTAAGGGACTGATTGGAGACTTAAGTTGTAACTTTTTTGTTCTCATCATTATTTGTTTCTCTAATTGATAATTACCAGCGAGGGTTTGAGATTTGAAGTTTGTGGACTTAAGACCAAGTCATACAGTTGCCTTACCTGCTGATCTATTATCCATTCCCTTATTCTAATCATCTGTAAGATGACTTCTCTCTTTATCTGCCTGTCTCTGGAAGAAAAGAACATGAAAGATAAAAGAGAAGAAAAGGAGATTTAAATCATGATCTATATTAACATTTCTTTTTCTTCGATATCATGCTTTTCATTGTGGTATTTGTTGAACTGTTGTATGTTATTACACCTGGTGAACCTCACTTAAAGAATAAATGATTGTCTACCAAAAGGGACTTACCTTGAGGTCTGGCTCAAGCTTCTATTATCTGTTGAATGTGGAATCCCCGTACTATCCTAATTTTGAAAACAAATATATGTTTATACTCTGATAAGCAGATTTTTTCAATCTTCCGCGTGTTTTACATCTACATTATCAGCCTTTTGACTCAGTTTGAGCTGAGATGCACTTCAATATTTAATTGTTAGTGCACAGCGTAAAAATGAGCCTAAATTATGGAATTCATGAAACCTTTAAGAGTGAAAATAGACTTAAGTCGAAAACATTCTGCCCAACTTATTGACTTTTATAACTAATTGGTTGTAGGAGAGCATAGCTTACCTGCACGTTAGATAAACTTTCCGGAATTCCACTCATTTTTAGACAGTATACCAACACTGAAAATCAGATGAAACACGCATGTTATTTCTCATAATTCTGTCTTCTCTTTTTTTCCTCTGACTACTCCTCTAATATAAAATGTAAAGCATAATAATTTTTCATAAACATTGCATTCCTTTGATATATATATGTATGGGAATTTTCACTTCATTCGTTTTTCCTGGTAAGGAGGCTAATTTGGAAAACATGGGGCTTTTTACTATGAGCTCCCCCTTACCTAGAACTTCATCTACGTTTCATCATATTCACCTCCAAATTACAACATAGCAAGGGACTCGGTTTAATCTCTAGGAACATTTAACCATAAAACTTATAATTGGTATAGCTAAATCAATATCTGCTACATGAACAGTTAGTTAACTCGATGCCGAATGTGTATATCGTTCGCGATTACTTCACTATCAAGGTCGTTTGCGATCAAAATTGAGCTCCGCTCGCAAAAATTGATCTTAGGATGAATGAATGAATGATTATGATCTTAGGATGAATGAATGATGATTCCAAAGAAGAAAAAATTTAGATACCTAGTCTGAAGTTAAGAAATTCCAATAACACTTGTGATTTGGTACTCACCTCGGAATGAAATAGTGTGTTATTTTCGACCAAATTCTAAACCAGGGCGGAGTGCCCAGTCCCACTCGACTGCCAGTGAGTGGATTTGAGTACAAAGTCCGAAACACCTCTTGCTCTGGATTGAAGTGTTGCAAAATTTTAATTTTAAGTCAATGTCATTTTATAATGTTTGTTGTGAAACATCTTAGTTTCTGTCAGAATGGGAGAGAGCGTTCTTCTCCCACCAATGTGGCCCAAGTTCCTTTCTTCAGCCTTTCATAGCATGTGGATTTATTTTCGGTCGTTGAACGTTGTCTTTCTCCACGTTTTCCAACCTCGAAAAGCAACTCGCGAAATTCCACTTCGACCAACGTTTTGTGATATTGGAAGCAATAAACTATTGCGGATACGAAGTGTAGAGTGTCCCTATTGATCGTAGGCAGCTTTCTTTTCCGTAGTCCTCCACTTGTTTTCTGAAGTCTCTCTCTCGTTAGCATGTTTGAAAACTATAATTTAAGGCGAAGCTTGAAAAGTGACTCTTGTCAGTCCTTAACCTGGTATTAAATGAATCGCCTCGCTTTTGAGACAACCCAAAGCAAGGAACCACGCTATGTTTTGAAATTGAAAAGTAAAAGAAGAAGAAAAGGGGGCCAATACCTGCTCTCTACATGCTGCGGTCAGGTTTAATTTTAACCATTACAAGGAAAGTGCTCTCCTCTGACTGGCTGAACATGTCTCATGACATCCCAGGGAGTATTCTTTATTCTCGTGCTGGTGAATTTACATGACAAAAAATGCAAACAATACAAAATGGAAAGTCGAATTTACATGTTTGCGAGAGGTTTCCAGATTTCCAAGTTTAAGATTCACTTAATAATTAGTAGATGGTGTTAGGTTTGATTCGTAAAATACATTAAAAAAATTCAAAGGTAATACATCGTGAGTCCAAATACAAGCCTCAGCCATTTATCCAGACTAAAATGAAAATTGGTCTCAGCGCAGCGTGCGATTTTCAGCTGTTTTTTAATTTATGGAAATGAAACTTGTTTTTAATTTCTCGGTTTGGGTTTCGAAAACTCACACTGTTTCTGATCGTTGTGTTATGACGTTCTTCAGAGAAGAGTTGAAATAAGTCACGATAGTTTACGTGAAGACTCAGGTGCTCCTGACACAGAATGCTTGTGCTTTCCTCCTTTATAATTAGTTAAAGCTCGTTGATGTAAATTTTGAGACGGCTTTCCATAGAACCCGCACTTCTTTAACCTTTTCTTGTTTCGGGAATGTAGACACTTCAGTTTCTTTTTGTCTTAGTCTACAACGTTGTTGTGCCCGTTATTTTGCCACTGTGCTCTCTAAGTCCTTTTCATCGTCCTCGATGTTTTGTGGCCATGACCTCAAAATTTCAACGTAGAAGCTGCAAAAGATATGAAAATCTTAAGTAGAGGTTTGCAATCCTTGTAAACGTCTTGAACAACCAAAGTCAATATCACGTTACGTAGCCGTTTCACCCCAGGCAGCGAGGTCTGGTCCAATTCTAAATTGGAATTTTTGCCTATTGTAGCTTTAATCCTTCGATTCAATATAATCAAGTTTTGATTAAGGAAACTCTGAAGGAAACTTTAGCGACTATCAAGGCATTCCAGTTACCATTTAGATTGTACATTGGTTCTTCAAAATACCGCCAGCTGACACTATAATTAGTGCTACACAGACATCGGGAACGTCATTTCAGACTGGGAAGTTACTACATCACGGGCGACGAGCGGGGAAAGAAGAAAAGATAGAAATTCGAGTGGTCAGCGGGGAAACAAATTTAATACTTCATAGCCTTCATAAGGCTAATGTGTTTACCTTGCTTAAATATTTATAATCAGGGCCACTCGTTCAGGAGACCTTTTTTCAAAAGATCCAGACGTTAAAATAATTCTGTTTTCCGTTCGAAGTGTTTTTTTCCTATTTAATTTAACAAATGAACTCGGTATGAAAACTTAACTTTCGAACCGAACAGTAGGTGAAATGTTGTGTTGGTGTCTCTGTCCCCCATGTAAATATTGACTCTAATAGGCATGTAGGAAATCTCTGAGCTTCGAGAAACAGTCAAGTTAA